TGTGACCTTGGATTCTTGGGATCTTCGTGTTCAGCTCCCTCGGGAGGCTCGAGACAAGGCGGTCGTCCTTCCCCCATACCTCCAACACTCCCGGACATTCGACCTTCGCACCGAGTACCAAAGATGGCAAACCCACCACCCCGAGTCCCTCCCCTTCGGTCCTAGTTCGCTCTCGAATATCTGTGCTGCCCTCGAGGTCGAGCCTGTTCAGTCGTCTGCGCCGATCAAGCATAACCTCCCCTTCCATCTGCAAGCCCTGGCTCCCGCCTCTCCTCGTCGGGCCATGGATGAAGCTGTGACTCTAGCTCGGGTCCTGCGTGGATTGATTCGGAAATCCCAGCCCGCCCATGAGCATCCAGAAATCCTCACTCGGCCGATGGATGCCCGGGCGGATGTTCGTGCCTTCTTGGCCGAACGTAGCAAAGTGCTTCACCTAAGCGGTCTGCCTCACGATACGACACAGTCGGAGTTGGAGAGCTGGTTTACTCAGTTCGGAGGCCGCCCGATCGCTTTCTGGACTCTGCGTACCCCGGACCAACATAAACCTACTGGCACAGGATTTGCAGTCTTCTCATCTCATGAAGAGGTAATGTGCTATTCTTATTCTGCATCTCACTTGTAGTGAATCTAACACTTAAACCTCACAGGCCGCCGAAAGCCTCTGCATGAATGGGCGTGCCCTGAATGAGAAGGCCATCGAGGTGTCCCCGTCATCCAGCCGTGTTCTTGACCGGGCGGCAGAGATTCTCACCCCGTTCCCTCCGTCCAAAAACCGACCTCGACCGGGCGACTGGACTTGCCCCTCTTGTGGATTCTCCAACTTCCAGCGCCGTACTGCTTGCTTCCGCTGCTCGTTCCCTGCCATGGCAGCTAACCCTGACCCAATGGGATACGGATACGGATACGGTCCACCTTCCATGATGCCGCCGCACGTTGGCGGCCACGGCCATGGAATGGGACACTCTCGAGGAGGCAATGGTGGAGTTGTTCCCTTCCGTGCGGGCGACTGGAAATGTGGCTCGGAGGGATGTGGCTACCATAACTTCGCCAAGAACATCAACTGCCTGCGCTGCGGTGCTCCTAGATCTGGAGCAGCCGTTGTTGCTGATTCTGCGTTTCCCTCTCCAATGGACCCTCCGTCGAACTTCGGCCACAGCTCCATGAGCAGCACCCCAGCTCCTGGCCCGTTTGCTTCCACTGGTGCCGGGTTTAGCGGGTTCAACCAGCCGTTCGGGGGACCCCCTAATACCTATGGGTTGCCTTCTGCTCTGGGCAGCGCGCCGGGTGGTTACCCTCCCATGGGACAGATGACTCCTGGCTATGGTTCTACGAATACATCCCATGCCGCTGCGTCATTCGCCAATCCCGCAACACAAGCAGCCTTCACTGGAGCCGACCACGCCTCATCAACTAGTGCCTCGAATGGAAACTTCTACGGAAACGATGGCTCGAACGACCCTTTCGCCTTCCTTTCTTCGGGCCTGGGTGGTTTGACGGTCTCTGATGATGCCCACTCTCGCCGAAATGGCGCTGGTGCTAGCAAGTCCCCTGCATAAGCCATCAATTTCCGAATTGATTGGCAGACCATGCTTTATATCGGAATACATTCCGCAAATCTGTGTTTTTTTTGTTTATCTTGTTTATTTGTTGGTACAGAGATGCGGGTACGCTGGTACACGCTTATTGATGCGTGTTTGTATACGGGATTTCTGCAGTTCTGGTGCATCAGGTTGGGAGGAGCAGGCAGGTAGCGTGTCATCATTTTGCCCCATTTGATCCCTGTTTTTTCTATCCTCATTTCTTCTGCGATGTGTCTCAACTTCATTTGACTGTTTTCGGTATGTGCTTGGTCTTGTATTTTGAAAGCGATGTTCCAAGGTATAGACGATGGTCCCAGCAGGTGGGTGCTGGCGGCTATCCCTCGATTCTCCGGTTTGGCGCGATCACCGCTGTTTGGGCTCTCTTCGGTCGACATGAGATTTACCTGTCCATCTCAAGCTTGAGGTCAGGTCCCTCGAGACTCGGGAATTTTATTACATCACCGCGCGCCCTGTTGCGGGGGTCAACCTCAAGCATGGCATTGCATTCTAGATATTGGTTTTGTTTTTGCTTTTCCAACTCATCTCTGCGCTCTTCGGCAACAGGACTTTTTGGAGAATTACGGTTTGATCACGGATGGGATACATTGGAACGGATTGCTGGGGGTGTTGGGGTATTCCTTTTGATCCAGCAATGACAGATTTGGGACATGCGCGGCACACGGATCGGGAATTGTGAGTACAGCGAAGGTTGCTTTGGTTGTTTATAATCTTGACTTGTTATATTTTGTTTCTCTTCCTCTCCTTGTCTTTGTACGTTGTTTGTTCTTGCAGAAAAAGTAAGTGCGTGGGTTGGGTGCCATGCTATACCTATTATTTGAGCGAACATCATGTACAGCATAATCAAAGGCAATTTTGACTCCAAGCTGATCTAATAAGTACGTAGTTGGGAGTGGTTCTTACAACAGCATGGAGCCTTGATTTTTTTTTTTTTTTGGCACTGCCTTGACGTTAACGCGCCACAGCAGAGCTGTCCACCTTCCTCATAAAGCCCTCAACCATGTCCACGGCCTTTACCTTGTGTATTGCCATAGTAAAAGAATAGATATCGTGCACTGAAATAAGTGCTGTCGGTACTGTAAGGTTAGATTGACTGTTGAATGTACCTAGATGTGGGACTGGGCTGACCAGTTAGCCGCGCGCTTGGCATTGAGCTCTGAGGCAACCGCGGGCCTCGCGTTCACCTCCATCTGTCATCGCTCAAGCTGGACCTCTCATTCCTAGCATCTCACGCCCTCTTTGCCACGAATTGCATCCTTTTTGCGACACTCCAAGTTCTCTTGATTTGTGCTTTTTAATTACCCAGCACCGTTACGGCTCTTAGAGATACCGCCCATCATGTCCGGATACGACCGAGCTCTGTCAGGTAAGATAGCTTGCTTCCCCAGTAACTGCTTGCTTGATGGAAACGTCTAGGCTAACGGAGTCTTATAGTCTTCAGGTAGGTTACAATGCTTCTTTGGCTTGCTATGCAGCTAGCTGATCATTCTTTAGCCCCGACGGGCATGTCTTCCAGGTGGAATATGCTATGGAAGCTGTCAAGAGAGGTAAGTTTAGCTTATGTACACCGTATATGGAGCAGGAACTTATGCGAAACTTTGTTTTCAACCTGCAGGAACTTGTGCTGTCGGTGTAAAAGGAAAGGATGTCGTTGTGTTAGGATGCGAGAAACGGTCCGCTCTGAAACTCCAAGATACCCGCATCACACCTTCGAAAATCGCCGTCCTTGACAACCACGCCGTCCTTGCCTTCGCTGGCTTAAACGCCGACGCTCGAATCCTTATTGATAAAGCTAGGTTAGAAGCTCAGTCGCACCGCTTGACTGTCGAAGACCCCGTCAGCATCGAATACATCACCAAATACATTGCCAGTGTGCAGCAAAAATACACGCAGAGTGGAGGTGTCCGACCCTTTGGTATCAGTACCCTTGTTGTCGGTTTCGATCCAAATGATCAGACGCCGAGACTATACCAGACGGAGCCATCGGGCATCTATTCTGCCTGGTACGTCATATCTGGATCTGTTGGTGGATACTGTGAAAAGAGTTGTATCTGACTTTATGGTGTTATAGGAAAGCGAATGCCATTGGCCGTTCCAGCAAGACTGTCCGCGAGTTCCTCGAACGCAACCACCAGGAAGATATGGACCAAGAGCAGACGATTCAGCTTGCGATCAAGTCGCTGCTCGAGGTGGTGCAGACCGGTGCCAAGAACATTGAAGTTGCCATCATGCTACCTGGTAAAACTATCCAGATGCTGCCGGATGACCAGATCGAGGCTTGTGTGAAGAGCATAGAGACGGAGAAGCAGGAGGAGGCAGCGAAGAAGAAGACTGGTCGCGGTGGCACTACTACGGCAGCTATCCTTACACGGTCCGGTGGTGGGGAGTCCGGCGAGTCCCGGGAGTAGGTTGATGCAGTGATGTGATTTAGAAAGGGTTATGTGGGCTATTTTAACCTAAGGCCGAGGGTTTAATCGTTCAATATCTGAAGATCCGTGTAGAAACGAAACGTCTATGAGCATAAAGTCACTTTTCACAGTGTATATTGGATATCTAATTTGCTCCCCGGATATATTGACGTATCACAGGTAAGAAGGGCGCATAAAAGGTCGTAAATTATCGTAATGCATGTGGCACGTCTTTATCCTAGACGATCCGCAGCATCTTTGGCGGTGAAAATGGACCGTTCTTGATCCCCGCGGACACGTTCATCCTTGAGCATTCTAGATTCCGTTAGTATATCCTTAATATCAGCAGCGGGCATGGCATACCTAGCGTCTTTCCGGACATCCTCGCCCTCCAGTTGTAACGTTGGTTTCGGGGTAACAGCCTCGAGGACGAAGTGGTTATCGCAATGCGGGCAGTACTCGTCACTATAATAACATCCATTAAAACCCAACCTCCCCGGATCTCAGACAACCTTGCTATCACGAACGTACCTCTCTTCAAACGTCTCCGCGTCCTTCCGGAAACACTTCTTGCACTTTTTGCAGGCGAATGTCTAACCCAATTTTAGCAGCTAGTTCCGCGAGCGCATGGGCATTATCGAGAGGGGGCCAAGGGGCACGGTACCATGTCATTTGATTTTTGGAGGGGATGGGATTCTGATTCAAGGTGGCATTCGGCGCAGTCGAACCATTTGCGGCCTGCAGACAAATATGATCAGCTGGGGTCCGGGATGGTTTAATAGCATGGATAGCAGAGGTATACGCACAGCATTGGGAGCGAATGGCCACTTGGGCGTTGAGAATGTGTTTACTGGAGTTGAGTTAGCAGCGCTGGAAATAGAGTCCGGTGGTTCTGAATGGCACATACCACATAATTCGAGGATAGAGTTAATTCTAAATAAGAACCAAGGCTGTCGCGGGAGCAATGGAGGGGAGTGAGTCTGGAGTCTGGATAAGTTCTGCGGTTCTTCAGGCGGAAGCTAAAAAGAATCCAATCCACGCGACTCATGGGCCTCGCCCAACCCAATAGTCTCCAATAATCAGATGGACGGTGCGAATGATGGACACAGCTGCCTGGCCCTTGTTGTTTTGTTCTTGTCTACTGGGAATTTAGGCACCGTAGCGGTGTCGTCCTTTACTCCTTTTTCTTCTCCTCCGGTTCGCGTGCTGTCTCCCCACTCCGCTTCCTGCCACTACTTTGATCCCCCTCCACCTATCTACGTACACCTCCCTCTAAGCCTCGTTTCATCTTCACCCAAGCTTCCTTCCCTTCCATTGCTCTATTTGCTTCTTCCCCTTTTCTGCCTGTTTCTCTCCTTTAAGCTCTTTTCTTCCGACATTTTCGCGGCGCCTCCTTACTTCCAAACCGCCAAACAAACACTGGTCAGACGCACTAGGCACAAATCCCCCGATCATCTGCGCCTCTAGCCGGTTCCTACTTGCATTGGATACTGGTTAATATCAGGTGAAATACTACGTTTACTGTGATCGAAGGCATATGGTCCCTTTTCCCGACCGATTCTTGTGCCGGATTCGACGTCATGGAGGGAAACGGCAAGGGCAAAGACGCTACGGATAGCGCCCCGATTGTACGTCATCTCCCAACGGTATACGAGGTCTAAACACTAACCCAAGCGGATATCTAGAGACCTGTCTCATCTCTTCTTTCTCACTTCGAGAACCTCGCATCACATCGCCGCTCCCCGTCGGCCGCCCCAAACGGTTCGACTGAGTCCTATCTCAAAGCACCCGAGCCAGGCGACGACGTCCGCTCCTCATCTCGAGCTTCCCTCGACCTTCCTCGGCCGATATCACCTTGGGCATCGGCAGGCAATTTAACAAATGGTCAGCGGAGTGATTCGGCACATTCAGTTCCACGACGTAATGGCGGATCTCCTGGTATCTCGCCTGGGAGGCGACAGAGCAGGCCTATGTCGATGGTTTTCCATTCGTCACCACAGCTAGCACCAACTTTGAAGGTGGACTCTCCTCAATCTCCGCCGCGTGGGTTTGGTACACCCGGAGACCGTGGGGATGATTTCCGCTCCTCCCGCAGTCCCGCGAATGCGTCGCGGGATGCATCACGGGAACTCCTACACCTTTCGTCTGGGAAAGCGACGTCCAGCCGGCCGACCACGCCTGTCAATGCACCACCAGTCCCACCGGAGCGCAAACCTGGACTCTCTCCAGGGCTGTCGTCGTCGGTCGGATCGAATGGCGCAAGTCCTCCGCCTCCTGTCAATCGGCCAGCGAAACCCAAGATCCCCGCGAAGCCTGCCACCCTATCCTTCCAGGACTCGAACGCATCACTTACTCCGCGCGCACCACAAGCACCTTCTCCAGAACATATCTCACCCTTCAGCACTCCACCGAGCAGCCCCGAGAAGCCGTCTCCTAGTCGTCCCACCGTTACGAGGTCAATTCAACCTCCAATTCAACCTCTACGCCCGACTTCCAGACAGTCACCATCCCCATCAGCCACCGACGTCCCAACACGACGTTCTATGGAGAGGTCACCCGCGCCCCCGCCACCATCTGCACGGAATCCGAGGGCATCGTCAGCCTCGCGGCGCTCCCCGGCTCCTGAACTGCCATGGCAATCCAAACCGCTGACAGTACAGATTCCTAAAGGGCCTTCTGTACAACCTTCATCGTTGTCCAGTGCACCGCTTCCTGTGCGACTACAGCAGAGGAGCGACAGCCCTCAAGACCGGCCAGGTCTTCCCCCACGACACCCGTCAATAGCGCGGAGGAGCGGTAGGTCCCCATCGAGGCAACCTCCGCCTCCCGAAAGCCCTGCACCTTCTCGATCTATTCAGAGAGCGGACACGATTTCGACACCGCAGATTCAACGCCAGCCATCATTCTCTCGAGAAACGAAGCTCGCTCCTCCACCTGCTCGCCCTGCGCCGAGTGATGAGAGGCCGATTCCGGACGACACTCCATTACGGACCGACTACCCAGATGCCTCAAACACGAACAGGCGGCCGCCAATTTTAAAATCGGGACCCAAGGAGATCAATACACGCTATGATACACGGCTGATGGACGTATGTGGGAAACACGTCTGCACAACCGGTTATATAACACGTGTCTGGGATCTTACGACTGGTGAGCAGATGATGAGCTTAAGCCATGGTGAGACCGTCAAAAGTTTGTCGCTAGCATTCAAGCCAGGAATTGGTCTTGAGGACGAGGGTCAAAGGATTTGGATAGGCACGAACTCCGGCGAACTCCATGAGATTGACGTCCATACGGGCTCGGTTGTGGCTTCGCGGTCTTATCCGTCACGCCGAGAGGTGATCAAGATTCTACGGCATAAGAAAGAAATGTGGACTATCGATGATGAAGGCAGGTTGCTTGTGTGGCCGCCAGACGAATCAGGTGTTCCAAATTTACAGTATAGCTACCACAATCCTTATGACAGGGTTGCAAAGGGGCACAGCTTTTCCATGGTCGTCGGGGACACTCTCTGGCTGGCAACAGGAAAAGAAGTACACGTATACCGACCGGATGCCCGTGAAGATACTTCGTTCAGGGTTCTCAAAAAGCCTTTGGGATCGCACCACACAGGGGAAGTTACCTCCGGCGCCTATAGTAGCCAAGGTGACGGTCGAGTGTATCTCGGCCATGCGGATGGCAAAGTCACCATCTACTCCGCGAGTAATTATGCCTGTTTGAACGTCGTGAGCGTCAGTGTATACAAAATCAACTGCCTGGGAATCGTGGGTGACAGCCTCTGGGCTGCCTATAAAACAGGCATGATTTATGTTTATGATACGACTACCAACCCGTGGACTGTTTTGAAAGACTGGTGCGCTCACGATAGCCCTGTATGCGGGTTCTTGCTCGATTCTAGCAGTGTGTGGACGATGAACCGACTGCAAGTGACGTCTCTGGGAACGGACAATTGCATTCGCCTTTGGGATGGAATGCTCGAGGATGATTGGCTAGGTGAGTTTATTTAGTATTTGGGGTTTATGAACGGGCTAACGGCGATATAGAATCCCAAATGCAGAAAAGAGATGTGGAGTTCTGCACCTTCCGTGAAGCCAAGGCTGTCATTGTGACTTGGAATGCGGGTGCTTCGACACCAGGAAGTGTGCGTACGTCTACTTTTATCCAGGATGCAATCCATCCAGAGGACCCGCCGGAGATTCTTGTTTTTGGCTTCCAGGAGTTGGTAGATCTGGAAAACAAGAAAATCACAGCTAGTACGTTTATAAATTTTGGCTCGGATTGCAGCACACCTACTAACCAGCCGCAGAGAGTCTGCTTATGGGAAGCAAGAAGAAGGAAAGTGGTGAGAAGGAGCATATGAGTCGCCAATACCGGGTTTGGATGGAGCACCTGACGCGCTGTATCAATGATTGCATGCCCCTGGATGAATCTTACGTGCTCCTACACAGTGCGAACCTGATTGGTCTCTTTACATGTATATTTGTCAAACATAAAGAGCGCGCCAAAATCAAAGATGTCAGTGCCGCTGAGGTGAAGCGGGGTATGGGTGGGCTGCACGGGAACAAGGTAAGATTTGCCACTCAAGAAAGGTGGGAAATGGAAAGCTAATCGTGCAGGGTGCTCTTGTTTTCCGCTTCGTTCTTGACGACAGTTCGCTCTGCTTTGTGAATTGCCATTTGGCAGCCGGGCAGACCCAAACCACGAACCGCAATAATGATATCGCCGCTATTCTCGAAGCTGAATCTTTGCCTATTGAGAACAGTTTGACGTCGCGTCTGAACCACTTTGTGAGTGGTGGCGATGGGTCGATGATCATGGACCACGAGATCTGTATTCTCAACGGTGACCTCAACTACCGCATTGATTCCGTCCCTCGGCATGTTATCATCGAGGACATCCGAAACAATAACCTTCCGAAACTTCTGGAACGGGATCAACTCCTTGCGTCAAGACGTAAGAACCCAGGCTTCCGGCTGAGGGCATTCCAAGAAGCTCCAATTACATTTGCCCCGACATACAAATACGACGTTGGAACAGATGATTACGACTCCAGTGACAAGAAGCGATCTCCTGCTTGGTGTGATCGGGTTCTATACAGGGGACTCGGCCGGGTTAAACAGCTCGAGTATCGACGTCACGAGATTCGAGCGTCTGATCATCGACCAGTGAGCGCTAGCTTCAAGTTCCGCATCAAGACGGTGCACCCTGATAAACGCGAAGTCTTGTGGGATACCTGCCAGAAAGAGTTCCAAGATGAGAAACGGAGACTTGCATCTGAGGCCAGGTGAGTATCGATACCACATATAAGCCGAGGAGTTTCAGATAACTAATTTCCGCACAGCATTGAGTATCTCATAAGCATCCTCGGAACCGACCCTCAACAGGCGCGCGCTCTCATCCTCGGCAACCAAGGCTGAAGTTTTGTCTCTATATTACTTGATATTGCTTCACGTTCTGCTTTAGTACATCTTTTGTTCCTAGAGGTTGGGCTTTATCGGTGCCTAATTGGAGGCACGAAGAAACGAACCGCCATATGCTCGCAGGGGTACCCTGTACGACTAATGACTCACGATAGACATGACGATAGAGCTGCCTGTGAAGAGAGGCAAAGTTATAATCAAATAATATGGTGTATAGTACAGGCTAGCCTTAGGTAGCATAATATGCATAACAGTTGGGCCTTTAAATTGGAAAGAACAGTCGAGCCACTGGTGGCTCTTTCCTCTTTGGGAAACAAAGTACACTTTCCTACCTACCCTAGCCCCGTTCAAGTTTCTCAACTTTAACCTCAGCCTGTTATCTACATCATTTTTTTCTTTCTCAAGGCAGTCTATCGCCATTAACTTTTCCTCCGATCTCGCATCCCACACATCCAATTCCATGTCTTCATTCCAGGAGTTTATCGATGAGATTACAGAGAGGCAACGCCGGCGTGCACAGCGTTTAACGCGGCACGAGGCTTTGGTATGGATGAGCGGATCAATAACCTGTCGCAGGAGAGAGCTTACGAAATCTCTTTTCAGGTGACCCTAATCGCATACCTTCCAAGCATGCCCAGCTAAACCTAACATCGTCTTGACAGCCTTCTCGCCGACCCCGACTTCTCCGAGTTCAGTGACATGACTATACTATGTCGAGACATAAGATTCCCATGCCATAAAGCTATCGTTTGTTCTCAATCGACTACTATCAGGAATTCTTACAAAGAGGCTGCTATGGATGCGGTATATAATAACCCCGATCTATTCCTAAATTAAACCGTTCATGTTGAAGGCAGACTAAGCGCTGTGATTCCTTCTAGAACACCTGCGCTGTCAAGATAAAATGTCACCCGCTCGTTCTCCGCATGGCTCTCGAGTATTTATACACGTGCGACTATTCTTTCTATCTAGACTGGGGCTTTCCAACTCGGTTCACTGCTGAAGGACAGACGGTGCCCGGTGACCCCGTTGGTATGGGGCGTATTCGTATGGACCTAAAAGGACAGAAGCTTACTTATAGTCTAGATCGACTAGATTGCTGCGAGTTGTCCCTCCACCTCCAAGTCCATATTTTGGCGCAGTGCCTCGGTATTCAACCATTGATGTATCTATCAGCGTACAAGATTGTCCGAGTTCTATCGAGAACGTCTTTCCCGACTGTGTTCCCACGATTTGTGCGCGAGGTTTACAAAACATTTCCCAGGAAGAATTTTCTTGTGAAAAGACTAGTCGTTGACCATGCGGTAAAAGTCATTTACGAACGTCGAGCCCGGAACCACTTCGATGGGCGATTTCCAAAGTTTTTATTTGGAGAGCTTGAAGAGTTCAGGTTGGATTTGGCTGCGAGCCGGACTGATTTTCCCAGCCCTTTGCATAGATATGCTGATTGCGGCCGCATAGCCAGTCAGCTATGGTGTTGTTGACCTGGATAGACCAATTAAATGGTTGTATGCTCAGGCCTTTGGCTCCTGGTATAAAATAGATAGCTGCGGCTAAGAACTGTGTTTGGGAACTCGATGTATTGTTTAGGCTGTTGTTAGCTTTAGCGCTACCTGCCACCGTAAAAAAAAGCTTAAGAGGTGGCAATCCCCCTTTACCATTAGTTCATAATCTGATCGTAACATGCACCGAATAATGGGAAACAAATAGATTCATGCATATGACATTCAAAGTCCGTTGGTGATATGGAGAACCAGCCCATCCATCACCATAACCACCTTCACCAACCCTATTAAAACAAACAAACAATGCAACAAACCGAAATCAAAACAAGACAAAAAGAAAAGATGTCACCGCCACAAATCGCCCTTACTATCCCTCTTGAACCCACCACTACTCTTTGGCCGTCCATCCTCAACCGGAACAGCCAAGTAGCCACCAAACCCATTGCCCACAAGCACACTCTTCCTCGCATCTCCCCCCCATCGTTGGCTCAGCGACGCATCATGAAAGCTAACAGGCCTCGTAACGCTATCCCGTCGACCCCGCGTCGAACTACCCAGTGGCTCATACGGAGTGAAATTCCACTCTAGCTCATCGAGACCCTTGCTGTAGACGTTTAGAGGCCGGGCCAGCCCACCACCCATGAATTGTGGTCCTGATTCGCCGCCGCCGAATAGGCGGGGGGGAGGGGCGATAAGGAGGGCTTCGGGAAAGTCTGCGTCGCGGACGTAGAGATCCCGGAGGGCGGGGAGGGAATTGGACATTAGGGTTGAGATTAGGTATGTGTAGTAGCCGGCGGCCTTTGGGAGGACGCCGTAGGAGCCTGGGTCGGAGGTTATTTCGTAGTGGAGGAGTTGGAGGGAGCGTGAGGCCAGTGGGGGGATCTTCTCCGGGGGGAAGGAGCGGGTTATTTCTTGGGTTGTTAGGAGGGCTGTTAGGTTGGGTGCGGCGGCGAGGATTGCGTGGAGGGTTGCTGGAGGGATGCCTGTTGATGAGAGGGTTAGGGATTGGAGGTTGTTGCGGGGTTTTGGATGACCGAGGAAGGAGAGTAGGCCTCTTGTTGTGATGTTGGGTGTGTTGCGGAGGGTGAGGCGTCGGATGGCGGGGAAGGGAGGGAGGGTTTGGTCGGTGGTTGTGGAGAAGATGGAGTCGTCGAGATATGGGGTGTTGTCGATTGTGAGGTCGCGGAGGTAAGGGAAGGAAGCAAGGGAGAGCCGGAGGGTGGATGGTTCAATTTGGAGGTTAGACAGTTCAAGGACCTCAAGATTTGTCCAGAGGCCTGAACCTGGAAGTTGGGCAAAGGACCCCTCTGCGCCGCTGCGGTAGGTCATGCGGCGGAGGTCTGGGCAGCGAGCCATTACTTCTTGTTTGAGGGTTAGGCAAGATGGGTCGTCGCTGTAGAAGCCCGAGGGGAGGTCGACATAGCGGAGATTGGGCAGGACGGAGATGGTTCGAGCAATCTCGGCTTTGTTCGCCTCGCGGGTCATGTATGGCATGCGTAGAGATAGGACCTGGTTTCCTAGATCGCGCGAGAGCCGGACTGTGCGCATGAGGAGGGAGAGGCGCACTTGCGGGGGGTCGATGGGGTCAGCATTGCGGTCGAAGCGTGAACGGCGCTTTCGCTTGGCCGCTAGTATCTCTTCCAATTCACAGTAGTGGACTGCGTCGATACGGACATGCGAGTATCTGCAGTGGTTAGTGGGGTGCTATATAAGAACCGGATTTCGAGAGCATACAACAAAGACCGAGCAACACTGTACCAACGTCTGCAGACCACAGCGCAGTGCGCAAGGTCACGCATGTCACAAAGCATACAGCCATCTTCTGTCATGGACTCCTCTGAAGTATCATAGGAACTGTCGGCGGCATGGGGGCAGACGAAGGACAGGATGCGCGCAAGCACGGGATTTGGGAGCTGCTTGAAGAGATGTACAGCGTTGGGGGGTAAAGGAGGAGGGTCGCTGTGCATGCGGAGGTGCTGGTCATAACTGACCGTGTTCCCCGCACGGCTTTGGCTCTTGGAGCGCCGGCGAAGTCGGCTCAATAATCCCATTCTGACAGAGGGAAAGGCGGCATGAGGAGGGGATCGGGTGAGCCAGAAAACAAAGAGGGCGCTGTGATGAGACAAGCTGTCAGAAATAAATGAGGAAGATGGAGGCGGGGGTGCCAACTAAGCGAAGGCGATCTAGAGTAGCGCCGACGTATCGATTCTTATACTGGCGATGTCCCTGGTTTAATAATCACGGACTCTGGCGATCCATAGTCCATATAAGAATAATTGACTTTCCGGCTCCTTTTGGTCCGATTGTGTTGGTTGAAGTTGTCGTCCCTGGGCCGAGGAGTCCCCAGAAGCGCCAGAACTAGCAGACTGTCATTGGCTGGGGCATATTTATAACCACGAATCACTTTGTCTGCACAAGGCCAACAAAGCAGACGCAAACGAGCTGAGGCGCAAAGTGGCGCAAAGTCGGCAGTGCCAAGAAGGTAAAATGAGGTTCGTTGGATCGCTGCAGCCGGCCGTTTCATCTGGCGCTGGCCGTTTTATTTGGAGACTGATATTCATTAATGTTGCGATCCTGAGGCTGAACTCGAGGCATCAACATTCTTGACACACGTGCCCGCCTACTCGTGGTTCTCGTTGCCCCTGTCAGTCTGATATGGTTTCCTGTCTCAATCTGTAATCTGAGGCTGTAATACAGCAAAGTCTGCTATGACATCATCCTCTGGTCATTCTATCCCAGCCTTATCGTCAACGAACGAAGATTGAACAAACAGAATGGCTATTTCCACAAATCACTCTTACTGACATCAGCTCCTCATGCTGTATAATCGAGCTTCATTGAACTCACTGAGGACCCTAAATACCCTCCTCCACAGCTGGACGCCCTACACAAGATCCCTTAGTTGCTTCCACGCTCTTAACAAAACCTCTACAATGCCCGAAAAGGACCCCGGTCACAAAGACCGCCCTCCGTATCAAATACGATCAGACCAAGAATTCGGCCCTGTCAAATGGTACGCGAGTTGCGATTGCGGTCAAGTCACATATAAGATCAACCGAGCAATACCACTCAACGCGAAGTACTGCCACTGTCGCGGCTGTCAAGTAACTCATGGTGCGACATTTGGGTGTCTAATTGTATCAGCAACAAAATAGTTAATTCACTGCTGCAGGCGCGCCATTCCAGTGGTGCGGCATCTTCCACAAACGCGACATCCTCTTCACCAAAGGCACCGAGGGCCTTTCATTCTACTCGTCTCAGAACAAGTCCAGGGATTACCAGTTGCCGACAAAGGTGGCATGTACGCACTGTCGGAGTCCAATTATGGACGAGGGACGAAATGTCTGTTTAATATTCCCTGAATTGATTGACTACAAGGCATCAGGAGCAGATCACCATACATGGAGAGAGACGTTCGAGCCAAAGTATGTCCCAACTGCCGCCGAGACGCCGTCAATCGGCGATTGAGAAACTAATATAAAACAGGCTGCATATATTCTACGCTAGTCGTGCAATTGATATCCCGGACGGGAAGCCCAAGTGGTCTGCACTGGACCAACAGAGCGACTTGCTTGATGACTATGGGAAACCGAAGGATGATAGCTCACGTACGCGAATGTAATCAATGTAAAAGTTACATATAATGGACCAATTGATCGTGTAATACTCGGTATGTAGATTGGATTGGAAATACACCCATCTTGAGTCGGTTGAGCAAAAATGACGTCGATGGAATTTCCCCACCACGGATTTTGTTGTCTACAACATTCTCTCCTCACAACTTCATAGCTCAACGGTACAGCCACACCAAGTACATTACACTATCTGTAAGCCCCTCTTGTCTCCAATTGAACGTTTCCGTCCTACATCTCCTTCCCCTCCATCAAACCCCCACCACCCATCAACAAAACCTACCCCGCAACTCCCACTCTCACTCCAACAACAAATCTAACACCACCTCTAGTTCTAGGCTTCTCTGTCCGTTCAACACACCAAAACAACAAGCGAAAATGTCCTGGTCCCAAAAAACATTCACCCTCCCGCCCAAGTCGCGCGGCTCATACCTCATAACCGACCACATCAAGTCCGCGGTACCTGAAATCCGCGACTACAAGGTCGGCATGCTCAACTTGTTCATCCAGCACACGTCATGCGCGCTCTCCCTAAACGAGAACTGGGACGAGGATGTCCGCGAAGATATGTCTGATGCGCTGGACCGCATTGCGCCCGAGGATAAGAAAGGGAACCTTTATCGGCATAGTGCGGAGGGGGAAGATGATATGCCGGTATGTATTTCTTCCGAACGCTTTTTTCTTATATTGGTCTATTATTTTCTCCCTTGTCTTCCAATTGCTGCCAAATAGGTAGTATAGACGGTTTGCTAATACTATACTGGGGCGCAGGCACACATCAAATCTGCACTCATTGGGGCTTCGGTGAATATCCCGATTTCGAACGGGCGGTTGGCGACGGGGACATGGCAGGGGATTTGGTATTTGGAGTTCCGGGCTGCGAGACATTCGAGAAAAGTTGTTGCTACCATCCAGGGTGAGAAGGCGTGACTAGATACGAATGCGAGTTATCATCTTTAGTGGTTAGGAGTACTGTATAGCGCAGGTTGGGTGTGTGTGTGTGATGAATTGAGATGACTTGGTGATACTAAGCTCAGATGTAGTAAGTAGGTGGTCGTATTCTCTCAATGATGTTTTGGCCTGGCCCGGTTTGTGACCTTGGTAAGCCTTTGATGGGTAGGTATGCTAGAATGATTGTAAATGATATAGTCTAACATCTTCATTGATTGGTACAACTGTACAAGCCCAGCCAGGGCAAAAATAAATAAAAACATGCATCAACGCCAAAAACAGTTCCATCTTTACCGCTGCTCAAATCCACCTTCAGTGACGCGCTGGCTCTCGTTCACCTCCTCGGCATCGCCGGTAGGTTCGAGGGGGTAGCTGGTGGCGGGCAGGGATTGGAGATACGCACGGTTGTGTTCGTTGGCCTATGATCAGTCAGAATACCGTAGTTTATCACGTTTGTGAAGGCTACATACGAAAGGAACTCCGCAGTACCCGCAGGTAGCAATCTCGGGCTTGTCGGTGTTGATAAAGATTCTGGGGTGACCCAGGGGACCACCGCCTCCATCACAGCTGACGACTTTCTCGTGTGTCCAGCGAACGGGTTGTTTGTGAATGAGTTCAATAGCAGCCAAAGGCGTGGGCTAGGCACATGTCAGTCATTTTGATCCTCCCAACCTCAATTTATCTCCCACGGGCGATTCCACCCGGGACACGGCCACCGCCGTGAATCGGGCAATAACGAACCTGAAGCTCCATAATAGTCTGCTCAAATCGCGGTCCACTCATCGCATCCTCTCGCGACCTCTGGCTTTTAGCCCAGGTGGGCTTCCGATTAGGAGCCTGCAGCGAGCGAACACGCTCGGCAACGTCCGGGGTTTCCTTCAACGCAGCATCCCACGAGCCCATCGAGTCAACAGGTGTAGCATTGGTCTCGGAGACATTAGGCTTGGGTGTTTGCGGGGTCGGGTCGTTCGGCTGCATGTAGTTTTCAGAGAAACGAGGAGTCGTGGTCGAGTAGGCGGCCCGGGAGGCAATGCGCGGCGCCACGCTGGACGAGAACGCCGCGATCCGGCTTCGAACTATGGGGAGCATCATTTTCCCTGCGATTGAGCCGTGGGGAGGGATTGTGATGGCGGAGGGAGAGATGAAGTCGGTCGACGGTTGAGGTTTGGAGGTCCAATTATTTGCGGGAGCTTTGATTCGACGAGCATTGAGGAGCCGGTGTGGGCGGTGGGATTCTGCCACTGCTACGCCGATTTTCATTCATAACTTTTACTTTTTGGGACTGCTGCTGCTGCTTCTTTTTACTCTTGCACTTGCTTCTTCAGTTTAATAGCGCCTTGTTTGATATCTGATTTCCGCGAGGATCAGGCCCACTGGAACCCGCAGTCATGTCTAGACCGTCGCCATCAGGCCCAAAGCCTGAAAAAAACATGTCTTCTCGTCTACTGACTATGAAGGTGTGCAGCTCCCAAATACCTCTCATTACTTTAGCTAACGGACAAAGTTTATGCAAAGAGCCGCTGCCAGCGCTGCCTCGAAAGAGTCTTCCCAACCTGCGTCTCCCAGCGAATCCAAAGACTCAACTCCAAAAAAGCGCAGAGTCTCCGCCGGACCAGACAGCCCAGTCGCGCACTCTTCAGACATGGAAGCGATTTCTGCGGCGCTCGCAGAGGAGGAAGAGCGACGCAGGGATGCAATCTCTCGACAAGCTGCGGAGGCAGGAGAGACCGAATGGGTCCTTGACTTCGGTGGCACTGACGCCGTTACCCAATACGCACCGCAGCCTCTTGTAGTCGCAGACACTTCTTTAGATGCGGACGATGCTGACATGGACTATGGGGGTCGCCAAGCTTACGGCAATTACAAGAAAAAGAATACACCCAAGGTTTGTGTCCCTATTCCAATCATGGCATGATCTAATGCTAAACAATGTCTAGCCCTCGGGCGAACGAGCTGAAGACGAGTCCAATACGACAAAATCCCCAGCGAAGAGCCAGAACAAACCAGGGAAAGTTAACTTGGATGAAATGGTCAGCATATCTGGGACAGGCGGCCGCTCGAAACCTCCTTCAAACAATGCGAATCAGAAGCCACAAAAGAAGCGAAAACACAAATAAACTCGCCCATAACAATGAAGGACTTTTAACAAAGGATGGCGCCACAGCCCACGTATGCAGCAATTGACTTTCCCCACCCAATCTAATACAACTGTCGCAAAGGGAGCGCGACTACCATTGCGACTCTGGGGTGTTATCCCACTCCGGAGTTGGTTCGAAGTTCTGTGTCTTCGAAGCTTCCGCCCTGGCGCGGACGACAACATCGCCCTTACTCAGACGAACCTCCTCCGTTTTGATACCCTTCCGGTGAATTTGAGTTGCATTTCCGTCTCGTCTGTAAACGCGGATCTTCACCACGTCAGATACGGGGGCTTCAGGACTGGGACTTCGACTAGAGTTTCTGCCAACTTCGACGCGGATGCTCTCTGCTCTGTCGTCTGTGTTCGATCTCAGAATCCTTCGAGATCGGCGCGGGACATCATAGTTGAATGGAAACTCTTCCGTGGGGGCCTTCATTATTCCTCGAGGCTGGCCATAGCCTCTCCGGTCGTACCCTGGTCTAGACCTTATATGTGACCCTTGTCTTCAGTGTGAGCAAACTGCACACTGTTAGACCCGGCCAATCAAACATACACCATAGCACATACCTCTGGCTCTTCTGGGATCGGCGTAATCAGAATGGCCGGTACTTTACCTGGCCCATACGAGCATGCTTTTGCTTCTTGGTCTTGTTCATATTCGCTTCTCTGGATGTGTTCCTTCGCCGACTGGGCACGAACCTGCATTGGCAGAGGAGCCCGTGAATGTGAAGATGGAAATTGTTGGAATCTGGAGCGAACAAGGCGCGGTCTTTCCGTTTGGAGTCCTTCGACCATGAAGTACGATTTAGCGCATGGGCAAAGCATGTTGAAGATTCAGTGGCTTTAAACTGTCAAACTGTCAGGGCGATGTCATGGAAAAGAAAAAGAATGTCAGGTTCGTACCAATAATCGCTGGCCGGCCCGAAGACGAAAAAAAAGCAACAACAGGATTGTAAACAGAGGCAGCTCTTATTGCAAGCTCGACTCCTAATCAAGAGAGTGGATCCCAAAAAGGAAGGCATTATTGAACCCAATTCAAGTCTATCGATCCTCCAGATCGGCTTCAAAATTGAGCGCCACTTAAATCATGCTTAAAGAATAAAGATCAATCACAGACGCAGACCCAAAAGTAGATCTGGGTCCTGACTCGTAATCATCCCTAGAATTATGTACTGTGATCGATCAAATTCACGCCTCATAGCTCACAATAGAATACGACAGCAACAGTGGCTCACAGACTACAACTTGGCCTTCTCACCGGCCTCCTTCCTCTCCCATCTCCTTCTTATCCCGTAATTGACAGCCAAATTCCACGCTGCAACACCAACCCCAAAAGGGGGTGCAAGCAGCAACCACCAAGCCCACCACCTCGGACTTTTCCCCTGAATCGTCGTAACAGCCCTCTTCACTTCCCTCTCCAGCTCCTCCTTGTCCCCATCATTCCAAACAATAACCCCCCTGGCACTCTCCATACCCCGAAACTCAGCCTTATCTACCTTCCCCTTAACATCACCCTGACTCCTGACCCGATTCTCCGCGTCCTCCGCAGTGAGATGCGCATCGCGCGCTCGTAACCGTGCCATCTGGACCTCCGGATCACTCACGCCCACAACAACAACCGTCCCGCAGATCAAATCCATTCCCGACTCAAACAGCAGCGGCACATCCAGCACAACAGCCCAGAACCCATGTAGATAGTAGTACAGCAAACTCCTATACACCTCCCACCTCACAGCTGGATGCACAATCTTGTTGAGTATCATGCGGTCGCGCTTCCGCTCCTCCGAGGTCCCAAACACCCTGCGCCCCAGCGCGGGCCTATTCAATCCGCGCGGGGTGCCCGGCGGTGCATCTGGCGACTCGGGGAGGAGTAGATCCGGTGTACTCGGCCCAAAATAGTTGACTATTGCTGCGTAGCCTGGTGTTCCTGGTTCAACGACTTTGCGAGCGAGTTGGTCGGCGTCGATTATGGGGAGGGAGTAGGGCGGGGAGGAGAGGAGGGAGGAGACGGTTGATTTGCCCGTCGCGATTGAGCCTGTGAGGCCGATTATGAGCATTTTGGCTCTTCCCTTTCCTTCTTTCTTTTTCGGCGCTTCGCTTCTATCCTTTCTTGGATTGTGGGGGGTTGGATGGGCGGTGGTTTGGTTTGTGAAGTAGATATGGGAAGGTGGTGGTGGTTGCTGGCTCTCATGCGGGTTGGAGAAGCTCAGCCCGGTTGACTTCTCCGGGGCCGAGGTTCCACGACTTTTTTGATCTTATCGCCGGTGGCGACAATATGGGGTAAAAGATACTACGTACAACCACTAGCTGCGGTATTTAGGTATGATTTCTAGGTCCAATATATATTCCTTTTCCTATGTTCTTGAGTTGAGTGTCGTCATTAAATTCAGCCAGTTGATGTCGTATCGTTAGATCTATTGATAGTGTACAGCAGCTTCCAGCTTAATCATGCCTGACAATTGACAGCCCGCGCAGAGCTGGAATGAAGCGAACAATGGCGGGATTTTTTTTTATTCTTCTTTCCGCCATTCTGCGGTATGTATCCGTCTGGGGCGCGGGTGGGTTGGATTTGCTGGCTTCTCGAAGTCCAGCTCTGTCCACTAGAGTGGAGATGCCTTTATAATCCTTCGTCTCGAGCAAGTGACGTCGTTATCCCTGGTCAGGAAGCCCACCCTTACTGGGATCTTGTTTCTGCCCATTCCAGCCAATAAACGGCCAGCCTTGCGGAAGAGTTGAGTATTTCGGAAGTTGGTAGCGGTTTTTACACGCGTCCTGGCTCGGACAGGTCAAATCGCAGAGCCCAAATACTCTGCAATAGCACTCTTCAGCGGAGGGGCAATGGACTGGAGCCTTTCCAAATATCACTGTGATGCGTCAGCTAGTTGTCTCACACCAAGCTGCTATGGTGGGAGGGGAAGAAGACATACTATGCCATGAGTACTCCATAATCCGCCCACTTAAATCGTCCGTCAAGTCCGTTTCCGACAACCACTTCCGAAACCGCACATAGTCACTCTTTGGGCGTTCACGAATCTGCCAGCTCGTAACACCGAATTGCGCACAACACGACGCACCGACCGCCTCTGGCACCTCAACCCCAGGAAAGAGCTCCATGAACGCATTCTTGAAATACTCGCCAGCGTGTATATTCTCGCGGTGCGTGTCGGTCAAGGGATGGATCTCCTCTGGACACCCCAAGACCCAGGCACACCGCAAGTTAACGTAGCCCTGTTTCTCGAGGTATGGGAGCTGGAAGTTGCGCAGCATCGGCATGCCATCGTAGTAGGGGTCGTCGTTGTGCCATTGGTACCGTTGGGAATGGATAAACAGGATCGAGTCGGGGAGGTTATCATAATTATCGATGATGTACCTGTAAACACCCATACAAGTTAGAAGCGTCCTCATCCCCCAAAGGCGGGGGGATAACTCACGTTAAATAGACCATCGATTCCCTGCCCTTGTTCTGCTTCACCGTCAATTGCGCCTTCTTATCATCCACCACGTAAATACTCTTATGCCAATCCGGAAAGTAGTTGTGCAACCACGAGACATCATCACTCTTCATACTAGCCACCACCATGCTTTTCCGGATGGGCGCCGACTGCGGCGCGGGAGTCGCCTTGCCCGACTGCGGATCTCGATACGGGCCCCCGAGGGCTTCGGAGTCGTATATCGTAGGGTTGACATGTTTGCGCGGCGAAGAACTGGAGAAGAAGAGGAGGTACAGAGCGAAAATGATGAAGATGGTCAGGAAGATCGCTTTCTCTCGATTGCGACGGCGCGGGCTGTTGACGCCACTGAAGAAGAAGAAAAACATGGCTGCCGCACAGCGACTAGCTGGGACTAGCACAGATAGATGTGGTTATGGAATAGATTATGCGCGGTTGCGTTTGGGAGTGCTCCGAGAGTGCGTGCTCCGTGGTCGGTTCGGGAATTTGAGCGTCAAGCCAAATCGACCAGGCAGCCGATCATGGCTGTCGTCGACACCAGCCGGAACGCGTGTTGCCGTGGAGTAGTCGCCGCTTAGACAACTAATCCAAATGAGATTCGAAGCCGGTGAGGGAGGCGAGCTGTGGAGGAGGCTGGCAGGCAGACGCTGATGGAGCTGGAGTAGACAGTTGGCAGCTCAACCTTCAAGCAGGACCAGCCACAGTGGAGCGATCGCCCGCCCCGTTGGCTTTCTTCCACCCACAACCTCCATTTATTTACTTCACTGGATCAACTACTCCGTGCTCTGGACAGTTCGTAACAATTTCTATTCATCATATATATAACTTCATCATTCATCAACGTTTCCTCTCACTGGCAAGCATTAATGTCAATCAGGTACCATCCATGCGCCGATGAGAGCTGCACATCCTCGCCAGCATTCCCATCTCTTGATCCAACACCTTCAATGACCTGGATGTCTGCCGTTGTGGGAGTGACATCGGTTTCACTAGTAACCCAGTACTCGGGACTCAGGTGGCTGAATCCAAACGCCATGGGCGGCAGTCTGGGAACGATATCGACGGTGTGTGTAACTCGATAGTTGCCGCCTTGGTCTGTGATGTACTGTGCTAAAGCTTCATTGCCAACTCGCGGGCTTCCGTATCCATACTACACTGCCGTTAGTATGTAGCCACTATGCTCGCAATGCTACTGCTACTAGGCGACTTACATGTTCGATGGCATAACCTGCATCCCGCAGTTGCGCCGCTCCGAGAGTAGCCAGTGCCGCTCCAAAGCTGTGACCAGTGAAGACCACAGTGAACCCGGGGTAGGTCTCGAGAGCAGAATCAATGCCAGAGGTCACCGTGTCCGCAACAACCTCCCATGATTTCCAGAACCCGCCGTGGACTTCACATCCGCTGCAGAGATCATCGAGGCTGTCCTTGCCAAAGTCAAGGTTCGCGATCCAGGTATCGATTGTGCGGCTTCCGCGGAAAGACACGACGATCAGCTCGTTGGTTGTGTCTGCGGCCAGGAAGCCCGCTACATCTCCGTATTCATTCTCTCTATAATTCACGTTAGAGTTTGAGATCTCGAAAACCTCATGATGAAAGACAAAACATACTCATAGAACTCGGCTAGCGTGGTGGTTTCAGCTTCCTCAACTGTTGGGCAGTTCCCGGGTGCGCATAACAGCTTGTCGCCAGTAGAATTGAGGTTGGGCGTGCAGTAAGATGCCGCAGAGTACTCGGCAAACAGGACTAGCTGGCTCAGGTCTTCGGCCGAAACATCTGCTCTGCATCAGTCATACACTACCACTCTCAACTTCTTCCGCTGGGGGCAAACAAACCGCGACGAGCCAGCGGGGTGGGAGCAGCAACAGCCAAGCCTACAAGGGCTATAACAGTAGCAGAAGTATATCCAAAACGGGCCATACCGTCAACAACCAAGACCTTCAACGGTATATATAAGGTAAATGGGCGTATATACAAAGGTGTCCCAAAAGGAAAGACAGGAAGAGGCCGGCACGCTGCACTCAAGCACAGATTGACAGACAAACAACCCTCCGATCTTCAGGAACAGCCACTGGTTATATAGCATTCCCCAGTCCTGGGGACTGACCAATACCAAGCCGGGCCTGCAACATTCCTCACTGAATCGCGAGCCATCCAGGCCCCAAGGGCTGGCATGAATAGCCTCCCTTCAGACAACCCCACCCGAGAGGCCCAAAAAGTAAAAGCAGGAGCGCGATACAACCTCAGAGGCTCAGCCATAAGCAAGCTGCTCGGAACTCTTTAGCTCAGATCGAATAATTCTCCGTAAACAACCACCTGTGCCAGTTACCCGTGACGATCCTCCCATTTCCAGCAAGAAATCCGTGGGTCGCCATGTCCGCGTGCTCAGTGCTGAGCCCTACATGGACCACAGCGAGTCAGTTCGCAAACCTCCACTACGGGGCCAGCACTCTGCACTTTGGGGTTTGGACGGTGCAGACGGCGAGTCGGTGACCGTCATTTGGCCTCCCGTCGACCGGCCACTGGCGGAAGATCAGTATACGGAAGCGTGCTAGCGAGCCAGCCAAGCCGTGTAGAGAAGGCACATCAGTGGGCAATCAGGCATCGATTGTCATCGAACCCATCCAGTCCACTAAACTCCCCGTCCGTTTCCTTGGAGGAAAAAAACACCACGGAAACGAGCGGGACAAACTCTCCCGACTCCCTTCTACCGACGGAGTAAAATCAACTCGCTGAAGATTCAACTGGAGAAAAAAGGAAACGAGCCACTCGGAAGCAGAACTCAGGGCATGCTCTGCTTGCCAAGTATCCGGGCGTTTACTAGTAGTCTACTAAGGGCTGAGGGGAGAAGGGGATCATCGGGTTCGGCACTTGATAAGTTGATTTGAGATGGGGTAATTATCCACTCAGCTTGCACAATCTATCAGTATGGCCTTGCAGATTCATTGACGAAGTAACCCTGTCATTTAGCCTATGCATACGGACTGCGGATAAATTGTATACTGCATGGCTATCACTTTAACTATGGAAAATGTAATCGGTCATAGCTGTACCTCTCTCTCCAAGTCGAGTCCCATACACACGTACTCCGATATATTAAGCCCTGGTGTGGGACAACAATTCCGACCAGCTATTGGTCTCGTGCTCTTCATTGATTGAACTGGTTTGTATCTCGAGCACTGGCCAAGTGATTCCGTGGATACCCACTTTGGAGTCTACTATGTCCTCGCAGAAATGCCCAGCCTCGCGGTTAAAGAGCGGGGGAGGGATATTGTGTGCATGCTCTATCTGGATTCTGTCATAGGCATGGGCAGGTATATTAATTACCCTCCTAATATCGGCTTTCAGTGATGTGATTCTTCATGCAAGGCACGTTTACATATTTGCGCGGTGCGCCATCCCGGCGGAGGCTAGTTGGTTATACTACTTTAGTCCCTCCGGTTGTCGTCGGTCGACGGCGAACAACCCAATAAAGCCGTTTCCCCCGTCTTGGTGATGCGATGCGGGCTCGCCGTTGGCCTAGTTTACCCTAGTACTTGACCACTCTTCGGAGAAATTGATGAACTGAATTGAACCATGTATAGATATCGCTCCTCAAAACGCCAGTCGTAAGAGCTAGAACACATACATCTTTGAGATGAAAAGTAACGAAGGGTCGATGGGGTGGTCCATACGCGCTCGACTGACTAACATGTTAGCCAGCCGTCGCTTAAACCATCGAGCATGTCTGCAAGATATTCACTAACCAGCAGACACCAACCACACTCCACAGCCCCAGTCCGTCTACAACCGGGGAACATAACCTAGCCGCTTCGCTCACAGATCCTGCCCTCCGTTCTCGGCACCCTCGTTATAGTCCGCCATCCCCGAATCCTCATCCTTGTTATCACTACCAGCAAGGACCTTTGTACGAGGGACCTGGTCCTCCGGCGAACCCGTTCCAGGCGTAGCAGCCACAACATTGTCGTTCTCATCCACAAACTCAAAGTTATACCGGGACAGTAGATGCGGTATCGACGAGAGCTGGGGTCCGTATCGCTGGTTGTTATCGTATAGCTCGAAGAGCGGCACAGCGAGGAGTTTCATATTCTTCGGGACGGAGAGGACCTCTGCGCAGCAAACAAACATCACATTAACTTTTGGTCTTTTCCCTCCACGTAATGTCCGGGGTTAACCATTGAAAGACTCACTCTTCTTTGGAAGTTGGATGAAATAGAGCTTCTTGCACTCCTTCGGCCGCGTAACATGGCCCGGCAAGAACGGGTACATGAAGGTCTCGAAATTCGGCCTCCACCACTGCGCGAGTGTGTCGCCGATTTCCCAGTCCTCGTTCACGCCCTCGCCGGAGAACTGTGAGCCCACGGGCGCAAGACGCTCATTTAAGCGCTTCTTGAATCCGTCAATTTCTTCGTCTTCGTGGAGGAGGTAGTCGCCGGGTCTGTATATCAAAGCCGCCAGTCATTCAGTCAGTGGTTCTTTGAGATACACAGAATCTGCCATAAATAGACGGAATGGGATACGTACAGCTTGAAGAAAGCATTCGCGATCTGAAGCATCAGGACGTGCGGGTGGTTGTGTTCATGGCAGACGAGGATCCCCTCGCATGTCCGCCTCATGCCGTGCTTGTCATAATGTTCTTCGAGGCGCTTTAGGCGGGCGAGGACGGAGGGGTCTTCTTCTGGTTGTGTTTCCTTTGTGCCGAATGTGTAGTTGGAGAGGGGGTATAAGCGGATTGTCTCGGGCTGTTTTGCTGAGAAGTCTTTCGGCGCAATAGGTCTGGGTGTTGCGAATTTGTACGTTAGCAAGCTGGACGAAGGCCGAGACGACGGGAGGGAAGAACGCACGGGTGGCTGCTTTGCATTGCTGTGGTTGTGGTTGTTGACATCTTGATGGCTGTCAGTATATTCAAGTAAATCTGGACAGCACAGGAGTAGCAACTAAGCGGAATGGGTTTCGAGGGATATCATGGAATAGATGTTTTGTATCATGTTGCGGCCGGAGCTTTGAGGTTGTTGTGATTGGTGTTGGAGCTGTGGTCGCAAAAACGTCGGACCGCGTCCTCTTTAAAGCAATCAGGCTTGTGCAGGCAGTTCCAATTCAATTGACAAGTTAATTCTCTACAATTTGATGGAATATTGTTCTACCCTAGCTTCACTCGAAAAGTAATGCAGAATATATTTGACAACTGCATACACAGAATCAACCAAGAACATGCAAGGACTTTATTTCTACACCCCAAAGAACTAGCGTCCATATACCACCTACTACACCATTGAATCACCGCCTCCCTAACCAAACCATGCATAAAACCATGACACGTATTTAATCAAAGAAATCTAGAGTTTGGCGTCAAAATCCTCAAACACGGTGAGGTCCGTAATGGGGCTGGGCCCAGTGCTGACAGCCAGGCGGGCCTTGAACTCCGTAACATTTGTAATATAGGTTGGCTCTGCGGTCTTCTCGGTATCCTTGGTAAGAGCAGCGTCTTCGGGACTTTCCTTGCTTTCAGTGCCCTTCTCTTCCTGCTCCTTGGAGTCGGCTTCGTGTGCGCCGGCTTGGGCCTTGAGGTGAATCGAAAGCTTGGCTCGTGTAGGAGACTCAGGCTCGATCATCTTCTTGTAGAAGTCGATGAGGTCCGACTTGGTCAGATCCCGGACACGGGCAGCATCGGTCTCGCTCTGCAGGAAGTCGTAGTATTCGGAGCCAATGTGAGTCCAGAACCGGGAAGTCTCAGAAACCAGGTTCTTGAGCTTCTCCAGTCTCTTGTTGATGACGCTGCGCTTGTGGCTCTCGAATTCTTCCTCCGGCATCGTCTCCAGCGTCTTTCCGAAGTTGGAGAGAAAAGAGTTAATACGAGATTCCAGGTACTGAGCAGTGCGCTCACTCTGGATAATCACACGGTACCCGATGGTGGTGGCCGAGTAGCGTGCGCCGCTCCAAACGACGTACCCGAGCTGCTCCTTGCTTCGCAGTTGGTCAAAGGCAGGCTCGTCGGTCATTTGGGCGAACAGCAAAAGCTTCGCACGTAGGACTTCATCATGCATGTCCCCAATAAAGAGGTAATATTCGATACAGTGGTTAACATTGGCGGGGTCCCTGAGAGGCCTCTCGTAGGTATAGTTCGATCCAGCCGGGATGATCATGTTACGCCTAACATTCCACTGGGACTCTGGAAGGTTGCGACTCTTCAAAGTTGACTCCACAGTATCGGTCATTCGCAGTGCATCCTCCTTGTAGAAGTTACCGTGGGCCAAGACCTCAATGTGGTTTTGGCGCAAAATCTGGGGGAAGAAGTGTTGGATATCCTCCGCCTCGATGTGCTCCAGTTCCGCGGCGTATTGCTCGTTCAGCCAGCCGCGTTCCGCAGTCAAATACCGGGTGTAGTCTCCAACCTGGTAGTAAGGCTGCTGGTACTCAGCATTTTTATAGCCGCGGGTCAGACGCTCCTTGATGATCCGGAAGCGATCTGGGCTAATCACAAGGTCGCGCATGCTTGTAAGGACCTTCTCCAAGAGGACAGACATTTTGTCGTTGTATCCTCCAACCGAAACGTCAAGGCCAAAAATGCTGGCAGACAGATGGTAGTCCAGACCAGCGAGCTCCGCATCATAGGAGTACTCTACCAAAGCATCTCTAACAAGCTCACAGTAGAGCTTCGACTTTACAAGATTGGCCGGTGTGGCGTAAACCAGCGGGTTCCTCAGGGTAACGTAAACAGTGGCCTTAGGTACCCAGAACCGGTCATCTTTCTTAAACCAGACACGGACATGCTCGTCATGGCGGATAAGCTTGGGAGTCTTAGCGGGCTCAGTCACCTCCTTCTTCTCCACTGAAAGTCTGGTAGGGACAAACTCGTTCTTATGCGGGATATGCAATTCCGATAGCCGAGTTTCCGGGGTGGTTTTCAGCGCTGCGCGGATATTGGCCATGAAATCCTCAGGTACATCCTCGACCTTGTACTCGGTTCCGTACCACTTTTCCTTGGTGTTCCAGTCTCCGGGGTAGTCCTGTGCGACCACTATCAACTTGAAGTTGTCCTCGCGAAGGTACGAAAAGGCCTTTTTAATGCCCTCTGGGTCAAACTTTCTAAGGAGAGATCCACTAAGCAACCAGTCTCGTGGCAGTGGCTTCTGCATGACAGTACTCAGGCGGCTAGTGAATCGGCTGGCGGGAGACTTTTGTTTGAATCGGAATTCTACCTCCGCCAGGTTCTTCATCTCCTCAAAGATCCACTCCTCCGGCTCCCGTTCCTTGATCATTGCAATGTACTCGAAGATCACCTTAACCACCTGCTGATATTGCTCCAATCCTTCCTGTGTCAACCGGACAGACACGGTGAAGAAAGCAGCCCCAGGGCAGACCGGCATTGCGCCGGCGGATAATCCATTCGCCCAGCCCTTGGCTTTTATATATGCCAAAATACTTCCTGGTCCTTCGTGGCCGATAAGATGGCTAATGTACCGACTCGGCTGAGTCTCGTGCAGTTTCTCCTCGTCCAGGAACGGGAAGTAAATATCCACGGAGCGTGAATCCATCACGGGCTTAGCAAAGACCTGTTTACACATATCATTCGGCAGCCAGATCGGGATACCATCCCATCGGTTCTGGGGTAGATCCTTATTATTGATATTAGCGAACAGTTCCGATACCCACTGCTCTAGCTGATCTAGCGATTCACGACCGAGCACCACCAGTTTCATCCGGTTAGCAGAATAGTGTTTATCATAAAACTTCATAAACTCATTGCGAATCTCAACACCGCGCTGCAGCGGCTCCTCCTTCAATGTCTGCAGGTTTCCAGTTGAGAAATGATTATAAGGATGGGCTGGGTTTGACAGCGATTTGTTAAGCTGCATCAAACGCCACAAGTCGCTCTGTAGGTTCTTCTTATTTTCTGAGTCTACTGCCCGCATTTCACGGTCGAGCGTGTTCTCCAAGAAAAGCGGCGACACAAAAAACTGCGCAAATCGATCCAGAGCACCATACAAAGGAGAAGGTCCTGCTGATTCGGAACTTGCTGAATCGGACGCTGCCGGCGTGCCATTCGTAGTTCCGTTGGGGGTGGATTGGCCGCTCGATGTCTCGCTGTTAGATGTACCTGTAGCAGACACCTCGAAGAAATAGTTCGTCTCAGTGCCAGCGGTGTAGGCATTGGAGGATCCAGAGTGCGAGGCTAGATACTGGTTGTATGCGTTTTCTACGGGATACTAGAATAAAGAAAAACATTTACCCGTTAGATGTGTCGGTCAGAATTAAGATGTGCAGCAGACCTTTTCAGTTCCCATAAACAGCATGTGTTCCAGGCCGTGGGCGAGACCTTGTAAATCCTCGGGATCACTGAAGCTCCCCACGTTGACGTCCATCGCCGCAGCAGCCTTATCTGTCTCCGCATCATGAACCAACAGAGCCTCGAGCTTATTGGGCAGCCGTATGACTCTGTAGGAGCGGTCATCCAGAAGAGGCTTTTCCAGCCCCTCTGTCAGGCGCTCGGCTGATTTCACTGTCATTTTCCTTATATATGTGATGGGCTGAAGAGCGGAGAGGCGGTTGAGAGGGGAGTGTCGCGGTGAAGAGTGAGGTGAACGGAGAGAAGGCGCGTGTGATCGAGTAGGCGCGGAATTCGAATGAGGGGCGACCGGTACGGAAACGACACCTATTGGAGCAAGGAGCGAGCGAGACGCTGGGGATGGATGTGAGAATGAGATGCCGCAGGGTAGGCGTCTATTCCACAGCTGGCGAGCAGAGGAGTACCTTGTGGGTGGCATGCAGTACGAGCGCTGCAGGTGGAAAAACAGGCGGTATTCAAGCCTGGAAGGTTGCCCGGTGACGATCAAGAAATGACTAGCGAGTGACTAGTGATAGTCTGACAGTCTCTGGGTCAATGAAGGTTGGAGATTGGGTAAGATTAGATAGAATGTGGCAGAAGATAAAGTGAGCGGGCAGGTAGATGCGTCTCAGGACGCACGCCACAGTCCCGCAGGATGAGGAACGGTCTCACAGAACAGGCAAATATCCAATAGAGGCCCCAATGGTATGGAATAGTGGAATGCACACCTCAATGAGTCAATAATATCTCTCGAGATCAATTCCAAGAATCCAAAAAGCACGACACGAGAGGAATGTCTTCGACATCAGCAGCTGGGCGGTGTGGAACTGTTGGTATACCTCGGGCGACAACGCATAACTCAACTCGACCAGGATAAGCCCAACGGTGGCTCTTTCATTATGATTTGATTGGCTGTTATAGCGATAGCTCACGAGTTCGCCGTCGCAAAACAGCGAGGCTGGGCTGGACTCTGGAGCTAGAAAGTGGACTCCGGGGTTGGTGCCTCTGGGGCTGAAGGGTTCATTCGGGCTGCAATGCTACATTCCAGTTCTTGCTCGATTAGAGCCTCAGCCTCAAGGCGCAGAAAAACACGAGGCTGATGGAAATTAGCCCATCTAGAAGAGCCTTTATTAATATCTCGACTAATATCGCACGGCCTTGTTTCCGAAATTGAGCCATCCTGCAGCCAATTATTTTGATGTCGTACCACCTCTCGATAAAGCCCAGCCTCCCATATTTTGACGTACTAGTGACTACAGAGGTCACCTTTATGGCCTATAAAATGTAGCTACTTTTGAGTAGCTTCAGTTTGATATACTGCGATTTCACTGCAAGAGTTCAGTGCGGCTTAATATCCTAGTCTTCACTATTTGTACATCTGCTAGCCTCATCATAAGCATGTGTCCGACCTGCCCGGATAATAATAAGGTCATATAACAGCCTCAGCCGAGAATCTGCAGCCGCAAAGCCACGAACAGGCTCTATCCCCCATCGCAGGCCTGAGCGTGAGCTTGGGCGTAAAGATGACTCTCCCAAGTCTGTACACAATTTCTCTTCAAGTTAGCAATCTGTTACGGGGTCTGTGTATTAAACAGGTTATTTTAAAGGAGGGGTGGGAAGACATAAAGCATAGATGTATATACATTGAGCATTGGTTCATCTATATACTTCCGTTATATTATCCCAGCAATCGACGGAAAAGATATCTCATCAACCCTTAAGCAGCACACAGGCATTATCGCCAAAACAATAACATTTCAGCCCGTCATCAAAAAAAAAACACCCAACAGAAGCCTAGGGGCACTGATCAGCGCAAAGAGTAAGGGTCTCGTCCGAGGCCGTATCACAGGTCTTGACCTGGCTACCAGCGGGCTGGGACCCATCAGGCCAGCAGATAGTCGGGCATGCCTCGTTGGATGAGGTAACGGTAAGCACCTTGCCTTGGAAGGCAGTTCCGAAGACAGTCGACAGATCGTACCACAGCTGGTTGGGGTCGAGGGTGTAGGCGAAGTTGAGCTGGGGGCTGCCGTCGTAGAGGCCGTTGGAAGTGCGAGTGATCTTGAGTGAGATGCCGCCTGAGGTAGGGTCCCGATAGAACTGCTCGCTGAAGGTCTCACCAGGGTTGATCTTGTGGACTTCGCTGACAGAGCCGCCAACGGACCAGAGGTACATAGGAGCCTTGCAGTTGTTGTGGACCTTGGCGTCGCCAACGGCACTGGCAACAGAGGCCAGGGCCGCAATAGAGAGGGCAGCGATGTTGGTGGTGTGCATTTTGCAGGTATTGGGAGTGGTTCTCCTTAATAGAGAAAAGCAGCTGGGGATTTGATGGTGTTGAAGACAGAAGCTTGTGTCTTGTCCGAGGGAGTAAGGCCAAGCTTAAATAGTTTTCGCCGGGCATCACAGTTCCTGTTTGGTGTAAGCAATTCTGTCGTTGAATACCTGTTGTCTTTCACCAGTTCGCACAGCCCAACCTGAAATCGCCTGGAGGATCACTGATGACCGCATCACATCCGTGAAAACCCTCTCCGGTAGGGCTGGGGACCCCGTGATCAAGGTATCTTGACGTAGCGAGAAGTTGCCTGTGGCACAAGCGACAACATAGGATTGGCTATGTCGTAGAATATACGAGGAGAGGCAGGAGGAAAAGAGGCATCCGGCGGGGCTGGGTGAGACAGTTACATCCTGGATCAAAGTATCCAGAGATACAAATATGGTCAGAGACAACTCAGACTGGCCTTCGGGGCTTGGAGGCTGCAAACGAGCCCAATCATGCTGGATCTCTTTTTGAGCCAATGGAGTTTACATTGGCAAGTGGAAGTCTTGCAGATGTCTCAGGATGGTGTTGAACGGAACGAACAGGATTGCTGGATAAACGCCTCGCTTTGACCGTGGTTCTGCAGAGAGACCTCGTATTCGACGGCTGCCCATGGACTTCACAAACTGGCTCGCCTTAGCTTTGTTCTGTGTCTCAGCCATCATCTGACTGACCGACCTGAAGAGAAGAGGTCGATGTGAGGTCAGACCACGCGGGGACAACCTGCCATCCCCGCGAACCCGGAGGAGCATTCAGCACGAAAACACTAACCATGTGGAACTTTCGGGTTTCGGGGTTTGGGGTTTGGGCAGCCAAGCTGTGGGGGAGAAATTGTAAATTAGGATATCAAAGCCAGATGCTACTCATGGATAGATACGGGGAAAAAAACTCTTTCGCTAAGTTTCACTCTACACGCTGATCTTTCAAGCCATGTCAAGCCATTCGAAGTCATGTCAAGCCACGCCTTGTTGCAAATTTCAAAACAAGAGAAACAACACCATCGACCGATTATTCCAAACCAGCCCGAGACTGAAAATGATACGAGATAATACAGTAGCGCTGATAAACCCTCGGAATAGGTGAGATCGATGTATGATTAGGATTCCCTCGGAGTGGCCTTTGTAGGAGACCGGCTCGAGGGCTGCTCCTCCGTCTCGTCACTCTCAGGCGACTCAACTCGGCTTTCAATCCATTGGAAAACCTCATCTTTGTGGTGAACAAGCATCTCACTGAGTGCTTCCTTTGGTGATTCAAGCAGATTTCCGTATCTTTTAGATGGCTTCTTCGGGTTCTTCCACAGCCCATGGGCGTGTGAGACATATACGAGCGAGTTCTTCCAGAATCAGCAAGAGCCCCAGAGGTCACGAATGGAAGGAAATTGTAACAACTTACATCTTTGTACCATCTTGACAACCAAACCTGGGTATGCGAGGCAACTGCGCGGACTGGATCTCGGGCCACAAATGAGATCACTCCGTTCACTCGCTGGTAAAGGGTTTCTGTCTATGGCTTAGCTTTGTTATGGCCGGCTCCGCACGGCGGTTCCCTACCTCTGTTTATTAAGAGATTGGCAACTCCATAAAACGCATTCCCAATTCCAATCAAGAATATTTCCGTTGCTTCATTAGGTCTAAGATTCGAGGTTAGTCTCGCCGGTAACATCGCGAGCAATCTCCAAATCTTACTCGATGTAATTGTCCCACAAATAACCAGCTAGCTCTTCAGTTGCTGTCGGCCGATTCTCGTCTTCATCCTCGAACCTATTTGGTGCCTATGTGACCCTGTTAGCGAAAGTGCTCCGCGGAACCCTAAGTCTACTCACTGGCTCAGTTGTGACATGTTTTGGGATGTTCACGTCAATTACACCATAACCCTTGCCAGCAGCCCATTGGACATAATCCTTCATGACATCAGCCTTGTTCTGGTCAGCGCAGCCATTGCAGGAGGGGGCCTGTGCACTTACAAGCCAGCAGTTGTGCGCCTCCAATCTATTAGTGACTGGGTGTGGCAGCCCCATGATCTCAGGCCTACTCAGTGTTAAATATGGAACTCATTTACAGTTGAATGGAACACTCACGGGTCATGGAAAATAACTAAAAGCGGAACGGCCTGGTTATAATTCGGACTTCAGTGTGTTAGCTGGTTTCCAGTTGGCCGAATTCGAGTGATTACCTTGCCAAAACTTGGTTCTCAAATGAACGAGATATGGCAGTTCGATATATATAGAGTGAAGTGAGCTTGTGGTTATCATATAGTTGCTTGGCCTGGTAGGCTCGAATGACATCTGTAATTTGATCAGCGTTCATGCCCTTTTTCAGTTGCTTCTCAAGACGGAGGTATACCGTGAAGTCTATCGGTCCAGAGTCCTTCGCCTTGGGGTCCTTTCGGGTACATGCAATGCCAGTAACTGGATTGGATCATGATTACCCGTCGTACAGTAGAAATAGCCATTTCTGAAGGCGAGGTTGAGTGTAGTCTGTCAGGTGGATCTCCCATGAGTGTTTTCGTGACAGCAAGGGCGGACTTCGAAATCGACCTAAAGTTGTAGCCTCCCTGAAACCCGTAGATTAGCCACCGAGGAAGACAAGCTCTCCAAGTATATACAAACCTCCAAGCAAACAGCAACCTTTCCGTGTGCCAGTGTCATTAGCATGTGTGTCATATGAGCATAACATGCTGGTGTCACAAAACATCCACCAAGCTCATCACCCACGGCCGCATCGAAGCCGGATGCAACTATAGGTGTTTAGTATCCGAATCTGTGTAGTGAGATATGGGAGATTCCATACTTATTACCAAATCAGGGTTAAACTCTTGCGCAATAGGCATGACCACCTGCTGGAACGCATACATGTAATCACCATCGCCCATTCCTTGACTGGGCCAGGGTATGTTGACATTTCTGAAAGGATCATCAGTAAGTGGTTCAAAAATTGGGTTGAAGAACGTGTGGCCGACCTTCCTACACCTGCGCCTGCACCGCAATAATCCCAGTCCCCTTCTTTCTCTCCTGGATAAAATTTCCCGTCTTGGTAAACGTGGAGCGAAATGTACAGAATATTCGGGTCGTCGTAAAAGGCTTTCTGGATTCCGTTTCCTGTCAAGTATGAGCGGTGGTGTTATCTATTTTCAGTTTAAGCAGTATGTATTACCATGATGGACATCCCTGTAAAAGTTAGCCTTTTTCAGTCCCAGATTCCGCGGGTATCACATACCAGTCAAGAATTAAAATCTTCCTGCAGCTATCACCAAGTTGTTTCTGGCAGACGCGCGCTGCAACTGAGACGTTATTGAATAAGCAGAATCCCATAGTCTTATCATGCTCAGCATGGTGACCAGGTGGTCGAATAACAGCTATCGCATTCTTCACTTTGCGAGTAGCGACAGCCAGGCATGTTTCGATAGCACCTCCGACGGATAACAGGGAAGCCGCAAAGGTGAGCTTATTAAAATAGATGGAGTCGCGGGTGTGCTCCAGTGCGATTAATTCTTCATCAGACATATCTGTAGGACATATTAGAGGCATTCAACTTACTCAGAATCATGTAAAGAACATACCTTTGGTGCTCTCTACAAATGCATAATGCGCAGCAGTGTGAACAGAAGATATTTCCTCTTCCGTGGCGTTACGGGCATTAATCCGCTTCAATGGCCGCGCGACCAGAGGTCTAGTTGACTCTGCATCGTCAACAAGCCCTGCCCTGCAGAGCTCTTTGAAAATGTAGTAGATTCTTCTCGGGTCTTCTGGATGGACATCTGACGTCGGTCGAACTTCACAATGGTAACGCATCTGGACATCATAACAAAGCCCTGATGGTAATGAAGCCAGTGGCAGTCCAGGTTGCACTTGTGTGTCTTCATCAGACCAGTCTGAATCTTCTTCCACGAGGCTATCCTGCTTTTCAATGTCGGTAATTGAGGCATCTGCAGGGGCATTCGACTGCAGGACGCTCTTTGGCGGCGATTCGCTCTGTTTTCCCCCTAGGATCGTTGTCTCCAAGGGTTGTGAGTTACCCGTTTGAATCACTGGCATTTGCATCGGCTGGCTTAGCAGTGGCGGGGCCAAATATGGATCAGATCCCCCATTTAGATGGCCATGAGATCTCAGCTGACCCGCACCGTCGCTTGTCGATCGGTTTGAAAAGTCAGGGTTGGCAGCATGGAGGCCCGCCTCTCCCATGACGGTGTCCTCGTCCTCTACCATCGTCACTGGTTGGACTCAGAAGACCCTCTTTATCTCCTTGTCACTGCAAGAAACGGGTTGTGCTAGTACCTCATGACCAACCCAACAGCAGAAGAGTGGCGATATACACAATGTTGACAACCAGGACAGGGGGGAGTAATGGCGAACAAAAGTCTATTGAGGATACAAAGAGGGTGCCCAGTAAGCGCTTAACAATTTAAGCGCAGTACAAGGCAGGAAATTGGATAGGTATGGAAAATATAAAACGGCAATAGTAGTGCGCAAGGAAAAGTGGAACAACGAGGAGACGGGGAGGAACTAGATAGCTCTAGCAGTGAAACCCAAATGACCGCAAAGAGTTGAATCCAGAACCATTGCACACGGTACAACGCGGGTCAGAAACGAGGGCTAGTAGGCGGCGATATATTCGCGCTCAGGCATACAGTTCATAGAAGGAAATTCCACGTCCCAACTATTCGCAACGCGTGCACCAAAGGGGGGTGCTCTGGCATGGGAGTTCGGTTGATGGAGCTCTAGGACGGAGTTTAGGTCGGAAGCTGCCAAAAGCGCCATTCACGTGACTCCTACTGGTCCCAGATAACGACGCATCAGGCTACCTTTGTAAGATGTGAAAGACATATTCCAATGCTAAATCACGCTCTCATCAGGCAGTAATGATGGTTTGACGCTGTTGTCTTAGCGTGACTCCTCGTTGTCGCCCGCCAAAAGCGCAGTTAAGTTACATTAAGTTACAAGTACATGGATTTCAAACTATGAGGAACAGGATTCCATTGAATTCTGATCGTGTATTTGTCATTAAATAGTACGTTATCATAGGATTTTATGCCGATATCCTCCAAAGATCCTTAAGACGACGCTGCAATCTCGGAACATCACGTCACGGACACAGGGCCTGCCCAATCCTGCTGAGGCGCGGGCTATTGTATGGACCAGCGAGTTTTGTTTAAAGGAAACTCCTGGCCTCTGGTTTCCGTCCTGATTCCTATTGGCCATCGACCTTGGCAATGTAGGCTAAGATGCGAGTCAGTAGGAGCAAAATGGCTCTAAATCGGTGTATCGGGAACTTACAGATGAGGTCAACAACACGGCGGGAGTAACCCCACTCGTTGTCGTACCAGGAAACGAGCTTAATGAAGTTGGCGTTGAGAGAAATACCAGCCTTGGCATCGAAGATGGAAGAGCGGGTGTCACCGTTCAGGTCAGTGGAGACAATGTCGTCCTCGGTGTAGCCAAGGATGCCTAGATAACAAGTCAGCGGATATAGATAAGACGCTTGAGGCGTAACCACATACCCTTGAGCTCATTCTCGGAAGCCTTCTTGATGGCCTCCTTGATCTGGTCGTAGGAGACGCCCTTCTCGGTGCGGACAGTCAGGTCAACAACAGAGACGTTGGAGGTGGGAACACGCATGGCCATTCCGGTGAGCTTGCCGTTGAGCGAAGGAATAACCTTGCCGACAGCCTTGGCGGCACCAGTAGAGCTGGGGATGATGTTGGTAGCGGCCGTACGGCCACCACGCCAGTCCTTGGCGGAGGGGCCATCGACGACCTTCTGGGTAGCAGTGTAGGAGTGGACGGTGGTCATCAGACCCTCAATGATACCGAAGTTGTCGTTGATGACCTTGGCGAGAGGAGCAAGGCAGTTGGTGGTGCAAGAGGCGTTGGAGAGGATCTGGATGTCCTTGTTGTACGTCTCGTTGTTGACACCCATGACGAACATGGGGGCATCAGCGGAAGGAGCAGAGATGACAACCTTCTTGGCACCACCCTTCAAGTGAGCGCTGGCCTTCTCCTGGGTGGTAAAGACACCGGTAGACTCGACAATGTAGTCGGCGCCGGCCTGACCCCAGGGGATGCTGGCAGGGTCACGCTCGGTGAAGAAGCGGATCTTCTTGCCGTTGACAACGAGGCCCTGGTCGTAGGTCTCGATGGTGCCCTTGAACTGACCGTGCTGACTGTCATACTTGAGCATGTAGGCCTACATCGCAGATCAATGGTTAGCTATGTCCGACTCTCCTCGACAGCAAAGAGGCTACATACAGCGTAGTGGGTCTCAATGAAAGGGTCGTTGACGGCGACGACATCGACGGAGTCAGCCTCGATGCTGTCAAGTGTTAAAATCTCTTTTTCGCGGAAACCAGTTGAACCACAATGAGAATATTACTCACGCGTTACGGAAGACCTGGAAGTAATGTTAGATTTCAATGAAGACTAGATAAAAATCGGGCAGAGTAGAACTCACAATACGTCCGATACGACCGAAGCCGTTGATTCCAACCTGGATACAACAGTAAGAATTGAGCCATTTCCGGTTCCCGTCTGCATGGGTGTCGTACCTTGGGAGCCATTGTTTGGATGTCTGTTAAGAGCGGGGCAGCTGTTAGTAAAGCTCCGATAAGAAAAGCTCAGGGATGGGTCGATGTGGTTGGCAATGGGAGTCGGAATGGAGGAACGCGAAGCACATACTTATATTGGGGGGTGAGAGATACTTGGTTGATGTGAGGATAGATGGATGGTTGAAGGGGAAAGGAGAAAGAAGAAGAGAGAAGAACAACAGCGGGGAGAAGGAGGAAAATATGGGCAACAAATGTTGAACTGACGCAACGACCTTGTCACGTCCGCCGACTCACACCGGGCGGACAGGCGGGGCAAAGCTACCAGGGGCCTCCCAAATGCGACGGGCAACGCATCGAATGGGTCGATTGTCAGCTGTGTTCCCGGTCTGCGCCGTTGGCCAGCTGCTGAGCAGCCTTTCCGGTTTCATACACCGGGCAAAGCAGGAGAGGCACGATATTTGGGACTGCGACAGCTGCCGGATGAGCCAATCGGCGTGCTACATATCTATCAAACCGGGTACTCGCTCCTTGTGAGGTACCCTCTCGTGAATGTTTTCCCAGCAGATCGGAATCAAATGGGCTCGTCTACCTAGGTTATGCGCAAAGAATTCGGCCGTCCCTCGTTTCACATTCCCGTCAAGTCCGCTTACTGTCGGGTGAAGCTGCGAGTGCTCCGATGATGCAATGGAATCCTCTTGAAATCGAGGGGCAACCCGACCTTTCCGCTTTTGGGCATGGGGGGAGGTCTGGCTGCGGGATAATGATGTTCCGTGCTTCCACTGCCCCTCTTCTGAGCCGCCAAACACCCATGCGCTTATTAAGGGCGTTCTTGATGCGTCTGTTCGCCTCTCCGCAGACCAGAAACAGTCACCGGTCACCGTCCAAGCTCACGAGCTCAGTCACAGTTTTACAGCGGTGGAGACTCTGGAGATGGAGGATTTTAGGCTCAGATTCCACCTGGCAACGCTTTCAGACGCCCCAAAATTAGATCGGTCAACGAATGAGGATGTTCCTTGCCTGAAAGCTCCAGGCGCGACGTCGACGATCAACCGTGATCTAGACAGGCTTTCCAAGATTGGGGGTTCGGTTTGACCCCGTGGCGAAAGTATATTTAATACCCAACGAGGCTGATGCAAAAGGCAGCACCTTGAATGGTGCAGACGCCGTCGCCGGGCAGCAACAGTACGGCTCATTTATTGTGCCGTAGTATCCGTAAAGTAATCATTAAATACCTGATTCACGTATTTAGGGCATGAAGCTCTTTGTGCTCCCGAATTAAGCTGATGAAAAGCGTGGGCAATCATACAATGGCTTATACTTCGAGTTTAGGGTACGTTGCTCATCTGATTCACCATTCAGCTGCCAAGTAACGTTCAGCGTACATTGTACGACATCACCCTGCAGACCACGCTCTAAACCTACCCAAACGTCGAGGGCTGGGTCAACTCCACTACATGTAGTTTGTGTATACTGTTTGAATATGCAATCTCGCAACCTTTCCCAGCACCGCTTACGTACGAATATAAGCCAGATTTTCACAAGCGGGTTATCAAAGTATTCGATATATCTAAAGATATCGAAAGGCTATTTATTAGATAGGATTGTCTACTCTTCCAGGCTACCATCTCAGCCAGAGGGTAAATCCAACAGAGCTACCGCCACCACATCGGCATCTTATGTATAATACAGAAGAAAGAATATGCTCTTGACACCGCTCTGTGTCCAGCTACCATATATAAGCTTACTCCTCCTTGACACCGCCCCTCCAGTTCTTCTCGGCGTTCTCGAGAGAAGCCTTGTCGGTCTTGGGCTGGCCCTGGCTGAGGAAGCTGTTTCCAGCCTTGAAAGGCCGCTGGAGATCGCCAGTTGCGGGCTTTCCAAATACATGAATCTTCACCAGGTTGGATTCGAAAGCACCCTTGAGAGGAATGATCGACTGGATCAGAAGGGGGTTGGTGTAGTTGAAGTACAAGTGCATCACCGCCATCATACCGACGCCCATAAACTGGCTCTTGATGAGCTGACGGAACTGACCCTTGTCGTAGTCCATGTTGGTGGTCGTGACAGGGCGGGGCTCCTCGCCGCTTCCGAGAGGAGCGGGCTCGACGTACTTCAATGTCGTAAGGTCTTTAGGCAGGAGAAATTAGTCAACTATAGGTCCGGAATCTCGCGCTTTTAAAGCAGATGCGGAGAAGCAGATTATGTGGGGTACCAACCATTTTTCTTGGTGATCTGAGCTTGCGTGTAAAGATACAGACTCAGGATGATCACGTTGGACAAGACGTAAAGACCACGGACAAGAAGTAGAACATCTGGATCGTCAAAGGGGACCTTCTTGGACACCTGCATCATCACGACGATGATCGCCAAATTTGTACTGCAAACATATGAACAGTCAGTACGACTTTTATAACCCAGTGTGGAGAGGAACGGCATGGTTTCAGAATGTTGCGATGCCGTCCAACATCGTCAATAAACAAAAAAGTGCGCAGGGTTGGCATACACTTGAGGGGACACCATTTTTGCGGTGGGGATTAAAAGGCAACCAAGAAATAGGGATGGGTTGCTGCCGTGCGATGGGCTTGAAAAGGGGAGTCTTGAGGCCAAAGGACACACGAGCAGAAACTTACCCCAAGCTGTCGCCATCGGCGAAGTCGGACAGCTGTCCTAACGCGCATGAATCACGTGCCAAAGACCCTTCCAGAACAGGTTTTCTCCGTTGCAGAGATAAGGCGATAAGATATTCTGGCCTCAGGCAAGAACAAGTCACCAGCTCAGCTTATGTAACCCACCTAGCACACTTGTGACTCTTTGAAGCTCCTACAACTTCTGCGATCTGATCATGAGCTTTCCAGAGACGTCCACTTCACAGTTGTCATTCTTATAGACACTTATATGCGAATTATTTTATGGCTCGAGCCTCATATTGAAAAAAAAAAAATTATGTTTTTCCTATATGGCAGGCTCAAAATGCCGGTCGGTAGCGAGAGACTGCCAGCCTAGAAGTGGGCGCTGAAGGGAAATTAATATCTATCAACCTGTGAGTTTTTTGTTCCCTAGGCTACCCTCCTTTCAGGTGATCTCAGTGGTTTCTCGCTATATTTCTACCTGGTACGTATATATTGATTGTCTTTGCTATTCTAGTGCCCTGGTTCCTCCATCTCCCAGTCATCGCCAAGGTTGGACTTTGGATGTTGAGGTGGTTTCCAGATTAGGACTAGTGGCTTTCGAGGCTCGATGCCGTCTTAGCGACCAGGATGGCTCTGACATTTCTGACTCCTTCATCCATCAACAACGCGCGTGCCGTCGGTGTGTCGAATTCATTCAACGCCCACCATCACACTTCATCGACTCAGAATCTTGATCAACGCGAAACTTTATAGTCCGCGACCCCGAATCTCGACGCTTTTTCAAAATGCCTGGTGGAAAAGGAAAGTCTATCGGTGGAAAGGCAGGCTCCAAGGACTCTGCGGGGAAGGCCCAAAAGTCCCACAGCGCGAAGGCTGGTCTGCAGGTTAGTGCTTTGCTTGTTTTATTATATTTCATTTCTTCAATAGCTGTTCGCCTTATCGCGATCACCCGAACGCGCGACAGTCCAAAGCTCCTGAACCCGCTCATTTGTTCGCCCCTCCCTCTCTCTTTTCTCGTCTGGGAATCTGGGTAGCTTTTGGTTTACTGCTCTCCACGTCCTATCTTCAGATTAATCGCCTTTTCCCGGCGCTCTATTTACGCGGTTTGGTCGAACCTATTTCTAACTTGGTTTGCAGTTCCCATGCGGTCGTGTCAAGCGTTTCCTTAAGAACAACACGCAAAACAAGATGCGCGTTGGTGCGAAAGGTAAGACTACTTAGGCCTTGTTCAGTTTATTATCTTGGGCTTCGCTGATACTCATGCGTTTAGCCGCTGTCTACGTCACTGCTGTCCTTGAATACCTGACAGCAGAAGTTCTGGAACTTGCCGGAAACGCTGCCAAGGATCTCAAAGTCAAGCGTATCACGCCCCGTCACCTCCAGCTTGCCATCCGTGGAGACGAAGAACTTGACACCCTCATCCGTGCCACCATTGCCTTTGGTGGTGTTCTGCCACGTATCAATCGAGCCCTGCTGCTCAAGGTGGAACAGAAGAAGAAGAAGTCTGACGCATAAACCCCGCGGATACCCAACAAATACGGCGTTTAATGATGATTGAATGGAAAACCCCCTCGTACAGTGATCATGACGACTGAACCCGAGCTTTGCAGACTACACTGATTGCGGGAGCAATCCGCTCCCGCGCTCGAACTTCCTCCTTCGCCACGCTGCGGTTCGACATGTCCATTCGAACTGATCTTGCTATTATTACTTGTTTCGCTATCTCTTCTTGTATGTCTGCTCCGTTGATCATTTATCTCGAGTTATCCAGGGCGCTGTAATGGGAAAAGGGGTATTCTCGGTAGTGGGAACTGGTTGTCCTTTTCATTTGTCTCTTTTCCTTTCCTTTCTTTTTTTCACCTTAATTTTCCTCATTCTGCAAATTATCGGTGTTGAGTGCGTTACGATGCGACTATTTCTGGAAAGCGAAAAAAAGGGAACTTTCGAGTCTCAAAGATCATGTACGAAGTAGCTGTAACTCCAAGCCTAACTAAGCTAAATTAACTCCGGGAATATATTTTCAACGCCTAGCATTCCATATGCAACCAACCAAATCAAAGAACCAAGGAAAAATAAACACTCGGAATTCCCGTAGCTCTGAACTATGCAACTGCGCGCAGTTTATTTTGATCTTGATTTTCATCCCCTCAAATGTCCTGGTCTTGCATATACCTGCGCCAGTCCAACAAACCCAGTACATCTACACATATGAAAGATTTGTACTCCGTACTTAAAGCCAGGAAACACCAGTGGCAACAAAGCAGTAATATAAATAATGCCACACTATACTTCTGGCATACCCGGAATAGAAGTTATATCTAATCGTGGATGCAACAGTAGATGATAAGCTTTAAGTATATAATTTCGCCTGGGTCATGGGCCTCTCAATATGGTGTATGCGCCGCTAGACACCGAGAGTGGTGGGGTATACTAAGTAAGGTATGTAGATTCTGCCACTAGTAGTACGTAGCTAGGTATATCGTAGTAACGCGATCAAATCGACGGGAGCAAGCAGTCCTGACCCGAAACGAGGGAGTAACGCAACATACCTGACGATTAAGCTGCTGCGGAGCTGATGTCATGCAAATTGGGTAACTCGGTACCCCCAAATAAGTAGGTAGCCATGCCCAAGTTACCTGGCTTGGTATCCAAGTCTCAGACCCGTCTCCCTCAGTTGGCACTACTTGTTGCCATCTATGGATATATATCTAGGGTGGTAGAGGGCTTGAAAGACGGAGATACGAATGCACTAGATCCACAAGCTATGGCGAGCGCCGAGTTTCTGTGTGGATATTTCGAGAAGTACTAGTAGTGGATTTAATTCCGCGTGGACATGGAGAAACACGAGAAGGATGCGAGAAAAGCATTGGCAGTGCTTTCGTCGCTTCTGGAAACGGAGGGAAACGGTTCTTCCAATACCCGACTGAAGATTCAAGTTCCATAAATAAATAGAGGTACATCAAATGGAGGCAGGAGAAACAGAGGATAAATAGATGAAGAAGGAATAAAGTAGGAGTAAAAAGAATAAAAGCATTAAACGATGCAAGTTGCCCCATATACAAAAAGATCCAAAAAGTAATGCAAATGCTGGTCATTTCTCTTGTCATGGTTTGTTAATAACAAAGACATATTGATATTGGTATTCTTTTTGGTCGTTCTTCGTAGTCTTCTTGAGAGTTAAGTTTCTGATTTTTGCTTTCATTCCGGCAGACACAACTTCGAAATAGAAATATAGAAAAAAGATAAAATAGATAATAGGGGAGAGGGGTAATGAAAAGGCGCATCCACATGCAAGGCGCCCGCGTCGCAAAATATCATGGCTTCAACTTGCATGATTTCGTTTTTTCGGCGAAAGGGAGAAACATAAACGGAACCGCGTAAACGGCGCGCCTGGAGGGCTGCCCCAAAATAACTTCTAAACTGGGCTGGATCAGAGAAATACTTTCTTTGTGGTTCTCTTTAGTTGCATTGTCGTCTCATCATCCCTCATCGAATCGTAAGCCGATCATCGCACAAACGGATCAGGCCTCGTGATATAAAGGTTCGTATGCGTCTTTCGGTAAAGCAATCTAACAATTTTCGTTGTCTTCATCTCCCATTAAACGTTTACTCCACAATAATTTCCACGCCGGAGTTGGTGCGCAATTCGTCGCTTCCACGCGGCTGGTGTCCGTTTTGTCGTCGGAAACCTGGCCCTTTTTCGGGTAGGGGGCCTCTCGGCTGCCTAATAGGCATGCGCTCCTGTGACTGACCGTCAAATCCAACTCCGATGGTGCGGTTACTACCAATGGGACCAGCGCTGGAGGGTTGGCTTTCCGGCTGCTCCCAAGAGAACATACCCCTCAATCTTCTCGGGCTCGAGTTGGGTCCTCCAATTCCAGTGCCCAGAGATAGACTGCTCAAGCTGTTGACCAAAAGACCATCATCCCGCTGCATACCAAGCGAGGATCCCGATGGAGCAGGCGTCAAGGTGGGGGTGTTAGACGTGACACTCGCTGCGCCATCATATTGCTGAAGGCGTGTGCCGTTGGATTGTAGTGCAGCCGGGAAGCTAGCCGAAGAAGGAACAGGCGAGGGCGTGTAAGAACGCAAGTCTGCGAATGACTTGGCGGCGCGTAGATTCTGTGTATTACCAAAGCTGGCAGGGGAGTCTAGCACTCCCAAAAACCCTGCAGAGGGTTGGCCACGAAGGGTGTTGAAATGAGCAGGCGCCTCATTACGAGACTCGCTGAAATCAATAGTGGCAGCGCGGTTGAGCCCGCGGCGGGCAGGGTCCGCGGGCTGGACCGCGGCAGGAATGGCAGACAAGGGGGGGCTCACATTCGTGCCTGGAGCGACCTTGAACACTTGTACCTGGCGTTGGTCACCAGACCCACGAGACGCGTGGCCCAGGCCCATGTTGTGAGCCAGGGTATGCACAGTGCGGCGCTGGACGGGTGTAAGGTTGGACGGGAAGATCACTGAGTCGCGGCCGGTATCTTCCTTAAACAGCAGAAGTTGGGAGTAGTACGAAAGGGTCTGAGTATCATTCAAATCAACATCTGGAGCAATATTGCGTTAGTTATTGTTCTAGAAAGTATAGCAAACGGAAACGGGGTCGCCATTCACTCACCGAGCTTCTGGCCACGCTGGGAGACAGGAGAAGGAGACGTAGCCGGAATGTGTGATGTGAGAGACGACATGGAGCTCTGAGTCTGGAGTTGAGAAGTTGGCATGGGCCTGTGCTGTTCTTCAAGTTGGCCGCGACGTTCACGCTTCTCGCGCTCAATGCGTTCGCGCTCTTGTAGAGGAAGCATCTTCTTGTATTCAACCCTCAACTTCCTGCCTTGCAGTTCGAAATGGTTCAGGACTTCGATCACGGTCGCTGTTTCTTCCGCAGAAGTGAAATTGGCAAACGCAAGTCCACGGAATACGCCATTATCGAAGTGATAGTTGAATGCATACGGCAGGGGCAGGTTCAGCTCGGTCATAAGTTGAACGAGCTGCTCCTTCTTCACAGCGAAGGGGATGTTCTTGATCACGATGGCAGTAGGGATCAACTCGTCGTCAACATCCGAGGGCCCTGTAGGGTCGCGCATCGAGCCGCCTTGTAGCGGGGCTGATCCAATATTAGAGAAAGGACTCGGGATGCCGGGTTGTTGATCTAGCCATGTCTATTCACGCAAGTTAGCAAACCCTACTTCAGTAGCACCGGCATATATCCTGTTCAATTCACATCACGTACAGTTGGAAGACCTGATCGAGTACTGCGAGAGCCAGTCTTCAGGCTTGCCGAAGCCGAGCGTATACCTCCAAGAGCCTGGGCGTTGGCAAAACCATTCGGATTCCATGTTTGGGAGCCAGGGAGGTCGTAAGCATAGGAAGGATTATGTAGCGACGGGTTCAGCCGGTCGAGATTACGATCGTAGCGGGCCATAGGGTCGTCGTAAATATTAACGGGCATTGGACCATAGGCGTCAAATTGTCGCGAAGGCTGCCGGTGAAGAGGCTGCTGATGGCGCTGCGAGCCAGGAGAACGCGAGGAGTTGTCGTGATACATATCCTGGGTTTGCTGATAACTCATAGTGGCAGAAAATGAAGAATTCCCAACAAGCAGCCAAACCGAAGAATGTGGCGCTGAACCCACCACAACAGTCCCGTTGAATAAGAGTCGGATTGAGAGCGAAACGGACTACTCAGTCATAGGAGCGATCGAGACTGGCGGAGGATAACCTGAACGAGTCGCCGCTAAGTACGGGTTGTTGTAAGCCACGTTTGGGCGAGCACGGAAGAAATCCAACGGAGATTTTCGAGCTAGGAAGGGGGACGATGGGTGGTCGGGGCTTGTCTCGAATCGGCCCGGGGGGAGGGGCGTGAGATGAGGCCTCTGATTGAACAGTGCACAACAACCAGGCAACGAGGAACGAGGATGAAGACGCGAGGCTGATCAAGGAGCCCGATCAAACTCAGCGGCCGAATTATTGGAATTGTCTCGTGACTGGGCGTATGCTCAATGGCCTGAGGGAATCGTTGGCATCAGAAAAAAAAAAAAACAATGAAACAACGGAAAACACAATAAAATAGCAAAGCAGAAAAAAGAGGATCGTAGCGAAATAAACGAGAAGGGAAGAAAAAGAAAAGAAAATCGCCACAGCCTGTGGTGACCGAGACGTTGGGGGGAAGGAAGAGGGTGCGGAAGGGCAGAGAGGAAGACGAGGGAGGGAGATGAGGATGAAGATGAAGATGAGGGGAGAAGAAATTACCTTCTGGGACTGACAGTGACAGAGAGAAAATCCCGGACGGGAGACCGCTTACTCCGGAGTCGATGGTTCTCTCCCGCAAAACCCGCTCGTAATAACCAGTGCAGCTGGATACGTCGTTTGACGGTTTGAGAAATTGAGACTTCTGCGGCGACTGAGCCTGCGACTGAAACAGGGACAGAGACGAATGATGTGCGATTATTGCCCTCAGCCCAGATTATCTAAATCTCACGCTGGCCCCGTGCAAGGTGAAGATCCAGCGCAGGCGAATAAAAGGGGCCGGACGGGGAACGATCGAGGTTATCCAGTCACTCGCTAGTCTCTTTTTCTGTTTGGTTTTGGTTTGTGGGCTGGTGGAGATCGAAGTATCTCTGTCTCGCGCGCAGTCCTCGAGCGCTCTGGCGTCTTGACTGCAGCTTGCGTCGCGAGTCGTCTGTAGCGGCGAGGTATGTCGTCGAGTCAAAGAAACAAGGGGCTTGTCGTGACAAGAAAGAATGTGATTATCAAGGAGAAGCTGCAGATACGTGCGATCCAAGATGGACAGGCGGAGAGTTTCACAGCAACAACAGCGTTGATGGAATGAGCAGCACCGCTCTACATATACTCAGGCCGCGTGAGGTACTTTGGCACGAGCGTCACTTGTCTGCGTGGATAGTTTTTCTATTTTCTATTTTCTGCCTAGAACTGCCTAAGTTGCTGCTCAGTTTTGGGGCTTCTCTCCCCCTTGGCCCCCCTATTCTTCCTGGTATTTTTGGATCTCCCAGCTGGGAAATGACCTCGACGTGGTGGCATCCACCGTCCTTATTGCCCAGTGTCATGTTGATTGTGACTTGATGGCTGTTATTCCCCTGCTCTTGCTGTTGCTATATTATTCCCTGCTGCACGCATTCCCTGCATCTCGCCCTCAGTTATCTTCCCGCCGTCAAGGAGCTCGATGGCATCATTGGATTCAATACTCGCACCGCGTCATCAGCCTTGCTTTTAGGTCCGCTGTTTGATTAGCATATCGTTTCCCTCCGGGGGTTATTTTAGTAACTTCCTTTTGCGTGGGAGACCCGATGGGGCGGTGCTCTTTTGCTTCAGGGGCACTCTCACCTTGCCACTCCAATCCTTCTTGACGATGCCAGACTGGAGCCTCTTGTCGCCTCCCAATCTCCTGCCGCTGCTGCCAGTGCCACTGTGACTGCTGGCGCTCCTGCTGGCCGGATCGGGCCTTCGGGATGTTCCATCGCTCGTCGACTTGGACTGAATTCTTCGGATTCCAAGCGCTGATTATCGGGATCCGCCTTGGGTGGATATGATGTTCCAGATTGACTTCTTCTCCCTAGACAAGGAGCTCATACCCACACGAGCTCCATGCTCGCATTCTCCTCGAACCCCGTTTTCCCGAATAGCTTATTTTCCATTGCCGGCCATTGCTGACCACAAAGAACTGGCTCGCTGAGGCCCGAGTCACTGCATGCTTCGTTATTGACTTCACCTGGAATGAGACAGGAAACAGTATCTCTGCTGCCTCACCGGAAATGAGACCTTCCCCTAGTAAAATGGCCGAGCCCTCCTTACGTCGGTATCTGCGGTCTGCCAGTCACCCAACCGGCGCAGCGACTGGTTCCGCACGACAAACGGAGATTTGCTGTCTCGGTGGACCCTTACTGAGGGACTGTTCCTTCTCGTTGTGATGATCTGCCATTTATTTGAGACATTGCCTGGAATCGCCTTGTGCTGAAATGAAGCCCCATACTCCAACGCACCTACTTCGACTTCATCTGGTTAGAACCCCCCTTTTCTATCAAGGAATTTCCAGAGATGAACGTCCATTCCAGCCAATAAGATTGCCTACAAGCACTGACCAGAATGCGTTGAAAATGAGCTCATTATTATCAATCCCCGCAGCAATCCCTCTTTCCTACTTCGTTAGTGATCAATCTATATGGAGCCAGTTTTACTGGCACTGTCCGTTGCGACCCGCGCGGTTCACTACTAACGCTCGAGCTAGAACCCGCTAGATTGTCACCAGAACAGTCTGAGTGCGCTGGATGGAGCCCTCGGAATCCGACTATTGTCGCTAGGCGGATCAGTCAAGTCCCAGCCCTCGAGACTCTTGACTCTTGAGACTGGCTGCGAATGAAGTGGCAATGTGAAACCGAAGCGTGGATTGGAGCGCGTCGGCTGCAGAGCTCTCACAGTTGCGGCGCTGTTGGCATCTGTCACCTGCGCTGCTGCGCCAGAAGCGTGGGCGTGGCAATCTTCGGGAGTTAGAGCCCCTTATGAGGAGTCGAGGACCCGTAATTAGGTTAGGTAGGATGGACCGGAATCCCCGGGCCATTCCACCCGCGTGGTTTCTGGGACTTAGTTCCTTGAAGATCTCGGGCAGCGAAAGTGTTCTTCACGAATCACGGAAACTCACGCCGGATTGCTTCTCCAAGTCTCCAACGCCGGAAAAGGGGTAGCCAAAGGCTAAAGGTATAGGCATCGGTAGTCTGCTTACCATTCTGGGAAGTGGGACGACGAGGAGAGATTATTCTCGAAATCAATTCACCCAGTCCGATTGCTACGTGACCTGTACTTTCAAACAGACAACCGCCGCAGCTCACACTGGATGTGGATGCTGGGCATCCCTATGACAAATCTGATAAGGTGTTGGGCGATTGCCCATTATTGGAAACTCCGCATGGAAGTTCTCTCGAAGTTCAAACAGTTGAAGCAGTTATGATCTTCGCTGCCTTGGTGATACGCTACTATTCTAGCCTCGGACACTTCCAAAGAGAACTGACCCCAAACCGCGAATATTCCAGGGAATAGACAACTCCGTAATACTATGAAGTAACAAACATGAGGCGTCCACTGCAAATAACATCTCTGGCGTCTGGTCGCATAAAAGACCTGACCTATCCTCTTAACCCACCTGTCTCCTCCTCACTTGCAGATGGATCTGCGCCTAATGCAATGCAATCTGCACCTCCGCCACACCGTCCGAGTACCCAATCTCCGACCTTAAGGCGAGCACTCGACAACAAATAAACAGATAAAAAGCTGGCTAGAATCATATTTTAGCGAAACCGAGGAAAGAATTTAATACTAAATATAGTTGATCTATGTAACCGCAGCGGTGTCAAGGATTATGGGAAACTCAATAAATGGTTGGGTACAACGTGGCAGCACGCGGCTCCTAAATATATAAAAGCGAAAACAAAAGCCCTCCTTCTATTAATGTACTATACAAAATGCCGCAACCAAACAACCAAAGCCCCTTAACCTTTAACCTATCTATTCCGTAAATAAATTCATTTCATTTTATATTATTTTATTTATTTGGCAGCGCACACGACAAATAAATATAATACAGCATAGGAGGCCGTTCGGTTTTCCATACTCAAGCCTGCGCAAAACAAAATACTAAGTAACAGAAACTGGCGTTAAGTACAGACTTATAATAAGAAACGGCATAGTTTTTTTTGTTTTACAGTATGTGATTATGATTGACCGACGAGTAAACGAGAAAGTTGCTACACCCGCTTTTGTTTCGTTGTTGCTGTTGTTATTGCAGATTGAATGTTGAGACCATCTCCGGTGTATCCAGTTCATCCTTAGACAGGATACTGCTCCACGGTCAAGACACTGCATATGTAAGGGATAGACGGGACGATAAAGCCGAAGCGATTGCGAATCAAGCAACAGGCGAAGGACTCGCCGTCACTGAAACAGTCACGGTCTCGGACGGAGATGGCTCACTTGGAGGAGATGGCTCACTGGTAGGGGATGGCTCACTGGTAGGAGACGGCTCGCTAGCTGGCGGAGACTCGCTAGACGGAGATTGCTCACCACCAACACCTGGTGGTGGGGGGGAGGGCTCGGAGGCTGGTGAGGCTGAGACTGAGACAGATTCTGACGGAGATGCGGACAGGGATACCGACGGAGAGACAGACACAGACACAGACACAGAAACAGAAACAGAAACAGATGGCGACGGAGACACTGAGACTGATGCAGATGGGGATATAGATGGAGATGGAGAAACAGAGGGAGATAGTGAAGGAGATACAGAGAGCGAAGGAGAGGGAGACAGCGATGGGAACAGAGATGGAGACACAGATGGGGATAGAGACAGAGACGGAGAAGCAGAAGCAGATGGCGATACAGGTAGAGACGGAGAGGGGGACAGCGATGGGGATAGAGATGGAGACAAAGAAACTGACACCGACGGGGATGGAGCTGGAGCAACACCGGGGGCAACGCCACCTTCGCCGCCCTCGCCGCCCTCGCCGCCGCCGCCAGCAGCAGGGGAAGAGTTGCAGCTAGATGAGGCAGATACTGAAACTGAAACTGACACAGAGACGGCCGTCGACAAAGTTGGATTAGGATAATAAGGAGGGTAGTAAGGAGGATAGGGAGGATAATACGGCGGATAGTAATATGGGCCCTGGGTGTTGTAGTATCCGGGCTTCCCGTTGGAACAGTTACGACCACAACGGCGGAAAACAAAGGCACTGGAAGAAGAAGGAGTGTAGGATGTAGTTTCAAAGCTGCAGGAAGTAACCATATCGTATGCGTCTGTTGATGATAAGTCAGTGGCATATATTCTGAGGGAAGAAATGAGGCCTTTCTACTTACCATTGTCGTGAGGATCATCATCACCATCGTCGCCACTGGGGTTATCTGCCCTGTACTGCGCAATACATGCCTCACACAGAGGGATTCGTGTGCTTGCCTGGTCCATGTCGCACATGCATTGCATTTCGGCACTATCGTCGCTTGTTTGGTTGTCACAACGCTCGGAGGCGCTTACAACGGACTGGCAAACCCAATTGCATAGCTCGGGGACATCACTGCGGTCTAGGTCTGCGAGGGCTACATTGCCCACGAGAACGAGGTTGAATAGAACGAAGAGTTGCCGTGCACGCATGCTGATAGTCACTGAAGGCTCTGATAGCATCAAACCTAACGGTGCTGGATGCGAGGGCTTTCACGACGGCTGGCAGGTTCCAGGCCTGGCCTCCTTTATGGATTTCGTTGGCTCTCCATTGCATAGTCATTGCGTGTTTAAGATTGGGGACTAAACTTTAAGCTTGTGAGTGACGGCGCCGAGAGTAGATGTCCACGGTGAACAGTCAAGATTACATATCACCACTAGGTTTGTAGATGATGTGTAGTTAAACATCTTGGACCCATGAGGCTTCGGTCCCAGGCATGCCGCCATAGAGAATCCTTGGGAAGGAGATCCAAAGGAGCCAATGTTATATAAAGTTGGGGGGCTGAAGGTCATTGTTCGTCTGACAAGGTTTGGAGCCCCGGCATCCGGAAGCTTTCATGGGCACGGTGCCTTGGAACGAGATCTCCGTGGTTGTTCAATTCAGTCTAAAATTGACAATCATTCGTCCAAGCCTTCTTGCGACGATATCATTGTACCCATGGCTGTTTTTGACTGAGCTGCATGGCGTTTTCCGAACCAGGGGCCGTGGCCGAATTCTCAGATAGAGTATATTTCATTTGGATATGCTGCATGTGACCGGAGAAGACTAGGACGACCTTTTCCCCAACCAGTATGCTAATGGGTGCCGTTATCAATGACCTCAGGCGTCTGGTGAACGCCGGTATACTTGTGCATTTTAGGAGTATGGAACAACCCGCGCTCGTGTTACCCAGGGACCACACAGGAGAAGAATTTCTGATTCCAAACTAAGATTATTGCAGCAGAGATTGTGCCTTTTCTGGTCAACCAAATGTTGATGGTATAGCACTGAAGAGCCGACTTGGAAGTTGAATGATGAAACCAAAAGCTCAAGTGGAGGTGATTGGGCCGGGATTGCCCGTGGTTGATCTGAGAGCCTGAGGCCCCTCCCGTCACACGTCACAACGACCAACTCCGACCTCTTGTCTCTTCTTGCCCTGTTTCGGCCTCGACATTCAACCTGAATGATTTAAATAAGTAATAAATTATGGCTCGCGCCGCACTTGCTAGGATGTCCTGGGAAGGCTATTCTTTACGCCCCGTCCAGAATGCGAACCCCACGTTCATCCCAAGCTTCCTTTATGGCACAGCATGGAAGAAGGACCGAACAACGGACTTGGTGCATCAAGCAATTGGCTCTGGATTTCGCGCGGTAGATACGGCAGGCCAACCAAAACATTACCGGGAAGATCTGGTCGGTGAAGCTATACGTAGAGCCATCGGTGATGGGATTGTTCGCCGGGAGGATCTATACGTATGTTGGAGGACACTTCGAATAGTTCTTTCGGATCGGAATGCTAAACAGCTGTCAGGTTCAAACAAAATACACATCTGTCCAGGGACAAAACCCCAATGATATGCCGTATAACCCCAAGGATAGTGTAGCAGACCAAGTCCACGCTTCTGTGAAGGCGTCTCTGTACAATCTTCGCCCGGCCACTGCGCATGAAAGCGCGGATGAGACGTACATCGACACTTTTGTACTTCATTCTCCGCTACCCACCATGGCTCAGACAATGGAGGCGTGGTCGACGTTGGAGACATATGTTCCCCATCGAATCCGCAACCTGGGCATTTCAAACACCACACTCCCTATCCTGAGAGAGATTATGTCGTTGGCCAAGATAAAGCCTGTTGTGGTGCAAAACCGGTTCTACGGTGGGACCCAATTCGATGTTCCCCTCCGTGCTTACTGTCGAGAGCATGAGATCGTGTACCAAAGCTTTTGGACGTTGACAGCAAACCCCGAGCTGGTTCAATCCAAGCCGGTGTTGTCGCTTGCAAGGGGCGCGGGAGTCTCAACAGCTACGGCTTTGTACGGACTCGTTTTGGGCCTCGGAAATACCACGATTCTGAACGGGACGACCAAGAAGAATCACATGGACGCAGATTTGACCGCGCTCAAGAGCTTGCAGCAGTTCTCCCGTGATAGGCCGGACGATTGGCAAAGTATTCTTGAGGATTTTGAACAGCTCACTGGGGACCATGTATATTTGCAGTGAATTTAATTTCTGTGTACATGTTTGAAAAAAACAATAGCAAATGAATATCACAGACTATTATTTTTGAGAGAATGAACCTCCATTGGATCTCTTCATCTCCAGATTTCCGTTTTGGGACGATCTCGAGGGCCCGCACGTGCTAAGAACGTGACTCAGCCATCCAGCCAATCAGGATGGACTTTTCTCTTTGGCCTCAATGATTATCGGCGCCAAGATCTCTTCAACAGGAAAGAAAACTTGTCTTCCACCAAGTTGTTGCAGCCTGTTGCTGTTCATCCGCAAGAACTTCTGGACGTGAGTTGCTTTGCATTCCGCCCACTCTGCATTATTCCTCGTGTTCCCCAGTTCGTCACTAGCCGTTCGCGCTATCTTGCTTGCTCGGGCTCTCCACCGCCCTCCGGAGTGACGCTACAAGAGCCTTTTTTTCTCCATCACCGCTGCAGCTTCAGTGTCAATCCAGCCTTGATGCTGGCCGACAATTTGATTCGTCTTCCTCCACCCATCGCCTAGACGAGTCCAACTACCTGCGCCATCAATAGTCTTCGTTTTTTATCCAGAATCCGACCCCGTTCGCTCTCCGCATTAGTGTTCACTGCGCCCGCCCGTCGCGCAGCCGCGATCTATCAGTTTGAAGCCGTCGGTCATCTTCTTTATCCCTTCGTATTTTCGTCATTTTCGTGAGTATTATCACTTCAAATACGAATTTTGAGACAGCTTCCACAAGACGATTTGATCCGCTTCTTTCTGTTGAAAAGTTCTCTGGAGTCGCATTTCTCTATCACACCCCGCAATATCTCCCGCTCCGAACGTGCAGGACTCGGACCGTTGGTTTTGATTTTTTCCACCCCCTCCTCGCATAGCTAGATCGCACGATCCGTCGAAAGAATCTGCCTAGGGCAAGGCAGCGGTCTGTTAAAGACCCGAGAAGACGAGCAGTTCCCGACCGTTGGACCTCCGACTGCCTGAAATGAGCCCTCAAGGAATCACTCGCAAGAGACCTGCCCCCGGCACATCCCCAGCCGTCCACCCCCAGCTGGGTCAGCTACCGAATTATCCGGCGACTTCAGGAGCCCCATTGTCAAATGACCAATTCTTACAATGGGGTCAAAATACATCTTCCAACACTGTTCCCGCCCCATCCTTTCCTGATACAAATTCTTACAACACTGCCGCTGGCTTACCGCCATCCACTCATGATGTTCCCAGCACCTCTACAGCGTCCAACCAGGTTGCACGTAGACAACCAGCAAACCAGATTGTGAACCGAAGTCGCAGCTACGAACAGCCCTCAGCATCTCTTCCCGAGCAAGGCAATGGACCCGAGTCTGGAGGTTGGTCAGAGAGCTTGGATGAGCTCTACCAACGGGCAATGGTAGCAAAAAGGGAGGCTCAGGCAAAACGAAAACAAATACCACCCTTTGTGCAGAAACTAAGCAGGTATACTGGTTCCTCCGTCTTGATGATGCCTTGGCTAGACCACTAACTTTACGGTTTTTAGTTTTCTTGACGAATCTAAAAACACCGATTTGATCCGATGGTCCGACGACGGAAATTCATTCATCGTGCTGGACGAGGACGAATTCGCTAAGACGCTAATCCCGGAGTTGTTCAAGCACAACAATTATGCCTCTTTCGTTCGACAGTTAAACATGTACGGGTTCCATAAGAAAGTGGGCCTTTCAGACAATTCCATGCGGGCCAGCGAGAGGAAAAACAAGAGCCCTAGTGAATATGCCAACCCTTACTTCAAACGCGGCCATCCCGACCTGCTATGGTTGATTCAGAAACCGAAAAATGCAACAGCACAAGGAACAAAAACCAGCAAAAGTTACGTGCGTGTGAAAACAGAGGATGCGGAAAACGAACCTGATGAGTATGCTGATGATAATGTTGGGGTAACACGGGATGACGGTTCCCGGAATCGTCAGCTATCTCTGATTGCGCAACAACAGCCGTTACCGAAGGATCAGTTCTCAAATGTTTATCGGGAATTACAAGCAATTCGTCAACAGCAACAGATCATATCCAGCACCATCAGCAAGCTAAGGAGGGAGCATGAACAGCTCTATGCGCAGGCAGCGAATTTTCAGGAGCAGCATACTCGCCATGAGAACTCGATTAATGCTATACTTACTTTCCTCGCCACCGTGTATAACAGGAGCCTCCAGGGCCAGGAAGGCCAGAATCTCGCAAACTCCTTCGCGGGGGCAATTTCACAGGACCAGGGTAATGTTGTCGATATGAGTGATGACTATTCTTTTGGCCCACTGGGCACCGGTTCGATCAATAGTCCCGGTGGCCCGCGGTCAATGAAAAAACAGCCCTTGCTGCTTAAAGCGCCGCCCGGCGCGGACAACCATGGTCGTGCTACAACACTTTCACCTGCCACAAGCGCATACGATCGGCCGCAGCCTCGTGGCCATGCCCGGCAGCCAAGCGCTTCACAATCTGGACAAGTCGAAGAAGTCTTTGACACTAGCCCGCGGCCGAAAGAGGCTACTGCTCCCCAATCCCAGGAATACCCCCAGCGAGACATAATGTCCGTCATTCAGAACACGAATGCACGAAACGGAATTCCAACCACTTATAGTGACTTCCCAAATGTACTATCATCACTTGAGACCTCAGGCGGTAATGTTCCTCTCACTCCCAACCAACGTGCGGATATGCTCCGTCTCATGGCAAACGAGAGTGGCACGAACGACACCGGCGAAACCCCACCCCAGAATAATTCTCTGATTAGCCCGATGCCACCGCCAATGCCAAACAATTACTCATCACGCCTTGCTAACACTCGGTCCGAAATCGATAACCTGATGAAGATGCAGGCGGAGCAAGACCGGTCTGTTCAGAACCTGACGAACCTCTTACAACCACTCAGCCCAACCGGCGCCATCCCTGGTATTGGGGCTGATGGGAACATCCCCCCTCCTCCCCTTGAGCTAGACCAGATCTTTAACAACGATTACTTTACCGACTTTGGCGATTATGATCAACATAATAGGGGGAATATGGATCTTCCAGGAGACTCTACGGGTGCTGCTCAGGCACCTGCCACAGTTGAACCCCCAATATCAGATGACCCAACAATCAAACACGACGGAAACGACTTGTTCGATTTCGATCATCTAGCCGGCGATGGTGAACTTTTCGGAGGAACAAACCAGCACCAAGCGAGTCCCGGATTCTTCCCAGGATTCGATAACAATGGCTATGGTAACGCACCCTCCAACCAAGCCGCCACAAATCCCGCCATCAGTGGCCCCGGACGGGTAGTGGAGACGCTCACAGACAGCGAAACCACGAGCCCCAGTAACACAGTTGAAGACCCGTCGCAATACGGCACTGGTGCCCTTGATACGGGAGATGATTCTCAGGGAGGGAAAAGAAACGGAGGCGGGAAACGACGAAAGAAAGCTTGATGTCTAATTTATACCTTTTATCACTACAGACCCTTCCCTTCTTATGTCCTCCACCTTCCCTATACTATGAATGAGAACATCCAAGCCGAGCTTGAAGAATATTTATCACAACGTCTTTTTTTTTTTTTTTTTTTTCCCATTTCGGATAGGAGGCCGGTTATACGTACGTGCGACTGGTTATAAGACTGGGCGCCGGCTACAGAGTACACTGTTTAGAATAAGACATTGAGCAATTTCGGCGTGCATACTACTGCCTTAAAGGAGTTCGCCTTTACCAACCCACGGATTGAGACAAAGTCAGGGAACATGAATGAGGATGGAGGGAGGGAGGGCAATCTCGAGACGCGCGGGCTGTACCTTAGCCGACAATGAATGCATCCATGATGCAAAAGGTCTCTATTTTGTCTGTCCACCGTGCTTGGGAGGCAATCGAAGTTGAGCTCTTCGTGTTGATTTGTTGCAAGCTACCTAGCCATTTACTGGTTTGTATGCTCAGTTTATGTTTCCTTTCCTTGATCACCAGGCTTAGTGGTTACAAAGATGAGAGAGAGAGTATACCATTATACCCTTTATCCGTGTATGTTTTTCAATGGTATTGTTGCCATTGGTATTCTTATGAGATTATACGATACATATCAGCTATACCAGGTCGACACAGACGCCTATATTGCGAATATACCAAGTAGCTTGTAGTCCGTATGTGTGGATTACTTCTTCGACCACTCCAAATCTCCCACCCTTCCCCTCTTCCTCTCCCTTTCGCGGTCTCTCTCTAACCCCCTACCTTTCCCCCGTTTCGAACCAGACCCACCGGCAATCTCCTTCTCCCGCTCACGAGGATCAATCACCATAAGCGTGTCGGCGTCCTGGTGCTCCTTTTTCCAGCTCAGGTCTTTACCGAGTGTGTCCTTACCAAAATGGAGTTGATGGCTGAGCCAGCCGCTGTCGTCGGCGTCGTTGTCTGCAGAAGTAGCAGTGCCGGCTTTAGCGTTTCCGGAGCTGTCCCATGACTTGCATGATTGACAATTCGCGATAAAGTGGAGATCGCAGAGCTGGGATTCTTCGTCGGCGCCGGCTTCTTCATTTTCCGTAGGTGCGGCTGCACTGGGTTTTGATGTTGAGGGTTGTTTTGTTGAGGATGATGTGGTGGGCTGGGAGTCGGAACTTTCCAGCTTGGCCTTGAAGGCATTGAACATCTTCAGGGTTTCAGCTTCCGCGCTGTTAGTGCTGCTGAAGCCTGTGATGCCGTTAGATGTGGAGCCTGAGCCGGCGTTGACACTTCCTGGAGCGGGCCGTTTGCGACCTCGGATTGCTGTTTGAGGGATCATGGCCTCGAGTGCAGATTTCGGCTTGGATTCGGCCGCTGGGGCTTGAACCGTGCGGCGCATGGAGTTTTTGAGGTTTTCGATTTCGGCATTTGTTCGTGACAGGAATGACTGTCTTTGTGGTGGCGGTGAAGGGGAGCGTTCTGGAGATTCGGGGTCCGGTAATGGAAGTTGATTCGCGTGGTCTGGTGTCTTTGCGCGAGCTCTGGGTGGAGGAGAGGGCTGGTGCGCTGGATTTGGTGATGGAGAACGAGGTCTTTTACGCGTCCCCGAGGACGGCTCTTTCGATGTATCCTTTTCTGGGAGTTTTGTGTCTGTGACAAGAGTAGGATTGAACTTCGGTTTCGCAGGTCGAATTGGCATATCCTCCTCACCCTCCTCGTCATCCCCTCCAAAACTAAGCAAGACTTTACCGGGTTTGGACTTCTTTTTCTTCTTCGTGGCCGGTTTCTCTTCTGTCTTTGGCCCTGTAGCGACAACTTGCCTCTTTTTCACTTTCTCCGCGAACGGTCCCAGATCGCCCACTTCGCAGGACGTAATCTTCACCGGATATACGGGCCTCTCAGTTCCCTCGATGCGATCCGCATCCGCAATCTTCAACATATTGTATAACGTATCACCCTCAATGCGTCCAAAAAGCGTGCACTGCCCATTCAACTCGCGCTCCGTATTGGCAAGAGTGATAAAGAACTGACTTCCATACGTGCCATCCTCGCTCTTCGCCATACCAACTAGCCCGCGCCGGTTATACCGTAATCGACTATGTAACTCATCGCGGAGTACAACCTTCTCGTTGGGGTCACGCGCGTCAGGATCGTATTCGAATTCAGGGTATTCGTAGATGGATGTGCCGCCGGAGCCAGTGCCAGTTGGATCACCACCCTGGACGATGAAGTCAGGGACAACGCGGTGGAATATTGTACCGGCATAGTAGTTGTCCATGCAGTGTTGCAGGAAGTTGCGACATGTTAGAGGGGTTTGCTTTGCAAAGAGCGCGATGTGGAGGGGGCCGAAGGTTGTGTTGAGCGTCGCGGACGCTGTCGGTGCTGGTTCTGTGGCATAATGGGCCGACATCTTGAGAGAGTATAGGAAAGGAGACGATCCGATCGAGGGATTGCGCCCTCTAGGCCGAGATGGGGTGTTGCGAGCTTCTGGAGCAAGGCAAACTTAGAAGTTTTGCGGAGAGTCTGGACTGAGTATGTCCGTTATGCATAAATTAGAAGCCCCAATTTATTCAGTATTAGTTAGGGGGCATGAAGCCTTGCCCTTTCACGGATTGGGCGTCGTGGGGTGCGAGTGTGGCTGGCGAGATCCAAAAAAGTCGTGAAGTTGAAGCTTTTCGGGGAAGTTTCAGTTGGTCACGTCACGTCAGCCGGGGCCAAGCATTTTTATAGATCGCCGAACAGCACCACAACATTGAACAGAAACATGCAAGTAGAGTATAAACCCCGAGTAATTGGATATATCTGTCAGCATATTGTGCATTAATCGACTTTTGGTGTAATGATACCTTCCAGGTTAGCACTGTATTCTAGCCTGATGAGGTGAAATATGCCTAAACTACCAGATACAACAACGAGGCTGATAGAATGTTATGGGAATAACGATACCTGTTATCTTGACGTAGCAGTCTGGGTAGTCATATAGCTACAAGCAGAGATTCAGACTCGGCTTGGATAGAAGCAAAAGGAGAAGGGTTGCTGCTGAATACTGGATTAGGGTATATGCTTTTCAGGTACTTCTAGGTACTGCTCTACAAAGTTATGGTTCCTCGCACGGGATGGTAATCCAAAGACACGAAATTCATTTTGGAGACGTTTCAACGTAAATTAGCGTCGTAAACTAAATTCGTAGCAACATAATTAGGCGAACTGCTAGTAAACAATTTACTTGTTTTCGGCCACCTCCGCAGCCGCAAAAGCGGCACCCTTGCCCTTCCTGGTAAGCCGGAACCCGCCGACAAGCAAGATGAGCGCCTCCAAGCCGAGAATCACACCAAGCGTCACCATAGCACCAATAACTCCGGCCACAGCCTTGGAGATACCACCGCTGCCACCAGATGCACTGTCTGTCGAGGCGGATCCAGAGCCGGAATCGCCAGATGAAGAGCACTGCCCGTCAGTGTTCCCGCAGGCGTCGCACCACTGGTCAGTGGTCATGATGGCGATTTCCTCGGTCTTCTCGACAAAGGTCGACCATGGGATTGCGGTGCTGGATTCGCCATAGAGTCTGTACTCCGTTAGGTCATCCGAAGAGGAGAGCGTGCCGTTCTGGAAGTAAAAGCGGACGCTGATATCCTTGGGGTCTGGAAAAGAGTCGGATGTGGAGTTTGTGACGAGTTCCCAGGCCATAGAGGAAGCGTAGTCGGGCACACCGGTGAAGTTGACGTTTACTTCTGGGAGCTGGGCGAGGCCGAAGTATGAGAGGAAGGTGGCGTATGCGCCGAATTCGACGTGGAGCTTGACTTTGCCCTTGGAGGTGACTGTTTCGTTGAGGCCCATGAGCATTTCAGCGGCAAGGGTTTGGCCAGCGATGGCGCGGATCTTTTCAGTGGAGTTGTAGGCCAGGTGGTATTGTTCGATATTGGCGTACAGGAACGCCTGGTGGAGTTGCTCCGCGGATGGGACGTTGGTCGTGTTGTGGATGTAACCAACGTTAAGGTAATCGAAGATAGAGTAGGCGTTCTTGAAGGTCCTGTCGGATTCAGAGAAGGAGGTGTTGATTAGAGGGGCGAGGTCTTCGTAGAAGCTTTTGGTGGAGTCGAGTAGGTCGTTGTACAACTTGGACCCATAGTAGTTGTTGCTGCTCACTATGCCATTCTGGCAGTTTGACGTTGACTGCAACCAAGTGCTGTCCTCGCTACTAGCCCCAGAATCGATCAAGGATAGTGGGATCAGCTGATAGCCGTCCAGTGGCGCATGGACGGTTGTTTTGTTGCGCAATTCCTGGCTGGCCAAGTCGCCAACAGGAGGGTAAAGACCCTGCAGGAAGCCAGTAGCAGAGTTCTGGAGCACAGCATCGGCTGGCGCCGAAGCAGTAAGCTGGGAGAGCTTAACGACATCCTCGCTGATGCCAGCGACATATTGACTTGAGCTCGAGTTGATGTAACGACTGTTATAGGAGGATCCCGTTATAAAAACCTCCCGGTACCCGAGATCAGTGAGCTCTGTGTTCTTGAGGATCTTTGCAGTGCGGTCACCATGGCGCGCAAAGACATAGGCACCGAGAACAGTCTCAGCGGAGACCTGTGCAAGTGGAAGCGCCGAAACGGCGAGGAGCTGCAGTGAGGAACGCATTATGGCAGAGAAGCGCGATTGGAGAGACAGAGACTTCTGGGGAGGTGGGATGACAAGGCCATTAAATACATCCGGGATGAGTTTCCGGCGGTCGCCATCAGACTATCAGGCCCTTGGATTGAGTAAACTTCAATCCGGCCTAGAACAACCTTGGGGTGGGGTTCCATCAACGACCGTCACTCGAGCCCGTACGGAGCAGTTTTCATTTCTCCTCGGGTCTCTCCTCGTTGGAGTAAAGTCCGCGGAGGGTCATATCATGCAGAGCATGCACGCTATGGTGCGGGGACTCGAGGGCCCTACGGGAGAAAAGTAACATTGGAGAAAAGGTTAGCTAATGGGCTGCATTCATGAAGATACAGCAAGCGGTTGCCATTGGACGGTGGAACCGGCACTTCGTTTCCAAAGGTTTAGTTGATTTAGCTCAAGCTCTTGCCCATCGGCCATGTCCGCCGTCTGGACACCTCCAGCGCCCGACCGGATCAGTGGTCTCAGACTATGGGAGTGTACTCTGTGCGGCGTGCATTCCCAAGGCTTCTGGCAATGCTTGACGTGCTTGTCGTGCTTGGCGAATATGTCGTCCAGCAGTTGGGAGATCTGATAGTACGCAGTGGCACAGAAACTGGGCGACCCCACTCTTATCTCCTAGCCGAAGCTGCCCACTCTTGATCCCCTCGAACGCCTACAGTTTACATGCATCCAGTCGCAAGTCTATATTACTTGCGCTACGAATCCTGAGTTAATGGGATTATGCAATTATATTTCATAAAATAGCGCTATGTCGCCATGCTCGCTCCTTTGTCCCCCATCAATTCACATCCATTGCGAACAACCCCCACCAGGCCTCCGGTTTGAACGGTCTCCGATCCGCCGGCGGAAAGTCGCCATTCAATCTCAGCTAGTCCCTCCAGCCATGTAATCCGCGTTTGCGCTGGGACTTCAAGCCGCTGGAGTTGCTCCCCCAGTGCAGCAAGAATATCTGCCAACGCAAGGCCCTTGTTAATCTTGAGTGCATTGAGGGTATTGAGGCATGATGTGACATCACTAGTTGCAAGGAGCGTGGTCATAATCTGTTGTATATCAGACGGGTGTGGTGCGGCAATACAGTCGTAAATCGTCTCGTTCGTGATTGTCTCCGGTTCGGGGATGGCTTGGTCTTTGGGCGCATTTTTTATCGGGAGTGGTTTGCCTAGTGGTAGAGGTTGGTCTGAGAGCTTTCAAACAAGTGGTGCTACTTACTGCTTGCATGGCAAGCTTGGAGCACGTTCAAGGCACGGCGCATATCGCCGCGACTCAATGTGACCAAGCTATCGACAGCCTCTGGCTGAATACGCACGTCTTCCTTCTCAACCACCTGGTCGACCAAGACCCTGATGTCTTGCTTTTTGAGTGGGCTAAACCGGAACCGAGTACAACGGGAAAGAAGGGCTGGCGAGAGCTTGTGGGTATAGTTTGCGATAACGCAAAACCGAGTGTTGGCAGTATATTTTTCCATGATTCGACGAAGAGCCATCTGCGCGGTAGCTGTCATCGCATCGGCTTCATCCAGGATGATGAGCTTGAATGATGCGAGCGACGACTTGCTGGCGGCGGGCGGGGCCATTGAGAAGATTTGTTTTGTGCCTGGAAGAGCCCGAGTAAGTCTATATCATAGCCCCTTCAATACAGGTAAACGCACTTGCGAAAGTTTTGATCTGTTCTCGGACAACATCAATTCCTCTATCATCACTAGCATTGAGTTCAAGGACCATCTGTCGCATGTTTTTTGTACCGTATATTCGTCGGGCCAGGGCGAGAATTGTGGATGTTTTACCGGTACCGGGAGGTCCGTAAAGGAGAAGATGCGGTAATTGCTGGAGATGGGATCAGTGACTGAGCTGGCAAAACAAACGTAATGCGCATACATTGGCTTCGACAAACCGATTAATCGTAGCTAGGATGTCCTTGTGACCGGAAACATCGTCGAGGGAGTTCGGGCGATATTTTTCCACCCTGGACCTGGTTAGTTACCGGTAATAAAATTGGTCGGCCCATTGTATCGTTACCAAGGTAGATTGTCTTGAGCTTCTACTGGTAAATCTGCAGCGGCTCTCTTATATTTCCCACTGGTGTTATCAGAACTGAACTGGACGGCGTTCTTGGATGCGGGGGCATCCACGTCCATATCGTCATCGTAGTCCGACATAATGGCCAATTAGACAGTACCCTCTGAAGAACTTCCAGAAACCGGCGTCGCAAATGCGATATAATGTGAGAAGGGGCGGTGTTGCAGGGTATTCTGATTCTCGACGCGTCGAAATGCGGCAGCGCGTAAAGAGGTTCGGCGCCGGAAAATCTGCGGAGCTCCGAGCCCAAGTCTCACGGACAGACACCGTTGCTGCGGGCGGTGATGACATGCGAACTCCCGCTAGGTAACAGCTCCGCCATCTACACCCACGACACAGCTCTTATACTCTGGACAGGCTCTAGATATTTAATACTCTCATTAAAGTCTTTCAAAATGCCAGTATGTGGCTTTGCCTCAACACCTCCCTCTTGCGCAATGCATTAACAGCCGATTTCTAACCAACAACCAGGCCTATCACTCTATCTTCCTCGAGGACCGGGACGTCCCCGTAATAGGTATGCTTTGAGCAATCACCCCTACTCCCTCCAGAAGAGCGGACCAGGAATTATGTACAGTCGAAAAGGACACTCAATTAACCTGGTTTCTCGGTCTGCAGGCAACTTCCCAGTCCTGCCCCTCCGCACCCGCACTCGCGGCCCCGCATACACACTTCCCACCCTACCCCCAGGTGCCGACCTCGACGTACAGCCAGACAACGAGTCATACGATTGTGTAGACGAGATCATCTCTCTATTCAGAGCCAATGTCCTGTTCCGAAACTTCGAGATCAACGGCCCCGCCGACCGCATGCTCATCTACGGAACATTGTTCATCACCGAATGTCTGGGGAAAGTCAAGCCTACAATGACAGCTCGTGATGCGGAAAAGGTAGTTTACTTTGGATCCGTATTTAAAGGAGGTTTAGTAAAGGCTGACTGATTCGCCGTTAGGCTCTTAACAATGTCGCCCTTGATAGCTTCGCTATCCCCGGTGATGCGTCTTTTCCGCTGAACCAGGCCTTTGAGCCCCCGAGAGATCGCCAGGATGCTGAATCACTTCGATCGTACGTTTTCAACTTAATGCCATCTGAATTGACTGTGACGTACTGATTGTTCGTTCTTAGATACCTTTCCCAGGTGCGACAGGAGATTGCAACTCGGCTGCATGCGAGATTATACCCTGGTGGTGTTGGTCCGTCGAAGGTTGGTCTTTCTGTTCTGATACAAGGTACAGTTTTGAAGGATGTCTGCTAACAAACAATAATAGTTCTGGCTCAGCTTCACGAAGAGAAAGTTCATGGGAAAGAGCTTCTAGGATAGAGACGTCTACTTTGTTTCATCTTCATTGTACCTAGCGTGAGGACTTTAGGCTCGTTGTCTGATTGAGATTCCGTATCATAAATAAATGTTTCTTTTGACAAAAACAACATATCCTTGATCTACTAGTTAACAGACCTATGTTGATAGTAGGACTTGCTGTATGACCACAGCCTTTTCCAAAGGCCGAGGTCCAACCAGATTGTAAATAAAAATTCCATCGTAAAATCTAGTATACAAAAACGTTTGGTTTTTGTTTTTTTTTTTTTTTTTGTTTATTTTGTTATCATGACTTCATCTCTACATCCGCACTTGTACTCCCAGGCGTACTGGCTGCTTGCGCAGGCGCAAGCTTCCTCTTCTTGCGACCCGGATTCCCAGCGGCCTGAATAAACTCTGTTGTCGGGATGACTCGAATCGCATGGAATATATAGCCTTCCGCACCACCACGACCAGACATCATAGGATGCGTGCGGCCAGGAAGAACCTGCCAAGGACGCACCCTGACTGTTTCTAGTGTGGGCGCAAGTAACAATGTAGGGTTCAGGGAGAATTCTGCGGTTAACTCGGGGAATTCGCCGTTGGCCAGTTGTCCCCTTTCCTCTTCCAGGTCTCGTTTCCGATTTATATACGCCGTCTTCCGCGAAGTGGAGTAGAGGTCCGCAATTTCGGTAAGGGACTCGATTGTGGGTGAGTAGACAACGACAGATGCGGAGCCTGATAGGAGGGGAACGGTGTGTTTGAGGACGCTATCTAGGTCCATGAGTGTTGCAACGACGAGGCCATCGTAGCCGCCTGCTCGGACTTCGTCGACGACACTCCGCACGCGGGCCCACCGATTTCGTTTCCGGTAATATGCGCTGCGTTTGTTTGTTTTGAGAGTGGCGAGTTCGGAGTCTGGAATTATGGCGGGCTCTTCGGCGTAGATTGGGTCGGCTTCGGGGTTTAGGAGTTGGAGCCAGGAGACCGTCTTTAGGTTTGTGAAGAGAGGGTGAGATTCATCGGGGGTGTTCTGGTCAAAGCGAAAGTATTTTAGCAATGACGTGTTGGCTTGCTTGTTTGCGTGAATGAGGGTTATGGTGTTCCCTGTGGCAGACATATGCGCTGGGCGATTTGCTTTGTGTGAGCCTGATTCCTCCGCGCTGCCGCCCTCGGCAGCCTGTTGTTCACCGGAAGCTCCGTTTTCCTCGTTTTCGAGGTCCTCGTCTGGATGCAAGATACCCATTCGTTCAGCCATGGCTGCGACGATCAATCCACCTGTCTCATCTACTACGAGGTAGCGGCCGTTCGGTTTTGATAATGTTTGCTGTATTGACGTGTCGCCGCCATGGTGCACGTTCCCCCAGCTCCCAATTAGTCCCGTCAATTCATCACGCAACTCCATGCTCTTCGAGGACAATTCTCTATTTTCTAGCATATAATTCGTGAGAGCGCTGACGTCCATCGGGAATAGCGTAAATCGTTTCATGTACTTTTTCTGTTTGCGCAGAGTGTACTTGGCGAGAGAGAATGCCGTCTTCTGGTCTATAGTGGCATGCGACTCCAATATTTTTGCAATGATATCCCTCCCCGCGCCCGTTGATTCCTTCTTCAGCGCCTCGATCTCTTCTAACGTCAACTTCTGAGTCGATGCATCGTCGACGATATCTCGATTCGTGCGCGTGGGTAGCCCCTCCTCGTTCACTTCGACGTCGTCATCGCCTTCGCCTTCCGTTATCAATGACTCGGCATGCAATTCTGCTGCAGGCACGATGCGCAAGTGGGTATTCCCTTGCGATTCGAGGATCTCGTAGGTAAGGTAGAACGGGCGTCCGATAATTTGGTTTGCAGGAAATGATCCGAACTTTCCACAGTTTATCAATCTGGTCTCGGACGTTAGTTCATCGCAACGAAAAGCTAGTGGATCACGGTCGAGACACATACGAGTTCGGAACAACTTTTTGGATTTTTGTCGTCTCTGAAGGTAACCGTAAGATTACGAACTGATTAGGGCGGACGGAGGTATGCATGGCTGACTTGATCATATGGTTTTAGACGGCAACAAGCATATTCCGGCAAAGCATAGAGCATGTGTCAAGCACCGCCGTTTTCCTGACTTTTTTCTTTGCGATAGCGCACGGGCCACCAAAGCTCCAGATAAGTAGCGGCTGACATAACGGTACGGACAATTAACGGCCCGTTAGGATCACATGTTTTGTTTCCGCTGTGGCGGAAGATGGGGCGGAGACGGTGGCTGACGACATCATACGATACCATCCCAATACAAATAATACCAGCATAGTGCATGGCAGGCAGCCAAGTTGGAGGGAGATTCCATACCGATTCGTACGAGAGATTCCCCTGCCACCTGGTCCGCTTACCAGGAAGTGGCCTCTTGCTGTCTCCACAGCCAATGGAGAAAGCTCGCGGATTACTGGAATCTGGGTGCCTGCGATCTGACTGATCTGATGGATTGGGATTGACGTGCGTATTTATGCTTAGTTCTATTGAATTTGGGCACCTCCTCTGGTTCCCTTTCTTCAAGACCAGCAAGGGGCAGCGGCATGGCACATATAAACCTACGCTTCCATGCTAAGCTGGAGCTAACTTACCATTGCCTCATTCAGCCTTGCTAGCGGTTGCTTCAGCCCGACTCGCTCGCCGTCTAAGTGCCAGTTACGTATACACAGCCCAGTGTGTCTTCCAACCACGCCAGTCAACTCTTTCGCCCTCGTCCGTTTGCCCCGGCCAAACCGCAGATTTATTTGACTTCGTATTATTGGCCGTGGACTGCGCCCAGCGTTTCAACGTTTGCCCGACAGGCCCGAGAAGCCGTTCTCTCAATCTGCCTTCATGGTCCTGCGAAAACGAGCTCCTCCGCACCTTCATAACCTCAGTCAAGGGAATGCCCGCTTCGAGCCTCACTCTTCACGCTCACGAACTTCCCCAACGTCCTTCTCTGTCTCATCACCCTCCCCCAAGCGCCTGACCCGGCCTTCCAGAGCTCAGAGCTCCCCGCACCCTAGCCGTATTCCGTCGCAGGAATCGATCTTCTCACCCGATCTGAATACGTCACCGGCATTCGATTTAATGTCTTTGGAGCAGGCGCAGAGGTCCCCGATTCGGACCGCGTCCACGGACACTCCGAATCCATGGGCGGACGAGCTTGTCGAGAATCCGAATCACAGTCCCCGGGAGAATGGTGGCCCAACATCTCAACCGGGTATCAACGGTGGCCTACAAAATGGCGAGGAGGCGGATACTAGGAAAGGTGACCGGGTGCCTTCGATACTACTTTCAGGCACCCAGCGCCGAATGGCTGCAAATGAGCCCCCACCGAATCAAGGGGCCGCCGATACCTCTGATTGGGAGTATTTGGGCGCTTCGCCTCCTCAGTTACAGTCGAACAATCCATTTCTGAAGACCTCAAAAAATGAGAGCAACCCGTGGGCTGATAGAAACTCTCGCGCGTCGTCACTTTCTAGAGATGATGCGAGCCGTGGCTTAGGTCTAGGTAATTACACTACATTACTTGGTTTGTAAAGTTGCTTTTGTATACTAACATTCATAGATGAGGGCTATATCCCAATGACCGCGCGCTTATCTCTTTTCGACCAAAATCAGGAATCCGAATCCCCTTGGGCTCATGAGTCTAGCCACAGTCAGGGTGTAGGAATGAGTGGCCAGCGAACCGGTGTCATATCTACCAATTCCCAGGGAGCCCACGCTACCTTTGATGGTTCGCAACCGGCGTCACATCAGCTTCAGCCTGAGCAACCTCCTTCGCAACCCAGAATAAGTACACCAGGAACCGTATCCACCGCTACTACGGGATCATCTCACGTTCTCATTGATTTCGATGAATCGCCCATGCAGGAAACTGGAACTGATTCTCGACAAGCTACTGCACCTACTACTGACACGGCTTCAATTCAAGGCTATGGTCGCCCGGCTGCGCTCCAAAATGTACATCCTGACAATGTTACGCCTGGCTCAGCTATACCGCCTAGCTCTCAGCAGCCGCAAACCGCTACGATTCCTGATGATACCGCGCAACAACAGGAGAAACGAGCCGAGACTTATTCAATTAGACATATAAATTGGAAAGATAATACGGGAGTATTACGCGAATCTCCTATGCTGATACAGAATAAAAATGGGCCTTGCCCACTCCTAGCGTTGGTGAACGCGCTCATCTTACGTGCAGCAAGCCAGGGAACCCCGCCTCCAATAGTTAGGGCTTTGCGAACTAGGGAGCATATTTCTCTGGGGCTATTAATTGAGGCCCTATTTGACGAACTAACAACACGTTTGGGGCCCGATGATGAGTTCCCAGACATTGAGGCTCTTAGTCGGTTTTTGACTATGTTGCATACGGGCATGAATGTCAACCCGCGACTGACATTGGTATGGTTCACACTAGCCCTTGTGCAAGGATCATCACTAACCAGTTTAGGAATCGGAATCTGCCGTCGGCACGTTCCTCCAAACAGAAGATATCAAGTTTTATAGAACATTTGGGGTACCTCTAGTTCATGGCTGGATTGCGAGCCCCTCGACAGATGCAACTGCCGCATTGGAGCGAGTTGGTGAATATCACGAAGATATCCAACTACTTCCGTTCCGTAAACAGGAACTTGAGGACCGAGTTTTCCAGGGAACAACACTTACCACGGAGGAAGAAAGAGTGATGTCGGATATACAAGCAATTCAACATTTTACCGATATCGACAATGCGACACAGTTGAGTCCTTACGGCCTTGAGCAACTGACTAGAACCCTGCAGCCTGGCTCGTTCTCAATTCTATTTCGAAACGACCATTTCTCCACCGTTTACAAACACCCGCAACTCCACCAACTTTTCACACTCGTTACCGATGCTGGCTACTCTAGCCATGCTGAAATCGTATGGGAAAGTCTCGTTGATGTGAACGGGTCGAATGCAGGCTTTTATTCTGGTGATTTTAGACTCGTTAGCCAGCATACAGCCCATGCCTCCGACCCATCCGGTCCACGAACGTCGAGCAATGAGGGACCGCGGCATCCACCTGCACTCTCTGCGCAAGAGCAAGCGGACGCAGACTTTGCATATGCCCTCTCGCTTCAGTACCAAGAAGAGGAGCGACGACAGTCAAATCCCAACCACACGCGCTCCCAAAGCGCCGCGAATCTTGGGGCTAGCGCAAGCACCCCTACTGTGAATCCACGACAACGTCAGTCGTATGGGAGTCGTTCACAGACCAACGTCCAAAGTAGTTCTCAGGGGAACGATGACCCAGAAGATGGACCACCTCCATCTTACGAACAGGCAGCCAAGAGCCCGGTATATACCGGTACGCCACCCCCACAACGGAGCCCTAATAATCTGGGTACTCCCTCGCGAAGCCAGTATCCAAGGGATCGATATGGCAGGTATGCGGATCCTAGCAGATATACGGATCCACGCAGGGAGAGGGAAAGAGACAGGGACTGCATAATCATGTAAACGCCATGTCGGTTGCCTCGTTTAATCCCTTTATAGCATTGACGATGGAATGATAACGGACAGTCATGTACGGTTTATATAGACGCAATTTGGCGCATTTAATGTATCTTAGCAAGTTTATGACGAAACGACTAGCATACGTACTCAATTTGTTTATTATTCTGAATACAGTCTACTTTTAAGCGTTGCCTCCTCCCATTTACGTTCCGCTACCGCCAGCCGAACAAAATCACGCTATCGATTCCAGGGATTCCGAGCACCCGGCCGACGATTCACCTTTCCCAATTCATCACGGCCCAAGAATCCATCAACATGTGCTACCGCCGATCACGTCTTTACGACGGAAAATAGATGAAGAGAAGGAGGGGGTGCTTGATGGATTAATTCGGGTAAACTCCAGATCACTTTTCGGGTTCCTCTGAATGCCTGATTCGTTAACTGACGGGGATCGCATCAGGAACACATGAACCTGAGGACCTTCACAATCTCCACTAGAGGCTGCATAATATCCAGAATTTATCAGTCTCAGACAACCGAACACCATGGTTTGATTAAATGGTATTGGCGACTCCACCACATATTCTGGGTTCTAACTGCCATTGGAGGGAATATCTTGCACCAAAGCTCTTCGCCATTGTTGACACTTCTTCTCCGCCCTCCGGATTTTCAGCTGAAGATTTTCGCATGATCAAATTGACTAGGCTGGGAAATGATGGGCACTATACAGCACGGACTGTCGGTTTCTGCAGAGTTGACAGACCATGTCGACCCACTGGGGCCCTACTTTGTTTCATACCCCTGCGACATCAATATCCTGACACATTTTGTGCTCCAGTTTCGACTTAGAGCAATGAATTGGGGAATAAGAGAGCAGCTAAATCACTGGCGCTACTCGGATAAAATGGGCAAGCAATTTCCGAAACTGCGTCTCAAGTATATATATTAGACTCAGGTTCTCTGATGGAAGATTGAGTTGGTTCTCCAAGGAAACCTGGATCCACACAAGACGTGAAGATGCAGAGGCTACTATCAATCGCTGGGCTGTCTGCCCTTCTGTTAGTTGCACATGCCCAGAACTCCTCGACTTGCTCAGGAACATTTACCCCCATTACTGCCAAGGAATTCGTTGCGAATCTCCATCCTGGATGGAATTTGGGAAACACACTGGACGCTATTCCAGACGAAGGCTCTTGGAACAACGCTCCTGTTGAAGAAGCAACACTTGATTTGATCAAAGAGTCTGGGTTCAAGAGCGTCCGTCTTCCAGGTATAAGATGTCATCGTCTACTGAATGAAAAACCAAACTAACTTTTCTTGTTCAGTAACATGGACGCACCATTTCACGTCAAATTCTTCCGACTGGACTGTCGATCCGGAATGGCTGCAACGGGTTTCTGATGTACTTGACTTTATTACAGCTCGTGACCTATACGCCATCGTGAACGTCCACCATGGTAAGTCGATGCTGATATTCAGTCTGCAGCTCTTTTATTGACCATTTACAACAGACTCGTGGGAATGGGCTGATGTCACCGCCGCCGGAGCAAATATAACTCTAATCGAAGAGAAGTTCTACAGACTATGGTACCAGATTGGTACTACGCTGGGTTGCAAGTCGAGCCTGGTTGCCTTCGAGTCGATCAACGAGCCTCCAGCAGAGACTGCCGAGCACGGGGCAGAAATCAACAAACTGAACAGCATCTTCCTCCAAGCAATCGCCGACGCTGGTGGCTTTAATTCTCAGCGTGTTGTTAACCTTGTTGGAGGTGGCCAGGACAGCGTCAAGACTTCCCAGTGGTTTGAAGCCCCTGCCAATATAACAAATCCTTGGGCTATTCAGTTCCATTACTACAGTCCTTGTGAGTTGCCTGCTCTTATACATTGGAGATCAGTAATGCTCACGCTCTTACCCAGACGATTTTATCTTCAGCGCATGGTAAGACCAAGCGTTTTGATCTATTCCTGTTCTTATCACTCATAATTTTTAGGGGGAAAACAATTTGGGGCTCCGATAGTACCAAGGACACACTCACGACTGAGTTCGAACTGATCCGCAATAACTTCACGGACGTCCCTCTAATCTTAGGTGAATACGACGCATCGGTTACCAACACCGAACCTGCAGCACGCTGGAAGTACTTCGACCATCTGCAAAAAGTTGCCGCCCAATTTGATATTGCCACAGTCCTCTGGGACAATGGCGAGGACCAGCTCGACCGCACGACAGGTGAATGGCGAGACCCTACCACCCTGGATCTCGTCATAGGCACGACAGCAGAAACCACCAACAGCCTCCCCGATAGCACCGAAGACGCAACAGCGTCAGAGCAGTCATCCTCCGCATACATTTTCCACCGTGCCGGCACCCAAGTCACTAACCAGGCTCTACCATATATCTTCAATGGAAACTCCCTCGAATCCATTACGGATTCCGCGGGCACAGTTTTGGAAAGCGGCTCTGACTATTCTGTCTCCGGTGACAATATCGTTTTCTCGGCTTCCTATCTTGGAACCAAGTACACTGCTTCCACTGCACCAGGAGTCATTGATACTCTAACTCTCGAGTTTGACGGCGGCGTTGCCTCTCCAAGAATTGAGATTGTGCAGTGGGATACTCCCGTTCTGGCCTCAAAGTCCGCTTCCGCTTCTGCGGTGGCAGGCTCTGACTACTCCATCCCTATAACATGGAAGGGCCTTTCCAAGCCTGCAACTGTCAAGGCCCTAACTAACTCCGGCGTGTATCTCTTTGATGACTGGACCCAGTACCTTGGCCCCCTTGAGCAGGCCCGTACGGTAAGTTCCAGAAACTCATTCTCTTCATGTACATCCGGAGGGCTAACTTGTACATCAATTTACTTCTTTAGACCTACAGTAGCCAATGGAACTGGGATGATGAGAATGTTATACTCACTTCTGCGGCTATTGATGCTGTTGTCGCTGCCGGCGAGACCTCAGTTTTCACGTTCGAGTTCTATCCTCGTGTTAACGGGACGTTGAACACGGCTAACTTCACGTTGACAGTGTAGTCTTCTGTCCAGTAGCCTGAACATAGGTTAACCTGATGTACCCATGAGATGGTATAGCTTTTTATTTTCATTGTATATATTTTGCAACACCCAAGCTCCAGAATATATGGCCTTTTCACAGAGCATGTCGACTTACTATATAAAAGTTGCGATTTTCAAAGTACTATGTCTCCGCAATCAGATCAGTAAAGCCTTTAATATTGAAATTGTATATATTTCAGCTTTATACTCTAATTATAAGTATATATCTATATAATATTTAAATAAATACTACATTTCTTTAATATAGTAATAGTTAGTTATCTGGTTCAGCTGAGTAATCTGAAAACAAGTCTGTCACGCTGACAACAAGGCTTGCTTTGCTTTGACTTCACACGCTTTATCAAACAATCATATCCAGGTATTCAACATGATTGTTACTGATAAGGAAATATCAAACCCCTCTGTCTCGGAAATGCTATCTAAAGACCAAGTCGTTGAACGGTGCCCCGGAAAGGTCTCGATTATAATCATCTAACATACACTACTGTGAATAGGAAGGTCTTCTTTATCAAGTACAACAATGTTAAAATGGCCGAAGCCCATGCTCAACTTTACCTTTCCACTCGCATAAACGCAAATTCCCAGTCAACCATCTGCATCCCGGAACTCTACCTTGCCTGGCTCCCAGACCATAGCTCAAGCGCTTACCTTGTAATGGAATACATCGATATCCATCACTTTGCGTCCGACGAAGAGCGGGCAAGGGCGCTGTCCGAGCTAATCGCCGTGAAGACGCCGCCGGGAGTGGTCAGGATTATGGTACAGTTGGTTTCAGCGATGAGCCATAATTATGTTACTACAGTAATATTTACCGAGAGAACTTCCCCATTGACCAGTCTGGGAATCTCTGGGTCGTTGGCTTTGATACCACGGGTGTGCTTCCAGCAAGCTTTGCGAGTTGGCCTTTGGATACTAAGTATAAACACCCTCTACCCGTTCCTATTCGGAGGACTATCCCACTCGGCACCTCGAAGAATCTGAAGCCTATGTTTCGAGCTTATCGGTTTAACCAGATATCTATCGGGCAAGCCAGCATATCTGCATCTTATGGAAGGTATATACTCACTCTCTTTATCTCCAGTGAGGTATAAGTTGATGGAAGGGCGGCTTAGGATAGGCGCCTACTGATACCCAGGATATCAGTCAGACTAACTCTTCCTAAGAAGAGTTGACCATTTTTGTTTTTGTGTAGCGGCAAAATTCTGCATCTACATGGTATAAGTCATCGTCACTGACGTCGTTCCACTAAGTAGTAGATAAAGTAAGATTGTCGGGCCCATGGCCCTTTTAACATTGAGCAGTCGAAGAGGTATCAAAGGTCTATAACTGGTGAGAGGGAAGTAACGAGTGAGGCTATTGCTCTGCTATATGGACTGTGTTGTCTTCCTGAGTATAATCAAAGTATTTGTCTCGTAGCTGTCGGTCGTATCATTATTAATATTAACGCAATTGGTAACGCCGGCTCATAAATAAAAATCAAAACGCCTAATACAACGTCTTCAATTCCCAAAGCGGCAAATTCGGATCAAATTTATCCCAAACAATCTTCCCCTTATCATCCAGATGCGCTCCCTCGTCCGTAATCGGAATCAGGGGGTCCGACTCCTCAATCTCCCACGTCGAAACACCCCATTTATCCCTAGGAATCCAAATCGTAGGCGTCTTACTCGTAATGCAAGGCTCGAAGTACGCATTCATCTCTTCCTCTTCCGAGTACTTGATCTCGACGTGGTCACGGCGGACTTTCCGACGCAGTGCGGCAAAGTCTCGATACAGGTTCGGGTGGAGCCATTTCAGCGTTCTGAACCATGTACTTCGGTGTGAGGTTTGGAGGAGCGCAAGTTCCTCCTCTTTGGCTTGTTGCAATTCTTCTTCTACATCGAGGGTGCGCGGAAGGAAGGAGTTTAGTGGAGCGAGGGCATCGTTGAGGGATATGTGGGCGAGGACTGTGAGAATCGTGAACAGGACCATTATGATGAGGGGCCCGATGGCAGATTTGATGGCGAATAGACCGATCATGCAGATGTTGGCAAGATAGATGCCTGTTAGAAGGTGTTGTAGAGCGCGTGGATAAACGAGGCCCTTGGTGTCGATGCGAATGTCGTATACGAAAAGGAAGTTGTAGCGGTAGGCTTGATACACGAGAAATAGGCCGGCGAAGCAGAAGCCTAAGATGAGCGGGGCGATACAGGAGTACGTTAATGCTGCGGTGGGCCAAGTTAGCTTCAGTAAAGGAACCGGGTATGGGCAGACTAACCTATCACGCCCATATTGGTAAATACGGGAAAGACATTGCCCCAACTTATTTCGCTGAGAGCGGCCCAACGCTCGTACAGACGCCGAGGTGAGCCGTCGAAGAACGTGGTTATGAACTTGAAAACAAGCACGCTCATGATCTGTACTACGGCAAGGGAGCTGGTGCTTAGGCCCTGGAGGAGGAAGTATGAAACATAGAAGTTTGTAGCTTTCGGGAGGTTCTCAGCCAGGAGATCCTTGGCTGATAATGGGTCTTGAATAATTTGTGCAGTGGCAGCGGACGCAGCGGAAGTCAAGGTCGTGACGAGGAATACCTGGACAACTTGGAAGCAAAAATGTGCAGTTTGAGTGAAGAGCTCAACGCGAGCTGCCGAGGGAACGCCAGCACGCCGAGCAAGAACTAGGTGATCGTTAGCGATATAATGGTAGCATAGCGGCAAGGCAATGGATCAAACATACAGCGGCAAATGATAGGTACAAGGGACATCAGCAGGACCAGGGCACCAGCCGGCAGTAAACCGGCAATCACACCTTTGATCACATCAGGCAGTTTATCGATAAATTTTAGAGGTGGGATGGCGCTGGTGAGGTAGCTGATATTAGAGATGGCCCCAACAACCGCGGATGGGAGGGACCAGAATATGATCAATGCCGCTATTGCGCCTTGAACGATAAACCTCCTCACAATGCGTTGCCACCAGCTGAGATTCAATGCAGACCAGACAACGTCATCGGGGGATATCCCAGTGAATCGAGGCGTCATATGGAGTGGCTGGTGGTGAGAAAGAGTCTGAAGTGCAACTTGGGCATCTGACTGGGAATTGAACTCGATGAAAATGGCAGACAGAAGCTTCGAATCCAAATTCTGGTGTTTTCTTTGCAAGACTTCAATTTCTTTGGTCAAACTCACCAGCTCCTCACGCAGCCAGTGGATTGAGTCGACCTTTTTCCCAAATAGTTTGAGACGGTGAGTCGGTCGTTTGATTGTGTCGTACATGGGTGGACCACATGTTTCACACTCAAAACAGTCAGTACATGGGAGGGTACCAGCTTTTATTTGCTTCAGTTGCATCGAGTTCGCCCTGCGAATCAATTTTGTTTCCAATCTCTCAAGGCGATGGGCATATTTATCTCTCTGTTGAACTTTTTTATCTAGCTCTTTGCAATCGGAGGTTATCCATATTTTGCGAATAGTCTCGCCGAATACTTGTCGTAACTTCTCCTCGTTTTTATAGTCGTCCGGGACCGACATGAATAGAACTGTTTTTGACGAGATCCGGTCGGCATATGCCGGTGAATTGAGAAATGCCTGCCGTAAATTTGCGTAGAACATGCTCTCCCTTGTCACCGTATAGAACACAAAGGCTTCAAATCCATATTAGATATGGGCGACACGAGTTAGTCTGATTGTACTTACTAAATAGTACACATGCCATGACAGCGTGCGCATAATAACGGTTTTTATTCTTCACGTTGCTGAAACTCAATGCATCAAGCTGAGTGTTCCCTGCACCACCTGTTGCATGAATTGGAAGTAGTACCGGCCATGTAATCAGACAACCGATAAAGAAAATTGAGCAAAGAACCCTCAAGAAGCGGAGGAAGAGATAACCATCCATGGAGTGATGGTTGAGTACATGAGCGTCGGAGATTCTGAAGAAATGGCCGAACCAATTCACCCATCCAGTAGGCAGCTGCGGGCTCCTCTCACTATTGATCATGTCTCAGCTATTGCTCCAGTGCAGAAAGTGATGGCCGCCTGGGGACGTACTGTTGATGCCAGCAAGGTAGATGGCTCCTCGGAGCATACCATCTTATTTGGGTTCGGCGAAAAATTAGGAACAGAGAGAACCAGATAACCGCAAGCACCAACGCAGGTACCAGTGTCGTCAAGAGAGCTGAAAGAGAAGTTGAATCCCCTCCACCCGTTACGGCGTCTATTGCATCCGAGCTTGAAGACGACGCATCTCCCCTTGAAGACCCAATGTTAGGGTCATTTTCGGGATCCTGAATCGACCTTAGTTAGAAACATTAATACTGAAGCTGCACGCAACATGGCACTACATACAAGAAGGTCTTGTCGTGCAACCAGAAAGTTCAATAAAGTGCGTTTTGCCATCGTGGTTGCGGGGATCGAGGTATCATGTTCTCCGCTTCAATAATTCAAGAACAAAAACAAAAGTCTTGGTCTCCGAAACCTCAATAAACTGTGTCTCGGCCCAGATAGAAATAATTTCTGCGGCGTGTCCACATCAGAAAAGGAGGGCCCCATAAAATACCAGACCTGTCACCCGCGGCAGAAGATCAATAGCGTGCGGGAGGTCAAAGTATGTTCGAGCGAGGGCGAGCAGGCCGCGACTATCATTGGTCAACCGGGCGAACCAACCCATAAAATTTGAGAAACAGCTTATTGGGACGCGTCCGTGCTGACGATGGGAGAAAAATGCAGATTATCTGATTCGTCGCGGAGGACGCAAATATTCCTTGTGGAACCAAAAGGACCATAATGAGCCTTGAACCCCAAAGGTCAAGACTCCCAGCCTTCAAGGACAGGGAATGTGCTGAAAAACCCTGCAGCTAGCCATTACTAGTGCCGTCTCCCCTTCGTGACGATCTTGTTCCTGTCCGATAAGCTGGACCCAATCGACACTCGTCGTCCACGGGAGCTGCCGATCGAGTGGGTTGGCTCGGCCGTGCTCAATTCCTCCACCTTCAGTTCGCATGGAATGCCCGCGACCCGCCACGAAATGCTACTTTGATCCGAGTCAGTCACAGATCACATCACGACACAGTGTGAGTCAAGTCGTTGACCACCTAGGTATGCCAGCTTGACCCGCCACATCCTGCAGCGTGTGGTAGGACAAACTCAAAAGACTTGCAGGCAGGCAGTCCACGTATGTCCCTTGAAGCCATGTGCTATGGATTGCGATAAGGACCCCAAAGAAGTAATAATCAGGCTTCCTACAAAATTTCAAAATACTACGTCGCGTCGGAGCAGCATGCCGCAGCTTCAGGCGATACGTTGGAGATTGGAGCTTTTGGTTGATCGTTGCTCAGAACCAGTCGCCCGGGAAAAGCGAACTCCTGAATATGAGTCCCAGCTCGTAACAATTCGTGCCCACGAAACTCAAAAGCCCCGGCCCGCGAACCGCCCACGAGTAAGTTCTGTCAAAACCGTCGTGGAGCATCTGCAAGGGTGAAGAGTCCGGCTGAAGAGCCCGGCCACTTAGAGGAATGCCGACTGAGCGCGAAGGGAATCAACACCATGAGAACAAACGGCACTGGTCTCTGGGCGACCATAGCGCCTGGGGGCTTTTTTCTTTTGGAGTCGGGGATAATCATCTTTCGATATCCAACCACGAATATTTGTATTCCCTCTTCAATGCCGACCGGAAGGACAGCTTGTGATCTCCCGTGGGTCCTGGACACTGAAAGATCTAAGGTTCGCGGAGTCAAGTTGCCAAGACGCGTACATTATGAGCGAATTAAATCCGAGAGAAGCGGTGAATGCAGTGGAAGAGGGATTCCGAACGATGACACAATGGAGGGCAGAATGATGCAGATGGATGGTGTTGGCCAGCCGGAGAAGAGAACCGGCTGCGTGCTGAGCCCAACCCGGTGACCTGCGCTTCTTTCCCAAGCATCCTGCACGATCGTCACACTGGAATTTGCAGTGATGAGTGCCCAAGTTACGGATACATGTTGCGGGCGTGTTGATGGTTCTGTGAAGATATTACTTCTTATAAACTGTTCGAGTTTTGTGGGACGTGATAGTACAGTATATATTTCTGGAGAATTGAGACTAAAGAGCGGTTCCGCATTCCTGGTTCTCGTCAATCAAGAATGGACAAAAAGTCCATTATATGACAAGAGTTGAGGTAGTTAGCTAGTTAGTTATATGCCACGATGACAAAAACCATTGACAGCAACAAGAGTAGTACCGCAGGACTGTTGGTTGGTGAGTGATGCAAGTATGCAACAGCCAGACAGAAAGCTAGGGCGGTGACAGGCGGCATAAACGCACCGGCAGCGGCCAGTCGAACACTCCCCTGACACTTTGGCATTTGGCTAAACAATTCCTCATGGCGAGCACTCCTCTGTTTCGAATTTCCGCAGAAGATGTCCCTTCTGAGCTCGGAGCAGAAGGGAGAATTCTACGTTCAGGATGATTCCGATTCTACCCCGGTAGTTTCGCCCTTTGAACAGAAACAACCGTTCCCCCCTCTACCTGACGACCTGGAAACACCTGGAGAAACACCAGGTGATAACTACCCCGACGACGATGAGCAGGATGTAGCTTCCCCTACCCACCGCGGATTCGAAGCGGGGGACGATGTGGACTTTCACTCCCATTATTCCCTGGAAGACCAGTCTTTCTCAGATGCATCCACCGACTCAAACGACGAACAATCGCCTGAGGATGGTATTGCGATGCATCATCCTTTCCGGCAGTCGGCAAGTTCGCTTCATGGACCTAATGCATTTGCGCCGCCGTTTTACAACAGACCCCCCACACCATTGCCGCCATCTCCGTCGTTGACGTCTCTACTCCGGCCTCCTTTTTCTACCACTACATCGCGGCCGACTACCCCTGACAGCTCCGACGTGGAGACCCCCAATGATACTGAAGCGGCTGTCGCAAAATCCGCGCGAAGAGCGACGACCGTGCCTAGAGCAAGTCCCAAGGTACCGACTTACGAATACTATGGCTTCGTACTCTACCTCGCATCGTCATTAGCATTCCGTGAGTAAAATGGCGATTCCGTGGCTCCGGTAGCCCCTAACAACTATGGACAGTGATATATATCCTATGGTCATACCTCCCATCGCCCTTTTTACACCAGCTTGGCATATACTATTATCCGAACCGATGGTGGTCGTTGGCGTTTCCCTCTTGGCTCGTCATGTCGATCATCTATATCTATGTCGCCTTGGCATCTTACAACACGGGATATCTGACTCTGCCAATGAACAGCGTAGAGAATATCGTGGATGAAGTGGCAAATGTAGCAGTTATCGACGGGAAGGGCAGACGGCGGCCCGGTGGTGCTGCAAAGATGCGCCCTGGCGCGACCTCTTATCAGATAATGGGACCGCAAAACCGGAGAGTCAATTGGAGAGAGATCTGGAGCGAAGGGACGGACGCGGTTCTGGATGTCCCGGTTGGGGGTGTATGCGAGGTACTCTACGGAAAGGAAAGGGATGATGAAGACGATGTTTGTGAAGAAAGTCCCGATTTATAGACCTATTTCTCTCCTAGATGAAATTTATGAAGTATCCACGAGTGTGGAATTACCAGTTTGGATTGAATAGATGGCCGGTCAGCTTTCTATGAGCATCAAGAGGAGAAGGGCAAGCATGTATAGCCTGCAGCTAGGACTTGTTGTGTCGTGGTGACTCGTGGAAAAGTGGGGTCCACATTGAGGTTGACTCTTACCAAGCCTGCCCAGATTCCACGGCACGTTGCGTGAACTTTCTCCGGCCGTGAAGATTCCATTTGGCAGTCCAGACAGCGATCGAGCGATAAACCCCTGACTAGCAACGACAAACAACCCCAGCGCTAAAAGCGGCAACACTCGCGTGGGCGGTTACGGGAGCCAACGAGAGGCCAGCGGAGGCGGTCACTTTTGGAGCGAGGAGACCTCCAGACGCGCTCAAGTGTCCAGTCCATCCCGGCACCAACTGCACAGCTCGACTCCTGCTCTTTGTTTCGATCGAGTCTTCTCACCTCTTAATTTATCTCTGTTGTTGCTCATTTTCTGGTGCTGGCACGGCTTGGAACATTGTTTCCTGCCGCTGTCTGCCGTCTTGCTGTTCGCTCACAACAACACTTACCGCTGCGAACACCAATTCCCGACTCGACCACCTGAACCTCCCACACCTGGGAATCCTACGCGCGAGCCTGCCTTAACTGTTTTGCGATAATTATTTTTTCGCTCCTTCAGCTTCACATTGTATGGCTTGGCAATCTCCCTCCGCCATGTCTGGAGGTGGAGGGTTCGTCGGTCCTGGTGGTGATGCGAACGGACCTCAGGGGACGGAGTACACACTGCAAGGTAGGTCCCTCGCGCGAAAGAATTTGGTGTCGCTATTTCTCATCAGATGATCCAATTGGCAATGCTAATTACTCCTCGATTTATTAGGTGTCATGCGCTTCCTCCAGACAGAATGGCACCGACACGAGCGGGATCGCAACGCCTGGGAGATCGAGCGCGCGGAGATGAAGTCTCGGATAGGAAAACTCGAGGGCGATGTCCGAACTAGCAAACGAATGCATGAGTCATTGGGGAAGCACGTTCGGCTTCTGGAAGCTGCATTGAAGAAAGAACGCGAGAAGGTAAAAAAGCTCACAAACAACGAGCTTGTGGAGGACCTTCGGGACCCCAAGGAAATTGCTCGAGAGAGCATTAACTCCCTGAAATGTAATATTTTCCCACGCAAAATTGTCCCCATAGCTCGCCGCTGACTTGTTTCCGCCTTTGTAGCTCAACGACCGAAATTGGAGGGCGGCTCGGGAGATCTTGATGCCAACGCTGAAAATCAACACGAATACCGACAAGAGACCGAACGCGACAAGTCACGACTGTACCTATCCAAATGTTCGCAGGAAATTGCGTATCATGTTATTCCCTCCGCGCATCCGCCCCCAGACCTCGGCGAGCTCGAGCTCTCAAATCATGTTTATGGGAACCAACAGCTCCCCCAACAGAGCATGGAGGAAGTGTATCTCCAGCAGCAACGGCAAAAACAGCAGGCAAACAACCTGATGGCACGTGAGGTCCCCATGCAAAACCACCAGCCTATTGTCAGACAATACCCGGAGAACATGGGACTGTCTCATGCACCGAGCCAGTATAGCCTCCCAGCCACCTCGCGGGACGTTGTCGATAGACGAGTTATAGAACAGCAACAAATACAGATGACCGCTATGGATGATAGCAAACAGTCCCTGGAGAACTCTGTCCGAGAACATGCGGGGCCTGAAAGGCAGTACGATGGGTACGGGCCGCAAGTTCCAGCAGAGGATGCTTCACGACCCCAACAACCCGATGAAACCGACAACAGTGGCGATACCGACGGCTGGAACTTTGATGAACCGACCGACCAAGTAGTACCGCCTGAATCCCTACCACCTCAAAGACCCGACGTTGATGCATTTCCCAATGCGAACTTTGTCCGACAGAAGTCACCCGCAAGGACCGGATCGCTCTCTCACCGAAGAAAAAGCTCTGGTGCTCGCCGGAAAAGTGAGGGTTCCGTTGATCTAGGTACCGCGGCTGGCCCGAAGCAGGACTCTACCTTCAAAGTTCGATTCGCCCTCCGAGGACACCTTGATGTTGTGCGATCAGTGATCTTTACTGGTGGCGGTAGCCCGTCAGAACCGGAAATATGCACTTGCAGTGATGATGGCACCATAAAACGGTGGATCATCCCAGCAAGCTACGGGGCTTTTGGCCATGCAGCAAACGCTAGTAGTGACTTGGATATCACGAGCTACTTTACACACCGAGGACATGTTGGTGCTGTAACTTCTTTGGCTGCATGCTCGCCGTCCCAGAACTTTTCGAACGGCGGTCGAACGATTGGGGACGGTTGGGTATTCTCTGGTGGACAGGATGCCAGTGTACGAGTTTGGGAACGGGGCAGGGTTGACCCCAAGGCTACTTTGGATGGTCATTCCGATGCTGTATGGGGTCTTTGTGTTCTTCCTGGGACGGCAGGGACTATATTTGGCGACTCCTCTAGTCACTACGGCGGACCAGACCGAGTTATTCTCGCCTCAGGCTCTGCGGACGGCAAGATAATTATATGGGCGGTCAGTGCGCCGCCTCAACTATCGTCACCACAAGCTGGAAATCGGCGGGCTGGAGGCAGCCGACGTGCCAATTCAATTTCCTCTGGGTCAAACTTTCCATCGTCACCACAACCCAGCACGGCAACAACGACTCCGTTCCATTACACCATGGTCCGCCAGATTGTTCGAACGGAGGCACCATCGCCGACATGCATTAGCCCATTATCCCTTGCTGGTATCAATTTCGTGGTGTCCTATACAGATGCGTCGATTCTTGTGTACGATACTAGAACCGGCGAAGAGATCGTGGGCATGGCTAGCCTCGAGACTTATGATGGAACACCATCAACGGGTGTTAACTCCGTTGTTGCGACTACCGTTGGTTTCGATGGGTCGGCAGGCCTTGATCCTAGCCGCACGTTGGCTGATGAAGAAGTTGTGCATGGTGCCACTGGCTCAAGTGCCGTGGAGGGTGTTGTGATCAGTGGCTACGAGGATAGATATATTCGCTTCTTTGATGCCAACAGCGGTACGTGATTTGTGTATTGTTTTGAAAGCTACTCAACTAATACTAATGAATCCGCAGGACAATGTACCTACACAATGCTAGCACACCCTGCCGCCATTGCTTCGCTTTCTCTCTCTCCCGATGGCCGCGAGCTCGTGTCTGCCGGCCATGACGCCAGTTTGCGGTTCTGGAACCTCGAAAAACGAAGCTGCACCCAAGAAATCACGAGCCACCGTCTGATGCGTGGTGAAGGTGTTTGTTCCGTGATCTGGAGTCGCGATGGCCGATGGGTCGTCGGTGGCGGCGGCGATGGAGTCGTCAAGGTATTCTCGAGATAATGGATGCAGCCTACTGTTGATGTATGATTTTGATTCACATGTCCCGCTGATACTTTTCTTATGCCATATTCTTTTGGACTCATGAAATGATTGAGCGATTGGCCAAATTCCTGAGCATTTGTAACGGTGTCAACTTACCTGGCATATGTTCCTTTCTATTACTCATGTCCTTATAACTTCTTTTTCTTCTATTATTCATGATTCTTTGTACCTTTCCTTGATGGTCGCTGTCGAGCTGAAGTGCACCGTTACCGATGCCTACGTATACCAAGATGTCCTGTTATTCTTTCCCCCTTTGCACAGGAAGCCCATCCATGTGGAATATGATCAGGGGATGCATGTTATTATATTACCTTTTTTGGTGTCTGTTTCTTCTCTCGCAACATATCCTCTGTTTTCCAAAGACGATATGATATCAATTGATGCGAATATACGCCGACTAGAGTCTAGGTTATATACCTAGTCGTTTACTAGATGCACATCTCAATATTTGATATTCAGGTATCACAACTAATTAAGGAGGAATAGAAAATCACCGCCTCGCAGTCCAGGTGTCCTTAAACAATCCTGTCCATTTCTTCGCAACGCCCTCGTCCTTAAGCCTTTGCTCCAGATATCCCTGCAAGTCACCCCAAAACTGCTCGGTCTCCAGTAAAGCCTCACCACTAGGACCAACCGCAGCCTTCGCCGTAGAATCATCGCTGCTCTCCCCTTTTTCCTTCTCACCCTGCTCCTCAACAACTCTAGCACCACCCATAACCATAATTCCAAACTCCACGCCCTTCCCACCATTTAGCAGCTCCCCCTCCCCAGAATCACTCACAACATCCGCAACTGTCTTCCCTGTCCCACTAACCGGCTTCCGTTTATACAGAATCTTAATCTTCTCCAACGAAACCTTATTGTCTGTACTGGTCTCGACAATCCGCTCCCGGACCGCATCTTTCAGATCGGACATGCTCGTCGTCGCCAGCGGGGCATTGGGCAGCGTGATTTCAAGAACGGGGTTCCGGGCCGATTTCAGCGTTATGGTTATCGATTTAGATGAGCCGGGGTTTGCGTCTTTGGTTGCGGTCTTCTTGGGCATGGAGGGGTGTGGGGGTTGAAGGCGGGGGAGGACGTACTGTTTATTCTATGTGTTAACACGCTGTTCTGGCTTTCGATATTTGCTCATTGAAAGTATCTCAAACGGGCGAGGATATGACTTACGGGAGCACGAGGCGTTTGTCCTTGGTCGTGGACATAGTCGGCTCGAAGCTTGATCGGGCGGGAGTCAAGCGATGAGAGGAAAGATTTTGTGAATGCCAGTTCGGACATTGTGGCCGGCTGTAGTTAAATCGAAACTCGATTTGAGATTGTGGAGATTATATGCTGTCGTGCGGAAGAGTAGGAAGGAGGCTCGACGGAGGAGGTTGAAGTGATATGGATAATAATAATGTTGCGCCAGAAGCCCGAGTTACCTAATTGGGCGGTGATGAAGCTCCGGGTGGGTTCTTGTGCGGCCTCAGCCCTCAGGCAGCGGAAAGCCTGCTTGGGAGGCTGGACGAGTCGGGCATTTACACCGCCCTGATCACTGAGACTTTACTGCCGCCTGTCACCGCCCATTCGGCGCAGAAAAAAAAAGAAAAAAGTTGAAATCTTCTCCCAGCTTGACGGGACAACAACGATTTCATTTCTCCATCGCATATTGTTTCGCAATGGGTAAAGGTCGCCGTATGAAGAAGCAGGGCCCTCCGGCCCCGCTTGATGAGTCAAAAATCACCATGATGAAGAAACGCAAGACCGGCGACTCAGATTCAAAACCGGAAGCTGGCAAGAAGCGAAGACGCAATGATGCCGAGGAAGACGGACCCAAGGACATTCAGAAGAAGAAGAAGGTCAATGGGGCTGCTGTCAATGGGAAAGAGAAGAAGGGCGCTGTTGCGACTGGCGGCAAAGATAAGAAGAAGGTCGTGCAGAAGCAACCAGAGCCCGAATCAGAAGATGATGAGGATGAGAGCATGTCCGATTTCGATGGGGAAGGGTTGGATGAGGGTGAGTTTGATAATTTGGATGGTGTTAGTGAGGGGTCTATGGATAGTCAGGGCTCAGGACAGTTTGGGTTTGGGAGCGACGATGACGAGGAGGAGGATTCTGTGGTCGATTCAGATGAAGAAGACCACCCACGACAGGCTATGTTCTCAGACGACGAAGACTTTTCTGACGCAGAAGAGAAGCTAACGGCGGCAAACATTGCTGGTCTGTCTCGGAAGTTGGATGAACAAAAGCAAGCAGAAGAGGAAGAGGCAGAGCTGGAGATGCAAGAATCTGCGATGCAGACAAACATCGCCGGTGACCGTACGGATGTATTCGAAGGTGCGGACGGAGAAGGATTGGCTCCTAACCTTCAGTTGCTCCGGACAAGGATCACAGAGACAATCCGCATTTTGGGCGACATGAAGACACTTGGTCAACCTGGCAAGTCTCGCGCCGACTACACTCAGCTGCTACTTAACGATATCTGCACATACTACGGATACACCCCATTCCTCGCCGAAAAGCTCTTTAACCTCTTCACACCAATGGAAGCATTTGCATTCTTCGAAGCCAACGAAACACCGCGTCCTGTCGTCATCCGTACCAACACCCTCCGCACAAACCGAAGATCTCTTGCTCAAGCACTGATCAACCGTGGTGTTGTCCTCGAACCCGTCGGAAAGTGGTCAAAGGTTGGTCTACAGGTGTTTGAATCCGCTGTACCCCTTGGTGCCACCCCGGAATACCTCGCAGGTCACTACATCCTTCAAGCCGCCTCTTCATTCCTCCCCGTCATGGCTCTCGCCCCTCAAGAGAATGAGCGAGTCCTCGATATGGCCTCCGCCCCTGGTGGTAAGACCACCTACATCGCCGCCCTGATGCGCAACACCGGCTGCGTCATTGCCAACGATGCCAGCAAGCCCCGTGCAAAGGGTCTTATCGGTAACATCCACCGTCTCGGTTGCAAGAACACCATCGTAACACACCTCGATGCTCGGACCGCCTTCCCCAAAGCAATGGGCGGCTTCGACCGTGTCCTCCTCGATGCGCCCTGTACCGGAACAGGCGTTATAGCCAAAGACCCCGGCGTCAAAACCAACAAGACCGAACGCGACTTCCTCGCCATCCCGCACATGCAGCGCCAGCTGCTCCTCGCCGCCATCGACTCCGTCGACCACTCCTCCAAGACTGGCGGTTATATCGTCTACTCCACCTGTTCCGTAACAGTCGAAGAAAACGAAGCCGTCGTCAACTACATCCTCAAGAAACGCCCTAACGTCAAGCTCGTCGACACCGGACTCGGCAACTTCGGTACCCCCGGTTTCTCGCACTACATGGGTAAGCACTTCGATGCGAAGATGACCATGACAAGACGCTACTTCCCGCACCGCGAGAACGTCGACGGCTTCTTCGTCTGTAAGTTGAAGAAGACCGGCCCGACACCCGTGCAGAAGCCCGGTGAGAAGGACCAGAGCGCCACAGAGACCAGCAGACCCAAGTCCGCAGCCTCGACAACGGATGAAAGCGACGACGCAGCCGACAAGACACCTATCGCTGACGAGGATGGCAATACGGGAGAGGGATTCGGTCCGTTCGAAGAGAACGAGGAGGAGGATGCGGAGCTCATCGCACGTGCTGAGAGGAAGCGTCTCCGCCGCAAGGGTATTCACCCTAAGTCTGTCATGAACAAGCCGAAGAAGCCGCCAGCGGGAAAGACGGAGACGAAGTCCGACGAGTCGTCAGCGTCAAAACCGGAAGCCGAGAAGTCTGCTACTGCTGAGAAGCCCAAGCCTCAGGAAGAGGGAAAGAAGGACGAGCCTAAGGAGAAAAAGGAAAAGAAGAAGAAGTCTTCCGACGCTGCTATCTCTTCTACTCCGCAGTCTAATCAAGAGCAGGAGAAATCGCAGGTGAAGGCCAAGAAGCAGGCTAATGATAGTAGTCCCGGCAAGGAGAAGAAGGAGAAGAAACAGGGCAAGGCAAAGGGTAAGGGAAGTAAATAAAGGGATGGCGTTGATACCTCGTGATATGATACATAATTCATTTACCTGTTTATGGTCTTGTATAGCATGGTTAAATAAAAAGCAATTCTTCTTCAACGATGCCTTTCATTCAATCTCCGCGGTATATTCCTTTAAGTTGAAGCTTTAGATTTGATGACCTATAGTAGCACAGCTCAACAAGAATGATGTTCAAAGCGGTCAAATTCGCTGAATATTGGGTCTAATATTCGATGCATTCATATAAACAAGAGAAGAAGAAATTGAAAGCAAAGTAAACAAGCGATCACTCCAGCGATGTGGACATTATAAAAGCTTCCAGGGTATGCCGCGATTCTCGAAAGACCAACCAACCCAATAAGTACGACTGCACCTGCACCAATCATGAGAAGAAACAAGAAACAAACGAAAAGATTGCGCATGATAGCTATGAACTCCATTCTGTAGTCCCAACTCAAGAAACCAAACGCTTCCTAAATCAAATTAAACTGAACTGAAACCGCGGCGCTCATGTGCGGTAGATTTTGACAACACTGATGATATTCTTCCGGCAAATCGGGCAGATCTCCACCTGTCGCGCACAAGTCACACAAGCGCAGACATGACCACAATCATAGAAGAGAGCGTCCTGCTCCTCGCCGAAGCAAATCTGGCACAGGTCCATCTCCTCGTCTGCAACTTCCCAGTAGCTGATTCCCTTGCCGTGGCGCTTACCTTCCTTGTACCCGCCGACATACTTGTTGCCGGTCTTACGCTCGACAAAGGTTCCCTGGCCGTGGCATTGGTCCTCGTACCAGTCGCCATCGTATGTATCGCCGGTTGGGTACTCCATTGTGCCCTTCCCGTGACGCTTTCCGAGGACGAAATCCCCATTGTACGTTGCGGCGGAGTCGGAGATGTGCTTGCCCTTCCCGTGGAAGTAGCCCTTGATGAATTCTCCGCTATAGAAGTCCGAGGTGAATGTGACGTCTAAGGTTTTGGTTCCCGTGAAGGCTTTGATAGGGTGGTTACGGGACTCGGCCCAAATGTAACGGACCAGCTTGTCGGGGCTAGCGAATAGACCCCTTTCGTTGAGTCGGGCGCGCTTCTCCTTGTTTAGCTTGTCGCCAACTATGAAGCAGGTTCCGTCCGGCGGGCTGATTTCGAATGTTTCTGCTGAAGCAAGAGTCAGGATTTCAGTTCCGTCAACTCTTTGCCAGACCTGGAAGTCCTTGGTGTCGGGCCATTCGAGGTGCTTGCGGATGGCGGGCTTGATGGTGTCCTCTTTCTGGGAGAAGAACGAGCCCATGGTGCGGAGAGACTGAGATTCGATGTCGAATACTTGGACGTAGTAGTATACGTGCTCCACTGGTAGGACTACCTTGGGCTCTGGGGGTGGAGCGTCTTCGGTATTAGTAGGAGTCCCAGTTTGTTCCTCGGATGTGGAAGGCTCCTCTTGACCAGCTGCATCGGGTTGAGGCTGCTGCTGCTGCTGTTGTTCATCTAGTTGCTGAGCGTCCGCGGCAATAATGGCCGCGATGACGGCATCGTTCTCAGCCGATATGGACTCCTCAGGGCCAGTTGCGCCTTCTGGAATATCAATTTGTTGAGACTCTGTAGTTTGGGCCGCATTTTCAATGTTTGGCTCAACAGGCTCAACGGGCTGAACGAGCGGAACAGGTTCAACGGGTTCAACAAGTCCAATGGACGCCGTGACTGCATTACTTTCGGCAGATACCGCATCATTAGGATGAGCTTCCCTCTCACCCTCCGAGGTCTCGGCTGCAACTGGTGTTGTGTTTTCCGCAGTGTCCGTGGTCGGTTCAATAGCTGTAGGGCGTTCTGTAGACTGTTCCGTAGACTGTGGAAGGGTAGCCTGCTCGTTGGCAGGAGAGACCTCGAGCCAATAGCTGGAAGAACTAGGCTCAGCGCTCTCTGTAGCTGGGGCTGGTTGTGCATTGCCCGAAGTCTCGGAACCAGAGCGTTCAGCAACGGTTTCCTCAGGCTTGGTGTTGACCTCAACTGGTGGTTCCGGGTCTTGCATCGCAAAGTACTTGGCATCGCTGTCTGATACAATCTGCAACCAGTAACGGACAGGGTTCAGTGGGATGTCAAGGGTTGCTGTGAGATCAGAGATACGCGTAAGTGCGAGTGTAGGTCCGAAGCATTCACGGGTATGGCCGATCTGCCAAAGACGCACATTCTCTGGGTTGATTTCAGTCTCGGTTTGGGAAGACGCCCAGAGTCCGATCTTCTTGCGGACGTCGATGAGGTTCGTCGAGCGAGGCACAGTCAAGTACATGACGCTATTGGCGGCCATGGCTTGTGACATAAGATCGTATGAGTCGAATAGACTGCCGAGTTGGTCGTACTTCTTGAGGGAGTAGACTTCGACCTTTATATCCCCGGCTTCGGCCTCACCATCAGTCTTCTTTGGGAGTTTGACTTCGCCGGTTTGATAATATTCTTTAAGATCGTCCGAGACATCCCATGGTCCCTGAGGACCAGGCAAGAAATCCTTGATCACATCGCTGCGGATATACATGACAGCAACAGCAACATCGTGTCCGGTCTTGTGGTCCGGTGTCTCACCCGGCTCCAGACCAAGATGAGGTCCCAGGGCCGTTTTCCTAGTCAAGCATTCGACCCGGTTATCGCTGCCGTCATCAAAAGCGAGCCACTTGGTGCCCGGCCCACCTGGACGCAGGATGCTGAAAAACTTTCCAGATGTGCGTCGGCCACGATGGACAATGTAACCGTACAGGACATACTTCCCCTGCTGGCCACCCAGGATCCAAGGTGACAGGTCTAGCTCCTCGTCCAAGTCGACCTTGTTGTAGAGAAGACGCCATTGTCGAGCAGCCTTGTCCAGTGTCTGGCGGCCCAACTCGAGGTGCAGAACTGGGGGGAGCACCCATTGCCCGGGTTTGGCGCTGAGATAATGGCTGAAGGCTTCGCTCGTAGACTTAACTTGATCAGCAGGAACGTAAATTCGCGAGTTGGAGTCCTTCGGGACAGTGTGCACAGCGTCCTTTTGGACGTTCTCGGGAAGAGAAAGGGTGTCAGGTGACGGGCTATCAAATATCTGAGCAAGTTCCTTTGCAGCAGGTGTACCCGCGAGTTCTAGTTCCAAAGAGCGGCGTAAACGCTCCCAGAACTCGCAGACATCTGTGGAGCCCTCGTGAAGATTGCGCAGTGTGCTTGTAATCATGTCTGTGTCGACATATTGAAGCGACTGGTCTCGCTGGCGTAGCTGCCAAAGGAACTTCTGTAGTGCATCGCACAGTGGCTTGGGCTTTACATCGCAATTCGTGTGGTGTTCCAGAACATTGACGCTCTGGATGACCTTGCAGAATGGAGCGACGTGAAGCAGTGTCGCGAGCCCAGCAACGTCTGCACTGTGGTTGATGATCGAGTCACCCAGAGACCGATATCCAGTCAGCCCAAGGCTGTCCCAAGTCGGCTCAGAGTCACTAGGGTGCCACCAGAGTGACCGAGTCGGATCATCGAAGATGCGAATGTACGCATCGAATGCCAGTGTGTCGTCGCGGAGTAGGGCTTGGCGATTGCCGCGCTGGCGTCGGTGAATCTGGTCCCACGGACCATGGAAGTTGGTCCATCCCCAATCCAAGTTGTGTGGGTTGAACTGGTTGCAGGAAGACTGTGGCCAGCCGGTGTGAGGCTCGGCGGGGTTATAGACGATAACTCCGATCTGGGCTGACACTCTCCAAGTCTCCTTGGTTGGCTCTGCCTGGTTCGCAGCCGCTGGATACTTCGCCTTGAACATTTCTGTCCATGTTTCAGCATTATCGCTTTTGTCGAATTTAAGGTCCAGATCGGGAGTGCTAGCATCAAGTTCTGCATCTGCAGGGCCACGGAAGACCTTGAACTCTGTCTCCAGAAGAGCGTCGTCTGCGTTCGGCATGGTGTCTGAACATTCAATGTAGACGCTCAACGATCCAACATTGTTTCCACGAGGGAAGAACTTGATGGTCCACCAGTAACCGCCAATATAGGCCGGAGGAGATCGCATGATTTTGATGCGGTTGGGGTTTTCCTTTGTACCGCGCACACCTTTGATCTTCCATGTCAGGCGGGCTTTCTCTACCGGGATGTACTCTGGGTCGTCAACGGCGGGGTGGAAAATCTTCTCCCAGTAGTTATCTGCACGGTTTAGATATAATGAATGTGAGGAGTGATGAGGGATAACTCACATTCTAACGCACTGCGGTCGGACTCCGCTTGTGACTCGATCTCTTTCATTTCAGCCTCATCAGGGACCGATGTATCCTCCTCCTCGACCCAGTAAGCATGCTCATCTGCATTTTCGTCTGCATTTTCGTCGGCGTTGTCTTCCGCATTTTCCGGCGGAGAAACCGCTTCTGGTGAATTTTGTGCTTCAGTGTTGTGATCATTTTCGTTCTCTCGAGGGGCTTCATCCCCACGAGGCGTTTCGCTATTTTGGACGGTTTCATTATTCTGTGGAATGCTCTCCTGGGGAGTTGGATTCTGTTGAGAACCTTCGTCTACATGAGGCGTTTCATTATTTGGGACAGTCTCGTTATCCTGTAGAGTGCTCTCATGAGGAGCTTCGCCCACTTGAGGCGCTCCAGCCTCTGAAGGGGCTTCGGTCGTAGTATCCGGCGTCGGATCCTGCTGACGCCCCGACTCCTGCGGTGACGGATCTATGATGAGAGTCTGTGTTGGTGGTTGGGGAATTTCCTGTACTGTTGTGTTTAACCCCGGCGCAGGATCAGCTGAGAGATCCGCAGGACGGCGGTCCGAGTCGAGAGGGATGGGGACAGGGAGTTGCTCGACGGTGACAGCGGTGTCGAGTCTGGAATCCATATTTGCGGAGAAGTATGCGGGACGGCGGGAGCGAGTGGGTATGAGGAGTAAAGTTGGAGGCTGTCAAACCCAACGGGCAAAACGAAGGAAAAATACGAAGGCTGAGAAGCAAAAAAAGACGGCAACGACAGGCAAACAGCGAGCTCCGAAACGCAGGATAATAAAGTCTGCAGAAATCAGAAGGGTGAGTCACGCAGAAGGCAGCAGGAGAAAGGCAGGCAGAAGGTCGAGAGCTGAAGAGCGAGTGGGACAACGCGAGTCTAGAAGGACTGCGATAAGGCGCTTATCAGGGGGCTGTTCAGCACGGGGAAGCTGGGGAACTCTGCACTCAGGCAATGCTGAGCAGGGCGTTGCAGGGATACAGCGAGAGGAGGAAGTTGGTTGCAAAGCAGAAGGGAAGATCGAGAGAAAAGCAGATGGGGAGAAAAAAGAAAGAAAAAAAGAGAAACGGATCAAGACCGGAGGAACGAAGACTGAATGCTGGGAGTAAGGCTGTAGAATGAGGCGGTACCACAGCCAAATCAGAGACGCTCACCGCTGGTTCTGCCTTCAAGAACCCTTCTTGTACACTGGAACTCTCGGGGACGCGGCCTCTTATCCACTTTCCCAACGTTTGCAAGGCTCTGAAAGATTTCTTATTCATCCTCATCCGGACTGGCTCTATGGAGTATCTGCCTTGCCACCGTCTCCCCTATCTCGTCTTGATCTACCAAGTCCAGCAGGATATCTAGCAACAGTCCAAGACACCCCCACTTCGCTTCTGCCAACGTATCTTTGCTTTTCCGTTTGTTTGGGATGGGGATAGACTATCTAGACGTGGCAACGCTTGGGAAGACAATCTCAATGCCATTCATTCGTCTTGTCGGCGCCGTGGCGATCAAACCCATGGAACAACCCACTCAAACGATCGATTTCCTGCATACAGCCTTCGTGATTCGCCCACTGCCCCCACCTCACCCACCTGCAACAGCACCCGTTCCCCTCCTCGGCCTTTCCGCTCTGCCTCTGCACTCCACGCCGGAAGCTCGGGACGGATGTGTATGTCCACTGTTGCAAGAGAAATTCCGTTCCTGGAGTCTGTTTTCTGGTTCGTATGCCGCCCAGCCACCCAACTCCCACCTTATCGGGACTTTTTGGAGCATCCCTTGCCACGCAACTGTCAAAGTCCGAAAATGCGTGCCGAGAACGACCGGACGACCGAATGGTGGAGCCAATTTGTTGTTATCGAAAAGTTGATACGGGTTTCGACTGCAGCTCATGCAGCATGACCAGTCGAGTTGTGCCAATAAAACCCCAATTCCGCCTCCCAGACAGGAATGTACAATATTCCTGTCTTAGTTTTGTGATTCCTTGCCAGCTGGCGGCGATTGTCCTGCTCGTGCAAATGTTGCTGCGACAATAAGCGGGAACACCACTGTCGCTTCGGCGTACACCTTGACGGAGTGGCCATCGGTCTTGATCTTACCCCAGCTTACGGCCTCGTCTGGACGAGCACCCGCATCACTTCCATCAAACTCCTGTGCTGTGTTGATGTATACCGCATGCTCTGCACCGTTCCGCATCAGACAAGCATTCGCAATATGGTGTTTGACCACCCCTCCACCGAGAATAATCATTCCAGCCCGGGCGGCTCGCACAGCCATGGTGTTAATACGGCGCAGATCATCGACGATATCGACTCGAAGGCGACTTGGGGATGCGCGGAAAGTGTGGAAATACAGCATGTCGCCGAGCGAGCCGTCAGTAAGCGCGGGGCAAAATATGGGAATCTTGTTTTTGGCAGCCCAGTAAAGCACCGAGTCCTCGTGGTTGATTTCGTGGCCTAAGCGCTCAATTATACGACTGGGCGTCCAGTGTAGCTCGTCCTCCTCGTTTCCTGTTTCCAGGGCCTTTTTGTTGGCAGCGTCCTGCTCCTCCAGCATCTTGTCCAGGATGGGTACCAGCCAGTCTTCAAAAGCACAGTAGTTGCTATTGGGGACGATGAGGTTGCCAATCCGGTTGAGCCCCTTCGCCCGCAGACCAGCACCAGGGGCTGTGAAGTTACCCATGTATGTGGGAGCTAGACACTTGATCAGATCCTCCTCAACACCACCGGCAGTTGTCACGATGGCGGAAACATGACGGTTGCGAACTAGATAGCGGATAGTGTCTCGTAGGCCGGAAGATATCAAGTTCGAGGTGTAGCCGAGGAATATCGTAGTCTTGTCACCGGTTTCAGGATGACGGTAGGCACGCTATGAACGACAGCAACGATTAACAGAGGTACGCGAGTAAATTATTGGGGTTTAACGGTACCATTTCGTTTATGATCCGTGCTGCATCAGCAACAGCGCTACTCTGGAAGCCCGTGTACTTCATGTTGTCTACCAGCTCGGCGACGGTGATATCGCGGCCCTTGAAACGCTCAAAGTCTACCCCACTGACCTTGTGAGTGCCCTCGGGGACGGGGTCTGAGGCGACGAGGACAGCATCTGTGGCCGAGGATGGCGGGGCATTGGTTAATTGATTTGACATTGTGAAGGAAGCAGGTGTGCTCTGCAAAATGGAAAACGATTGACTCGTTGAAGATGTGGTGCGGGGTGACGGGGGAGAAGAATAAAAATCCAGAAAAAATGCGACTGCCTGAGGCAAAAACTGAGGGCCGTCCCGCACACTCCATTCTGGCCAACCAGGTCGAGTGTAACTAAACTATGACCGGGCTGAGCATTAAGTTGCACAAAAATATGCCGGATACCGTAGAGTTCAGAGGTCAGAACTTATATTATATTGCTTTATGCACTACTTTGACCGCATCAAATGGCGTCAGTAGAGGAAAAGAAAACCCCATATCCCTAGTGACATAAGCCATGTCCAAGAAGAAGCTGGTAGTTAACGGACAGGGTTTTAGTCTGTTGGAGAACGAGCTTACGGGTCAACTTATAAGGGGCTTTGTATCTTCTCTATAGAGAACCGACGTGTCCCATTCAAACATCCTGCGAATCAACCTTCCGGAAATATATACACAGGGATTAATGATCACATATAATCATAAACTTAGAATGAGCTTTAGTAACGAAAGTATATTATATGTATAGAGCACTTATCGAGTGCTATGATATAGGTCCTTTGACTCTCTTGTCGCTACCTACTCGTTCCTCACGCAAAAGGACCATCAATCTTCACAATATGGATCCTACTCGTATCCAAAAACGCCGCCTCATCAGCTTTAACCCGCTCGCTGTTCTCCTCTAGTGCGGCCTGGAATGATCCGAAATGGTTCTCATCCTCGAAGACCATCTCCGTATAGACGTCAAATTGCAAACCCGAGGGGTTGCCGGCTAAGGCTGTAGTAACTGGGTACGCGGTGTTCGATGTATCTGCATCTGCACCTGCGTTTGTGTCATCGATTCCACCCTGCCCATGGATATGAGCGCGAGGGAGATAGTAGCGTTTATAGACGGTTGGTGGGTGCGAGCCGGCTATCTCTTTTACAAGGGGGACGTGGGTGGTTTCGTAGTAGGATTTAAACTGGGTTGGGGTAAGGCCCGGCTTGCGGGAGAGGACGGCGAGGATTGTGTATGTCATATTGGTGACGTTTTTATATTTGAAGGGGGGACTTTGGGAAAAGAGGCAATCCGGAGTGATAACTCGGAGGTTAAGTTCAGATGAGGGGTTGAGGATTTCGAGGAAGCAGCACTAATAATGGACAGGATCGAAAAGAACATCCATCCATCGCCCATTATGGAAAGATACGCGGGTGCCGAGACAGGATGGGAGAGTCATTTCCATGTGCGGGGAAGAAAAAGCAAATGTGAGTGTCCGGTTACATCTCTCAAGCCTGAATATATGAGATGGACATGTTTGGGCTTGACATCTGCTGTTGAGATGTATTGGTGACAGAATATAGGACGGGGCAATAAAACGAGTAAAGAAGCATCTCAAGCCTCAGGCAGCCAGAACTCGTAAAAGCGGCAAGAGACATCGTATGTGTAAGTAGCAGGCGGTGAATCCGGCAGAAAGGATAATTGCCATGCTCCTGCCAAACCACATGGAGTTTAGCTCGGATTCGAGCGAGGGCCTTGCCTTCACTGCCTGAGGCGCCACTAAGCTTGAAGGTTCAAGGTTGAAGCCAAGGGTCTCGCCTCAGGCACTAAGCCTGGATTAGCTCTAGCGCAGGCCCTTTTGGGGATCCGCATTGAAGATTGGAATCGGTTTCAATTAGGTGGGCGCAAATCCTCCTGGCCAACGGAATCCATCCCAGTTCTCAGGATCCAACGGCACTGGTGACTGGTCAGTGGTCTCTGTCACTCTCGCGGCTGCTCCTCAATTCATGATCCGAGCGAGATCTTCATTTCTCCCCCTTCTTTTCAACTTCCTTCCCTTCTGCCCTTTTCTTTTTCTCTCTCTCCTCTTAACCTTGATTTGCGCGTTTTTACCGCGCTCGAACCTCGTCGAACCACCTTTTTTGATTGAGACTATTTCCCCGAGGCAAAGAACCTAAGTTCAAGGTTTGTGGGCCTCTTTGCGACTGCAGTCTCAACTCCTTGCAGCTGCCCATCCGGCCGTTCGTTTGACACGTTGTACGCGCTTGGATCTTTGGAAGGTAAGGAAACTGTGCCACTGCTAAAACCGATTTCCTGTCTTTGTGCTTGTCAACTGCGTCGTTTGCTCACGCCTCGGATCTGCCACTCGTCACACGGCAACGGCATCCAGTCTTATTCATGACTGGCCGCAACGCCATCCTGCCATGGAAGTGGCTTCATGAGTTGTTTAATTTTGGATTTTCTGTGGCCAGCTTTATCGATCACCCCTTCATTCAGCTCCTCTCCATCTGAACTCCTGACTCTTGAGACAAACAACGCCAAGTCATTGCTCAATTTCGCCCCGAGCTTCGCCCGCTTTTTTGCCAAAATTTCCCGATTCGGCTGGGCTGATTAGATAATTTTGGCAAATGGCGTTGGCCCGTGCTTGGGGCTTCATTTCAAGATCACGTGTTCCCCACACCCTTTAGCCTCCAGGTCGCCGACTGGCGTCTGGCTCCCCCTGCCTTTTCTCAGAGTCGATTTCCCGTTTTGACGTTACTCCGTTTGTTTTGTTTCGTAGCGTACAGAGAACGTGTATGACTAACCTGCTGCAGGGCTTTCTGCCAGGTTGTTCCTTCCGATACCTTCTAGCATGGTCCTGTGATGTCTGCGCGATATCCCCAATCGTCTGGGTTTAACCCCCGTGACCGTTCTCCCCAACGATTCGGTGATCGTCGACCGCCGGCCGGGCCTCGTGGCTCTGACGATGCAGGTCTACCGTTAGGGCGCGAGCCTCCCAGGGCTCCCAAGGCCTTGATCGACCCGCCTCGAGGCGCTCCGTTTGGTGGTCGAGGTCGAGGTTATTCCGGCCGTGGAGATTTCCGTGACAGGGACCGCGACCCCCGTGATCGCGACAGAGAACGTGACCGTGATTTTCGAGACCCTCGCGATGGACCGCCGCCCTTTCGCCGCGATATTGATCGAGATTGGGGCCGCCGCGGCCATGACTTTGACGTGAGAGAGCCCCGTGTTGGATTTGGGCGCGGTCGTTCGCGTTCACCCCCGCCTCCTCGTGACTTCCGTGATATGAGAGATCCGTTAGGTCGAGATCCCGATATTGTGAGAATGCGCCGTGGTTCGAGGGACAGTCTATTGTCAGTATCCTCCGCAGCACCCGATGGCCCCCCCTCCGCTGGCCATCATTCCCGCCCCGGGCCAATCCGCGGCCGAGGCCGGGGGGATTGGGATGGCGGGCGGGGCCGTGGTCGGATGCAATATTTAGATGATCGTGATTCGTTTCGGCGTCGCAGTCGGTCACGCGACACTAGGTGGGATCGAGACCGAGACCGAGACCGCGAAAGAGAACGTGCCCTTGACCGTGATCGCGATCGCGAACGCATGCTTGTGGACCGCGATAGAGACCGTGACATTGATAGACGCGACCGAGACCGCGATCTGGACCGCCGTGATAGATTTGATCGCCGTGATGACTTGGACCGCCGTATGGACCGCGAGGAGCGAGACAGGCCCACGGATTTGTGGAAGCGAGACCGACCCCCGAGCCGGAATGAAAACAGGAATTCCAGCATTTCATCCATCCCGTCCGGTGCACAATCGGTGCATGGTGCTCCCGCGTTGTCAGACAGGATATCTGATCAGCCGACTGCCGACCACCCTCGGAAATCGTCTGGGGGAGAGCCCTGGCGTGATGTGGAACGACTGGAGCCCCTGTCCTCTCGACCAGATCCTGCAAAGGAGTTTATTCCGCCTGTAAACAAACGCTCCCCTCCCCCAGCTGCTCCTCAAGTGCCAGCTTTTGGTTCAGTAACCGCCCCTATTCCGGAATTGTCTGCCGAAAAACCGTCCACCGATGCCCACCCTGCAGCGCCGTCGCCAGTTAAAGCCGAAAAAGAACGCCAGGAGCCTCCATCAAGGCCACCAGTACTACCACCAACAGGACCAAAGGCAGATCGAGGTCCGCCCCATGTCCCGGAACCGCGTCCTCGCGCCAACGAATCGAAGCGTGATGATGACCATGAGGCTCATTTGAAGCAGGAGAGCCCGGTACGGACATCTAAACCGCCTCAGACGATACCCATCGGTCTCCAAAAACCCTTGGATCTATCCCCACCCACCGCTCCAGCGGCCATGGTTGCCAAAGAGGGTGCAGCCACCCCCGAACCTTCGCCTAGCAAATTAAGTTCGATCAGTATGCTCCCAGAAGCAGCTCGAGGCCCCCCTTCAGCGGGACGATCAGCGTCGCCCGGATCGCACACCTCGCCTCGGATGCATCCATCAGCTATCCCCACGGGCCCTCGGGCACTTCAACAACGTCCTCAACCATCCCGGGGGCCTTCTAAAAATAACAAGCCGTGGGTTCGGCCGGGCTTCAATCGGCCGCCATCCGCGACTAGCCCGACTTTACCACCAAAGAGAGACTCCATTGATGCCAAAGAGAGGAGCTTGTCTATTACCGACGACATTAAGCGTGATACGAATACGGCCATTGATGAACAAACGAAGAGCCCCAGTGCCAACAGATACGATGCCACCAAGGATAGAACCGCTCTGAAAGACAAGGAAATTACTACCGCCCCCGAAGCGCCGTCTACCAAGTCTCGCGACCGCACCGCAAGTCCCCCGCAGCTCCCTGTTGAGGCCCCCGCCAAACCAGCCGACAGCAAGGGCGCAGGTGAGGACGGTGATGTTGTTATACCGGACTTTGGAAGGTCTAGCGATGAAGAAGATGATGAAAACGTTTTTACGCAGGAATACCTGGAAGAACGGAAGCAAATTTTCGAGAAGGACATGAAAGCGCTTCGTGCAGAAATGCCGCCTCCGCCTTTAGAGGATCCGAACATTGTGTCCTTACTCATGCGCATCCAGCTCTTAGGTATGATTGCGAATGACACCGAAGCCCACAAAGTCCAGTCACCATCAACCCCGGCAGCCGAAGTTCCTGCACCAAAGGATTTACAGGGTGCCCCTGAGGCTACAGAAATTGGGAAGAAGATCGAGGAACATGAGCCATCGCCAAAATTGGTTTTGGACTCGCTTCCTGATGCAGTGTCTGTAGAAACGCTTCCATTCCTGCAATCGGGGCCTCCTACACCGATGTCCGACCTAGATACCTACCACGACAACAATGCAAGCCATGAACGCATAAAAACTATCCTTCGCAAAGAGCTGGTCGACCAGCGCAAGGCCATCGCCAAAAAGAACGCAGAGCTACGCGTGGATTGGTTGGCCTATTACAAGCGGTGGCGATTGAGTGTGTGGGAAATGGACCGTGCAAAAGGAAAAGACAAGCCCTCTGGCACCCCAGTCCTGACTCCTCCCCCGGCACCACCTCCACCGGTAACTCCGACTCCCATCCTTGAGAGCCGCTCCGAGCGACGGTACAAAGGAAACAGCGAACTGGACTTTCAAAACGCCCTTCGTGCGTCAGAGATTTCTGCACAGGAGGAACTCGCAAGGCGCCGTGAGAATAAGGCTACTGCCCAGCCCGATCTCAATCGTGAAGCAGTTATTCCGGATATGCTCGAGCCCCGTGAGGCCAAGGCTCTTATCTTCAAGGATACAAACAACATCGTTGATCCTTCTCAAGCCATGGATGTGTTCGGCTTTGTGCCACCGACAAACGACTTTACTCCAGAAGAGCACGAAAAGTTCACCGATGCCTTTATGGCATACCCCAAGAAGTGGGGCAAGATTGCGGAGGCGTTACCTGGGCGAGACTTCAAACAGTGTATTGTTCATTATTATTTGACCAAGGAAGAGATTAAATACAAGGCCAAGTTGAACAAGCGCTGGAGCCGCCGCGGCCGTGCGCGGAGATCTGCCCGGCCCAAATCCAATGCCCTCATGGCCGATTTGGGTGTTGTGAAACCTGACTACGAAGGGGAGGAGGAGCCGACGCCTGTGACCGACACCGGCCGCCCGCGTCGTGCAGCTGCCCCAACTTTTGGAGATACCACTGTTGATGCCGACCAGGTGGCCAATGGCCGCCGGGGAAATGCCGCAAAGGATGGTGAGCAAGGTGAGAAGCCTGCAGGTCGACGAGGTGCGCGCACAGGAGCAGGCACTCGAGGTGGTCGCAGGGCCAAGGCGTCCCAACAGCAACAGTTGCAACAACAGCAGCAACTACAACAGCAGCAGCCGTCAGCCTCCTTGACGCCACAGCCGGAGCAACCTAATTTGACAGCACCACCCGTGCCGGTCGCAGCAGTACCAACCCCAACAATTGCTGGTATCTCGAATACAGAAGTCCCGGAAATGGGTATGGACGTAGCCAGCGATGTTGGTGTCGTGAGGTTTAGAGATCAACTCGACGGCGATCGGGCTGACGTGGCTCCGAGGTCGAAATCTGGTCGCGGTCGTCCCAGAGATAGTATCTATACTTTCGAGTCCACAGAGCCAGAGAGT